ACAGACAGACAGACAGACAGACAGAAAACACACATTCTGGGATTATTAGTTAGATAGAGATTCTGAGCGCCGCCCAGTAAAACAGCACTGTGTGCCCTTTGTCCAGGCGGGCCTAATCGGTCTTAATTACTGCACTCGGCAAATGTCAGTCTCTTCCACAGGAAATTGTAATAGCTCGCGGGGTATATGAGGGACGCTGACTGGAGGATCTCTGGAAGAAGCAATCAAGATTCTCGACAGCTCAGTCCTGATCACATAATGGGCTGAATGTAGTGAATAGAATGACGCAGTTATATAGGAAACAATTAAAACTCGCGTAGAATCTCTTGTGCGCTCCTTTACTAACGCTATTTCCTAACAGTGCACTGACTATTTGTCAGACTCATCATCTTTTCGTAGACAGTGAAGGTGCAGCAGCATTCACGATCCCTCACCTTATTGTTTTATTGCATGGCGTTTGCCATGTACTGCAAAGCTCTCCGGCCTGGTTTCTGGAAACAATTAATATTCATATATTCAAATCTGCTGTACTATAATTATAGTACAGCAGATTTGAATATTATATGAAAGAGATGAGACCTGATTGTTTCACAAACCACCTGGCTGGCCCAAATCATGAGCTTAATCGTGCATTAGTTTCAGCTTATCTGAGAACCTCGTAAGAGGCATTGGGTGGGTGCAAGGCGATGGGTGCACGTGACACACAAAGATCACCTCGGTCCTTTTCGTGATCAGTACACTATTAGTATTTAAGGGTTAGGGTCAAGGTTTTCTTTTGCACGCTCTTATATCTTGAACACTGATGACCGAACAGCGTAAAAATGATTCAATTGATGCCGGATGCTGCACATAAACGTAAAGGGTTAACGCTATCCTGGCCTAGTGTATGATCGCGTCGGGGAGCTTATAAAAGTCTTATTCTCTATCATTAGTTCTTACCATTAGTTCTTACCATTAGTTAACCCGCTTAGCTTATTGTACAAATTGTATAGATACAATTGATAGCATCATTTAATTTCAATTACGTTTTAAAGGAATTTACGCGAGAGTATGATAATTATAACCAGTTTAATCTTGTTCAGCGTCATCAAAAACGTAGGGTTAAAAGGTTTTCCCTTCGATTTTCATCAATAAAAAATCCTTCTATTTTCGATTCTCTGGGTCAGCTGTATGCTGGGTTTCAGAAGGTGGTACCAGATGCTGCTATAATTGAGCGCTCAGCTATATTGCTCAATATATAATATTGCTCTGAACACTGTGTTGCTCACCAGAGCTCACGGTACTTGATCAGGCGATCAAGTAACTTGAGCTCTGGTGACGTCACAAAATATCCTAGTCGGCATACGACACGTTACAAATGTGATCACGTGCCCGAGGATTTACGAATCAAGTCACGTGATAGGACTGACAGTCACGTGACCTCAGTTATCCCGTATATGGCACAAGGAGCTGCAATTGATCAGCTGCAATCCTTGACAGTGAGGCCTATAATTACACAATTTTAAATTGACGATATTTCATTCTACAGTATGATAAGAGCGTAAACAGAATGCTTCCCGGAATCAGCACAATGAAGGGAACAAGATGCTGTTAGAATTTCAATTATTCATCTTCCACCCGTAGTCCCTAGATTGTACGTGCTCCGTACATAGTACATATAATGGTTACCAATTATAAGTTACCATAAAATGTTCACAATCTGACTTGGTGATCCGTTAACGATGTCACCTGGTTACCAGGCAAAGGATCTTTGGTAATGAGGAGCTCATATGTTTATTACAATAAAAACAGTTTTATTATAAAGCAACACAAACTTTCACCCATTTATACCACAACTTGACATGAACCCCCAAATTCTTAGTCATTCGTTTGTGCAGGGATAATGAAAATTTTATAGTACAGTATAGTTCAGTGCTGAGCAACATTTTCTACCTTAGTATTCGGCACTTCGGTTTTAGTTATTACAAATATATCTAAGGTGAAATGTTTGATATTTCACGATAGTAAGCTGTTTTATAATAGATGCACTTAGCATCATTTCGTGAACATCTGTTGTATAACAGACAAACATTTGATTTAATCTTTTCCTAGTTGCGGTACATTTTATTACAGTATACTAGTATACCATTTCTCTTGAACGCTTAACTGCAACCATTTTTCTTGATTCGTTGCTCGACACAATAAACTCTAATGTTTCCAAATCTTAAAAAACTTCCAAACTTAAACTTCTAAAACTTCTAAATTTAAACAATAAACAATGGGTGTTTTCTGAAAATATTATTCTGTGTATACCTTTAACAGCTTTAAGGTAATGCGGCAGTATCCAAGTAGCCCGACATGTGTTCCCGAACAGGTGTTAGGGGTTATGGTTAGGGTTAGGGTTACCCTAACCATAACCCTAACACACCTCACACCTGTTTGGAAACACATGTCGGGCTACTTGGATACTGCCGGTAATTCTTACCAACAGTTAATTAATCCCGTTATACCATAACTTAAGGTTATAAGATATTAACGCATTTAGAATTTATCGGTTAAGCGTTTTAACAGTCTTTAAGGGGGACTTAGCTGCCTTAATTAAGTATTGAGAATCGGGATAGTGCAGATGCCCCATAAACAAACAACTAAACAACAACAAATCCTAAAATTAGCTGAACACTGTCTGCCGTGCGTGTCAAGAAGAGGGCGTTCAACATATTCTTAACGTACTGAATCTTCAAATTATCATAAAAATGAATGTAACACTTCGATAAAACAGGATCAATTTCTCCCTGACTATTTTTAATTCAGGAAAATGTCCGTCCAGTGGGCAATAGCAGGAGGAACCATAGCAACGGTGGGTATCTTATCAAACAGTTTATCAATCTCCTACTTCATCTCACAAGAGAAAAGTACACTACCGGGAAGACAATTTATCCTCCTTAACACACTGGATCTAGCCATGTGTGCCTGCTCTTCTTTCTTTCTCATCTCCAATGTTATTTGGGACTATGACTATGATAAAAACGTTATCTTGTTATATATCAAGATGGTTTTTGTTTGTTTTTGTCAGTTCCTTTTCGAAGCCACAGCCTTTGCAACATGTGTTTTAAGTGTGAGCCGCTGCATTAAGGTTTGGTTTCCTTTCTACGAAATAAAGACAAAGTTTTTAATTGCCTTCACTGCAGTTTTCTTTAGTTACTTATCAGTACGGGAAGCCACGTTCTTCTACCTCTTTTATCTTAACGCACAGGACAGCACACATATGGGCTGGACACACTATGATTCTATAGTCGCATACTTAGTCCTGGCAAGCATGGTCGCTATCATGACAAGTGTAGCTGTTTCTAACATTTTGTCTGCTACACTCCTGATCAGCAATAAGATGGCTCCAAGAAGCAACAGAGGATCTACAAATACCAACATGGAGGCAACGATTACAATTATTATCGTCTCAGTGCTTTTCCTCTTCTTCAACATGACAAACATACTTACAGCATGGGTTGAACATGTTCCTGGGGGTTTATTCATGTTTGGGGAGACTCTATCTATTGCCCTGAACTCTGCCTTAAATCCAGTGGTATTTTTTCTGCGAAAAAGAGCCATGAGACAGTATTTTAAGAAGATGTTTGTGGGAGGAGAGAGAAACATAGTGCATTGTGCACCCATTAATACCAATAAAACTATAGCCAGCAATCCATTATAAATATTCCGAAGGAGCCAAATTCTCAGTTATTCAAATTCGCTGTGACTCAGGTAACGATATAGAGCCCTTGTAGTTCAGGACTCAGTATGTATAAATGGTTCATACTTTCCGACATAAACATGATTCACATCTATGTAGTATTATTTACTTTTAGTATTTAGTATTCAGTAATATTCATTTCGTCCGATTGTAAAGTATTGTGATATATAATATAGATTGTTTCTTTTTCGAATAAATCGTATACATTTACTCGTAAAATTATCGCAAATCAAACTTCAATCGCAAGTAGAGATACTAGATATATGGGGGATGTCGTCTGATAGTGTATGCAGTATGCACAGGCCAAATTGTAGAATTCTATGGTCCAGGCTAATCATATGGCAACTAATGATTGGGGGTACATTTTTCAGGTAGCTGGAGATTTAAATGATCATGAGATAATGACTAAAATATAATGCAGCCTGTGCCCAGTACACTCAAAATATGACTCAACAGTCCTAGTTTGTAATGTTCTAACGTTGCCTAATGACTGCAGAACAACCCTTTTTTCTTTTATTTTGCTCCCTTCTTGAAGCATTAAAACCAAGAGCCTGCTGCCAGAGTGCCTGACCATCTGGTAACCACGTTACTAAACTTAGGTTGAAGCAAACTTAAAAAACAAAATTGCACCCAGTATCAGCTGTAACTCTGTAAAGAGATAATGGCTGTTAATTAAGTATGATAGTAAATTGCACGGTACAGATTGTACGTTCAAGTTCCAGATTTAAGTTTTTAATAATTTACCAACTCAGAGGTGATCAGTACTACTTAACAAATCAACTCCTTCACTATTTGTGACTTTGTGACTTTGTGGCTCATATCAAGCAAGTATCAATTTGTTTTGTTTGATACTTTTACTAAGCAACCGCCTTTCCTACTAACATTTTAAGTGCAGGTTACTGTATCAAGCTTTGGTTTCCGCTCTATTAGATGTTTAAAAGCATGCTTTTAAATGCTTTTAAAAGTAAATGCTACATATAATGTTCTTTAGCTACTTAAAAGAAACCACATCCATTTATCTGGATACATAAAAGAACCAATATATGGCGCTCACGTTATTTTTGATAATTCAGTCTTGGAATGTATGATTGCAATCGAGAAAGCTGTAGTCATTTCTATTTCAGCAGAGATTTTGTACCTAAAATTAACTACCAATGACCAACAAACCAGACTGTATAGAAAAGCATGACGGTGGTTATACTTTATAATAGTCTTGTTTCAGTTTACACTTCCTGTTTCTCAACATAAAAACAATATTAACAACACAATAAAACAATTTTCTTTGGATTATATTGAAAATCTTTACATCAGGCATAACTATCATACACACCGTATTCCATCAATTTACACATCAGTAATTAATTATGTACATAGTAAATGAATATTAAATGATTAAATATATTGTAAAGCCGTTCAAATACTTAAACTTTTAAGCTTAAAGATGAAAAATTATGGCATGGAGATTAGTGAAAAATTCGGATGTCGAGATGTGACAAATATATATGGTAAATTAATTATGCGGCAAAAAAATCTAGTGTGAAATTCAGTTCAATTAGTATGACACACACAAATGTGGTCTTAGTGAGTGACAAAAGTCCATGAATCAAATGATTGATTTATTTTATTCAAGAAACAATGTGCTATGCGCGATATGAGTAACGAGGCAGCAATTAGGGCTAGGCAAACTGCACGTGCTGAAGGCGTTAAACTGCACGTGCGCAGCCAAACTACACGTGCACACCAGATGACAAATAACAGCACCATGTTATGAATACAACAACACGATTTTGATGGTGGACCCAAAGCGTCAAAATGTTCGTTTGGAACGGCGGTTCCTTCCTAATCTTGCTCGGATCGACATCCCTGAGATCTGGCGAGTTTGCGGGCGAGTGCGTCGTGAGGGAGAGTTCCAGCTCGGGGACGCAGTTGTGGGTTGTTTGAGTCTTTGTCTTGGAGTGCGTGTGATCTCCAGGCTTCCGAGAGGAGTCGAATCTAGGGAGTAACTCGACCATCAGATATTGTCCAACATTTTACCCAATTAGTGTATCACATGACTCTGACATCATAATGAGGTCAGACTAAAGATAACAAATAAAACATCGTAATACTCACAGGTATGAATGGCTTGAGTTCGTTTTCTTTCTCCACCAAGTTGAGGTATTCTGGGTCGAGAAGGGAGAATCTGACGTGATTGATAACCTTCCTTGCAACATCCTTCATCGACGAACCAGTGATTACCTGAAGATTAAGAAGAATAGTCAAGTGATCACATCTAGTCTTAAACAATCATCACATCTAAAACAATTAAGTTACTACTAAGAAGTCTGCTGTTTGCCAGGATTCAAGCATGCATTAGGGCTCATAATTCTCTTCCTTCAATAACATAGAGTTAGACAAATAGCGTTATCTTAAATTTTGGTCGGACTTGTTGTGCTCTGCCAAGAGATTTAAAGAACCGCAACAGGATTTTAGTAAGCTTAATAGCACCACAATCCAAGATTTATCCAGATTTTATTAAGAACTATAGAACCGCAATCCAAGATTCATCCAAACTTTATGGAATTGGAACCACACTCCAGAAATTTCTTGCAAGAGCATTATAGAGTGTAATAAGGGTGGCAGCGTGTTGTATACAGTAAGTATTATAGATCTAACACGCACACGCTGTGCAGAATAAAGAGCGATAGCTTATTTCGCTGACCTCACGGATAAAATTTCGTGCTGCTTGCAACTTGGAGTTGGTAGTAAGTAAGTGCAACAAGCACAGTACAATTTATCATGCTGTTCTTGCGCTGTAAATTTTAACCAGGACAGAAATAACCTACTTCTGCAGATATATCGCACAGAATTTTAAACAAATGGTCAACTCGACTGGCAATTTTATAAAAGAGGTGCAAAAAAGGTTTAATGTCTGAAAATATATTATGTAGAATCAAGCTTTTGATCCCAAGAAGAGTTACTTACAGCGTTAACAGTAGACCATTCCTTGACAGCGTTGAGCACTTCACTCTCATCCGCCTTGAGCTTGTCGCTCTGCAGGACAAAGGACAGAGATTCTTCTGACATCTCAACAAAGGTCCTGCTTTTGAATACTCCCTGAAGATAATGAGATACAGTTGGTAATTGGCATCCACAATTATACCAGTCAACAAGTACTATCAATTTTTTTTAAAGGATTGAGCTTAAAAGAAGAAACAACAAGTGTGGAATAATTGGAGATGCTTTCTAAAAAGAAACTTACAAGTGTGTTCCTCTCGACGAATCCGAGGCAAGTTTTCTTAAGATCAGAGTTATTGTAGGAGATAGCTGCCTGGAGAGCTTCACAGACAGTATCCACGGTGAGGGTGGATTTGAAGAAGTCGATACACAGTTTCTTGAGGTCCTCAATACCATACTCTACAGCTGCTGTCAGAACGTCTGTAACATTACAGGCGTCTAAATAACACCTGGAGGGAGATGATGTTACTTAAAGTGAACTGACTTTCTGATATTTGGAACATCTGATGCTGTTTCCATGGAAACTATCTGATAAACAACATTTATAACTTGTCAGGAAATCCCATTCGGTTACAAAAATTCAGAAACGGAGTAGCTATTTTTATTTTTCACAACCAACCTATTAGTATAAATAAACTCTATCACAGCTAGGAATATATGGGGCTGTGTGTCAGATAGAACAAAAACATGCGCTCCATTTTCCAGCTTTGGCTTTGAATCTGAAGCTTGGGCGAACATAGCCTTGAACACCTCGCATCTTGGAGATAGGATGGATTTGTGGCCAAAAACTTGTTTCCTTTCTTCTCCGACAACAAATTGTACGTCACTGAAATGCGGACAATATTAAACAAAAGGTCGTTATTAAATTATTTGCAATCTTTAATAACATATTAAAAGTAGACAATACTTATTGATACAAACTACTTTCAATCCTTCTGGAGTTTTCAAATAATAAAACTACAATGCAAAGTAATTGTAAAAGCAAATTAAGTAACCTAAGTAAAGGATTGTTGACCATCTTCTTCATATCAGCGGCGAACGCCTTATTGCTGCCATAGCAAGCCTTTCTATTAGCCATCTTACCTAACCTGTAGGATTATAGACAGTTATGGAACACTGTAAGACTAAAAAATTATATCAAGCGATGAGAAGATGTGACGGTAAATTTTAAGGAGCTACTTATCAAACTGCAACTATATGCTTGAGAGTTGATAAATAAGTCCAAGAATCTTGATGCTTGATTCGAAAATTTTCCAATGTGACCCGTTCTGAAACTATGCACCTAGTTTTAAATTTCCACGCAGTTGCGTAAATTTTAAATTATAATTAAAACTTAAATAGCAATGCTTGCCATTTCAGTTGTTTGCAGGTGTGTACGAGTGTTGAAAATTTAAATCGGGTCAACGGAATATTTGAAAACTGATAGAACATTAACTCTGCATACTGTGCTTGATCTTTTCTGCAGAGCACAAGCGTAACGCAAATGGAAAGTTAAATCAAGTGTTCTACAAGAAAAGAAGAAAAAAGAAAAGGAGGAGCCAAGAATTATTCATCCGTTCATCGGCCAGGACAAAAGAAGAAGCCAAGACCCTTTTAAAGGGCGAGGAGAACTGAAAGCAAATTTTAATTTTACGTCACACTCCGTTTTGTTGGTTGTGGGAAAATAAGGGCCGTAGACTGTACAGCTAACAGTAATAGAGCAAATGGTATAGCTGAGCAGAGTAGTACTAGTAGCTGCTGTAACAACTAGTTATACAGAGCTAAAGTCAGATGTTAAAAGTCTGCCACTTTGGCACAAGATACTGAAAAACCAGCACAGGACGAGCCACCTAGCGGAGCGAGCAAGAAACTGAATGAGAGAATTGATTGCACGTAAGTTTAAAAGTTGTTATGACATGTGGAACAAACAAACAAATCCGCGGACGGCATTGAGTGGACGATGACCAATAGCAGCTCATTGCTTGTCTGCGTCAGCACATGCGTTGTCATGTGTCGTGCACGTGACGTGCACGTGTTTGTCACGTGATATTCACGTGCAACATCTGCAAACTATCACACTGTACAGGAAGGTAAAGTGCAAGGGAGCGTTCTCTTCGTTCCAGCTTATCGAGACGGCTTTCGTTCATCACGTGACTAATACATGATAAGTAAAATACATATTTTATTTTTCTTGCTTGTCTTGGCTGATGCGGTGCCATGGAAACGGCAGTGCTATTCGTCTGAAAGCATGAGAGCGTCACTGGAGTGAAATGTAAAAACGTGAGCACTCTGGGCTGGATTCTTGCTTGTTAGCCCTCAAAATGAGAGCTTGTTACGTGAACATCAGACAGAACAATGGCCCCACAATCGGAAAAATTCAAATCTCGCATCAAAATCTTTAAAATAGCTAGGTTAAGTACACGTCATGCAGGTGGTCACTGTACTTGAAGCTGGAACTAGGGGTGAAGTGGGAAAAAACTTTTAAAATTCATGTCAGCAGAATACTACAATAAGGGAATTAAAGAAATTATAATTAGATATCATTATCATCAACCTAGTGGTAACGAAAATAGTACAACATTTACATTTAATATCAATTTGAATATTCCTTTGCAAAAAAGCAAAGAGTTCAAGCAGAAAAAGGGTCCCTTATTTGATATTGTGATAAGATAATCAGACTTTCCAAGTCATTAATGGTCTTCGTAATCTATATTATTTCAGATAAATCAAGTTCTTCAAGACTGATCTTCTTAAAATTCCTGTTTCTGACAGAATAAAATCCAATGAACTACTAGCATTAATAAAGCATCAAACTTTGATAAAAACTAACATTCGTGTAATCCTTTAAAATTCCACTAAAAAGTCATGGCCTAAATGGAATTCTTCGTCCTCAAGTCGCATATATTTCAAGAATGCTCTATCCTCTTCATCCTCATCTGGAATGCTGAGCCACTGCCGAGTACCCGGTACTCTCGCCTAGCTTTATTGTCGGCCTGAAGAAATTCAGTTTCAACTATCCATCAAACATAGAAATATAAACTAAACTGCGTACATTATCAATATAATCATTGTTGATAAGTAAAATAACTTATGGCTTTAATTGATTAAACAATAGTTGCTGCACGATTACACATACAACTTACTTATAAGTTCCATCAATTCTAAATATGTCGTGGTAATTGAGCCTTTTAAATTGGCCCATGCTATGGGCAGGTCTGTAAAAATAAAGTTTCAACGATCTTCCAAAAAAAGAAGAAGGTCCCCTAGAGACTCCCGGAAAGGTGCAAATGGCTCACAATAGTTTTATGCAAATTCGACAGATTTTAAATGCTATTTTTTAGATTTAAAGCAACATAATTTAATAAATTAATTTAAGTTAATTTAAAGCAACACGTAAATTTGCTATAAATTGCTTTGGGTATTTACTATTTAGGCTCAAAACGAGGAAAAGTGGCTTTAAATATTTTTTGCCATCAAATTCTTATTTTATTTCAATAAAATAATTGATCACTAAATTAATCGACAGTTTCTCATTAAAGACAAAGTTAAACTTACTGATAGGTGCCAAACATATCGTTGTGAATCTGCCCTTTGATCTGATCCATACTGCTGGCAGGGAGATCTCTGCCACTTTGTTTCACCTTTATTTCAGCAAACTGAACATTTTCTGGCACCCTGTTAGCGGACACTGGACGACTTTTGCGCCCTTAGTTAAAAATCGGTTATTCAATAGATTAGTTCGTTAACACCAATCTAGTTCTACTTAGACGCGGAGAAGATAAAATAAGTTCCAAGTTGGTTCTTTGAATATAATGAAGTGAAGATAAGAAGTAGTCAAGAAAACAAAAGAGACATTGAGATACAAGCGCAGTAATTATTCAAAATTTTCAGGTAAAATTTTAGAATTTACACTACCTTGCTTCGACTGACATATTCCATTGCGGTCATTTTGACTGCTTTCAGGCTTCATTTTCGGCCTGATTTCCCCTAACGTTGGTTTTATTCCAAACCTATCTGGATCCTGAAGGAGTTGCACGGCTTATAAGACAATAATCATCAATTATATTGCCGAAATATCTCAACATCAGGAAGTTGACACAATGATTGTGCACCAGATTACGAGACAGATAAGAGTATCCTGATAATAGAGTCAAGAGAAACGACACTCTTGGAAGCGAAGAGGATTAAGGACTATTCGACCTGTAACATGGAATATATTTCTTCTCTAACATCCTCAATAAATATTTTAAAATGTTGTAATTAGTTGAATGAAATAATAACCTGCAGACGTTGGCTCTGTCTGTGTTGCTGGTGTAAAGATATGATGTGTTGAGTCTTGCTCATCAGATGGCTGGTATCAGGTCCCGTTTCCAGTTCTGTGTTTGCTAGATTGTTCTTTATTGCTGTCGAAGCTGTTGCTCTTGCGTGTAATGGTAACTTCGACTGAAAACAAATGTAATGTTTAATGCATTTAAAGTAAATTTAATATAAAAGAGCACGGCAAGGGTAACCAATAGCAAAATTCTCAGACAGCAGAGTTGTGAAATAAAAATAGCTTGGAGCTTCTCTCACCTGATAAGATAGATCGTTAAATGTTTGGTTCCGTGGAGTAAGTCTGTAAGTAGGCCTGTTAGTGAGGGTGGTGTAAAGTTGTTCAACTAGAACCTCAGCTGCTGCACTTTTACAGTGTATCGTTCCTTCCATTACATCTCGGTCAATTGCATAGTTCTGGAATTCGAGGAAAATCAAGATAAACTATGGTATGACAGGAGCAAATTGTGATTGAAGCTCTTCAAAAAAGTCATTGAAAGCGGTTTGGGTCGGGAAAAATGACGCTAAAGTTCAGATTCTCTTAAGTTATTATACCGGTAAAAAACTGGTGCTTACTTTATTTTTGAAAAAAGTTTCGAGCAAATTCCAGTTCAATAGTTTACTCTGGATTGATGTTCCATTGTTGAAGCAGTGGATCTTGATTTCTTTAGGATGGTACCATGATAAAATCTCAGCGACCAAATATCCGTTTGAAAAATCCCATTTGGGATTCTTAACGCTGATGGATAGATCAAGACTTTGAAGCCATTTCAGCACTTCCCTGGGCAGTGCGTTCATAGCTGGAGAGTATAATTAACATTATACATTGATATAATGATATTTTTAGTAATCACTAAATATAAGTTACGAAGAAATGGAATGAACAATTTTCATACTTATTTTGTTTCGTGAAGACTAATTCACAGCTAAAATAATCCTTCATTATTTATGATGAATTTTGAAGATCAGTGAAACATAAAGATTGAGTAAAAATGTAGGAAATTTTGCCTCGAGCGATTACATAAATTGGACATAATTTATAACAAAAATTGGCTTATCTAGATGATAATTTGTTGAGAAATTATAGAAAACAAAACAAAACAAACGGTTTAAATTTTTAAAATTGCTTTAGGAACACTCAATTAGTAATAAAACTCACAACCATATTATGACACATGTTAGTTTTACTTCAAAAATTAGGTTTTAGTACTTGAGCATTGTTTATTGCATTCAACCCATTATTATTATCATGCAAATTATCAAATAAATTGAGTGGTTTAATATGGATTTAACTTTTTCACCTTTAATAAGCAAACCGATAATCAGAGTTCTTGTGCAGCATAATACAGAAATTTATCTATTAATAGATTTTCTATTAATTAGCCTAGCAGATCATTTTATCAAAATAGAATAGTCACAAAAATTGGTTTAACTTTAACAGCAATTATCACATCATTGTTCTCTGTGATATATGCTAAAATTTCCTCAATTCTTTCATCTTATAATACCCGAGAGCTGAAGTGGATGTTTACTGTCGGGCACCAAAAATTCGCCAACAACCAAACCTAGTCTATTTGGATGTAGGTTCTCGAACAAGCTCTAGAAGTTTTTCCATTTTTGCAATCTCATTTTCTTTTGAGTATGACTTGTCTTTGACAGCCTTCCTCAGATTTGGACTGAGCTTTAGAGTCATAGCGTTGCCTCTGTCGTCACCAACAGCAATGATAGGATAATGCGCATTGAAAGCAAGGTGATTGACTTTCGTTTTCTTCTTCTGAACAACAGATTGTTGACATAAAGGCTCATACTTCTCCTGACTGAGATCAAAGATGTGTACTTGACCATCATCAGTAACAGCTCCAAATACGGTAGCTGAGTATGGAGACCAAACAACATCACCAACAGAACTTCCAAGATCGAACGTGAACATGGGTTCACTGTAATTGTGGTCCCAGATTTTCACAGTCCAGTCAGCACTGCAACTAGCAAATACTCTGGGGTGGAAGTTGTTCCATCTCACAGCATAAACTGCCATGTGATGAGCATCGTATGTGTCCAAAAACTGAGAACTGTAGTGCTTACTACACTTATGGATTTTTCCTTCTTCGGTTCCTACTAAGAACAAATAATCAGTCGATTTGTGGAAATCAAAGCAAGTTCCACAAGCAAGGTCCATTCCTACACCACTGTCAGCATCGTTGTCTGGTTGCATTTTGATGAGAATAATGTCTGTACCTTGCAGCTCGTTTTTGATAAGGCTCCAGCATGTAACTCGACCATCACTAGAAATTGAGAAGAAGTTCAACTGATTGTCTAAATCATTCTCCTGCCAGTATACCTGCCAAACAGGATCAGTGTGTTTACCACTCTTAGCTGAAGATAGGAAAGCAGGTGTATTGTTTTTCTCTCTGAGATTATACACAGCAACCGCTCCATCATAATAGCCGACAGCAATAAGGTAAGGGTGTTCTGGGTGGAAATCGAGAGACATGACACCACTGTCTGTTGTGTAAGTAAATTCAGGGAAGGAAGGATTTTTGAGGGAGTAAATGCAGATAAGTCCAGAGCTCTGTTTGAGGAAATCGTAACTTCCATGAGCCACAGCAAACATATCATCATATATGGGATTGAATACAACTGCTGTGACTGAGAACTTCTTGCCTTTCTCTGATCTGAAAGGCCAGAGTGGTAATAGAGTTCCCTCATTGCCTTTGAACTCATCAGATTGATCTTCCCAATATTTGAAATCTTGAGCAATTTCGTCATGTGTATTTTGATTTACCATCCTCTCAACAATTTTGGCAGGTTTTCCAATCCGTGTGAATATCTCATCTGCAGAAGTTGGTTCAAGAATGATTGCTCTACTCTTTTTATCCTTTTCATCTTTGTCCTTTTTCTTCTCCTTAGCTTTTTCTTGAGCCTCTAAGTCTTCGACATAAGCATCATATATCTCCCATTGGTTGGCAGTTGAAGAAAAGTTTGTTCTTGGAGGAGGTTCAGTTGATGTACCTCTCTCTCGATATGGATTATTGAAAGTTTGAGAAGCTCTTTCACTGTAATTGAACTGATTACGAAGAGCAGCTGCCTCTGGAGCCTTAGTTACGGTAACCTCTTTAGGAGCATCTTTTTCTGCTTCTTCTCCCTCGACTTCCACTTCAAGATCTTCTTCGGCAGGAATCTCCATTTCACTTAGGTTTTGCTCACTGGGACCATCACCTAGACCTAGACGAGTAAGCTGACGTTTGCCTTCATCAGATTCTTTGTGGAGCATGTTGCCATCCATAGAGAAATGTATAGCAAGCTGATCAACTCCCATCTTCATCTTGTAGCAACATTCTTTAAAACTGTACCGTACGATGTTGTTTGGGGCATGAGGATTATTAGCAGTCAGGATACGAGTAAACTCCTCCTTTAACTCTTCGGCATTAAGATCTAATTGGTCATCAGGTTTCATCAATATCTTGGGCTGCATCCATTCATCATCTTCATCTCCCATTCTTGATTCATCATCATCTTTTCCTCTTCTTGAGACCTTGCTTTGAGACTGTATCTTAGAACTGGAGGATGTCAGTCCAGCAACCTTGGCAGCTAGCTTCTTTGGCGGCATTTCAACCTACTTCAAGGGTTGTTAGGTAAGTATAGGTGATCACTGACATTAAATTTCACAAGAAAATAAAAAATAATTATCAATCAACATAATATATACATTAATCATCACAGCAACATAATAAATAATGATTACTGAGGCAGTTAGCAGACATACATAATGCAGTGGCGTAACGTTGCTTGTTGGCGCCCCCGCCTAAAATGCGCCCATCCCTAAAATTGGACAAATTAGGTGATTTTAGAGGGTAGGCCGGTAAAATCTTTAATAAACTGTGTTTCTAGAGCAAAACGCACAGTTTTGCTAGTGTTATTACTGTTCACACTTTTCTCTCTCTTTCGTGACAGAATACTTCTAACCGTGTTTACCTTTTCTAGCAATGACAAGCAAAGAAGGATAACCGATTGGACTGGGGAGGAGTGGAACATTGGCAGCACACTACCGTCCAATCGGTAAGTATTTATAATGTTTAGTTATTAGGTATTTATTTGGAATTGGTTTAATTTGGTGGTAAAGTTATTCTATTATGTAATAAAGTATTTTGTTTTACAGGTTTTGTACATACGACAAATACGGGTTTTATTGTTCAACTAGAGGCCATCTAACAGTGATAGCAGGAAGTCGGAAAACGTTCTACGCAACGACCTGACAGTGGCACTTTGTTTGTGTGTTATTTAGGCTACAATTTAGAGACTAATTTAGAGACTAATTTGAGAGACAGTTTTAGAGTTTTTATTTATTTAGTCGAACTATAACTATGAGTCTTTGTGAGATACCAGTTTTAGACGACAGCGCTGACTACAGCACATGGAAGAAGAAAGTGCTAATATGGCAGCTTGGCACCGCAGCATCAACGAAACAGCAAGCTAGTAAGCTGATTATGAACATGAAAGGTAGACCACAGGAGGTTTCTATAAACATGACATTAAAGGTGCTAGGAGCAGAAGATGGAGTTGATAAACTCATTGCCGAACTGGACAAACTGTATAAGAAGGACAGTACTCAGTCTTTATTTAAGGCTATAGATGATTTTGAGGGATACAGGAGAGGAGATGGAGAAGATATAGACAACTACATCTTGGAATTCCAGAGGAGGTATAAAATTCTCAAACAGCTCAGAAAGAACGAAGATCTTTACGATGACATGGTATTAGCGTATAGACTATTAAATCAGGCAAACCTCAGTTAAGTTTTACAAAATTGTCCTACATTCAAACAATGATTTGGCGCCCCCCCCCCCTCCTTAAATGGCACCCCCGCACACAGTGGCGTAACTTTGCCTGTTGGCGCCCCCCCGCTCAGTGACGAAAAGCGCCCCCTAAAATTTTTTGTGTCCCTAAAAAAATTTTTAAAAAAGAAAAAAAAAAGGTCGGGTACTTTTTTCTCGCCCCCCCCCCCCCCCCCCCCCCCCCCCCCCCCCAACAGCTTTTTGCGCCCCCTGAAGCAAAAAAGGGTACCCCAAATATTTTTTTCGCGTCGACCGAACGCTAAATTGGACAGGGAAATACACAAACAAGGCGTTTTTTCAGTGAAAGGGCCTAAAATTCAGGAAAATTGCGCCCCCCTTATACGGCGCCCCCCCCCCCCCCCCCCCCCCCCCGGCACAGCGGGGTCTGCGGGGCCCTAAGTTACGCCACTGCCCGCACAGCAAGGTCAGCGGGGCCCTTTGTTACGTCACTGACACAATGGCCGCATATCCTGAAGAGCTAAGGTACATGCATATTTCCAGATTTATTGGTACCCTGCACTTGAGCATGATAATCAAAATTTATATTGCCATGGAAACAAAACTTCACTGCAACTGTGGAGTCACAATTCCATTTCTATGATTAGGAATACAGTAATTTGTGACATTTATGTCTCGAAATGAAATGCCAGGGCCAACATGTAAAGTTATGCCACTTTTAAGTAACTTTAACATAATCATTAATCACTTGTTTCATAATTTCCCTCCCAACCCTCTACTTTGTCAGCTGTCACTTCTACGTCAGTTACAGTATAGGAGTATACTCAGTTTGTTTTATGCCCTTTAAAAAGACGGAGCCTTCAAATGAAGAAAATGTAAGACAGCAAGGCTTCAAAATTAAAAAATTAAAGACGCCAGAACAGGTCTCAAATTAGATCAGATATAATTAAGCACATTTCCACACTGACCTTACTTCTACCAGAAAACTTTAGGATGGGTTGCGATGAATTAAAGACAGCGAAGCCTTTAAAATGATCAAAATTAAAGACGCTGAAGTCTTCGCCAAAATTAACCGTATTTATAAAACAAACTGAGCTGAGTGTATTTAAAGAAAGACTTGACTACATGTTTTACGTAAACACGGAAACTCAGTTAGCAGCTCCATCTTGAAGGGACTAGCTCGTGATCAGAAGGTTACAGATTTTATACCTGCTTGTGCCATCAATCACAGAGAATGCGCTAAGGATTTCTGTGCAAATTCCTCCGGTCGACTCAGTACAGACGAATGATCGGGAAATCGGTGATTGAGGGTTAAATGAGGAGGGGCTCCAAATGAGGAGGGACATCTAAAAGTGATCGATGCTTTACATCTATTATCAAGACTTTTCAATTTTACCCAGGCCCAGCAGACATATTTCACAGCAGACATTTCTCTGGTATAAAGTGCAAATGATAATTAATAACATTTACGGTCGTTCTAAGAGCTGTATTAATATAATATAAGTTTATTTGCATATTTTGGCGATCAATTTGTGCAAGTGCTGCTTCAACTCATCAATACATTTTAAATAAGCATTTATGAGGCATTAACCACAATCAATTTCTTAAACGTTTTACTGCTCATGTTCTTGCAAAAAATAAGTTTAATGTTGATTGACGATGTCAACCCATCGAGATCGTTGCTCTGCAATGTATTTATTAATCATGTAATAAATATTGGTGAAGAGGGTCGCAATTATATTTTGTAGGTTTATAACCTACCAATTAGACGCGCACCGGGTTGGACTCGTCGACGGTCTAATATTTGAAACAAATATTTTATGAGTATCACCTGTTAAAATTATATTTTGACCATTCTGTGTACATTTGTAAATTGGAAATGCTGATTTCGATTTTAATGGTAAGTATTCAAAGTTAAAGTGCACAAATTTGTATTGATACAATCTTCACGAATACTTTAAAATCAAAACTAACTTGAATTCTAAAGCATAAACAGCTCAACTACCGTTTTACAAGCTTGTCACGTGCGCGCGTCTGACAAAAATGGTTATTTGCTCATAACTCGTTAAGAAAATGATTGTTGTATGTTTATAACCTACCAGGACGAGCGCCGAGTAGAAAAAATATTTTACGAGTATTCACCCGTTAATCAAAATCTAATCGCGATCGCCATCGGCGAAAAAATAATTTGTAGTGCAATTTGCTTGACCATTGACGGACGAGACCAATCACTGATCACCAATGCGCATCGCTCTTTTCGAGCTAGTAGTGAGCAATAATCTAGCAAGCTAGGCCCGGTAATATTGTAATAGTTTACCTGGGGACCCCAGGCTATTGTGTTTATAAACATATAAAGACTCGGCAGAATGACAGGCTGAGCGCCGCCCAGCTATGTAATAGTATAAAGCAATAAACTAGCAAGCACTGTATTAATAGCGTGCAAGGCACTATATAATAACCACCTTTACCGAAATCATAGTTCACTTATCTTGAGTACAGTTTTAAATTAGCGCGGCGTAATAACCGGAAAAAATTATTTGGATTGAACAAAGTAAAAAATAGTAAGTAGAAGGAAGTAAAAATATTTTGACTTTTTTAAATTATTTAGTTTTGGGTTTTATTTATGCTCACTAGGAATAAATATTAAAAAAGCGATACCCAGCAAACCCTACCATCTGGGGTATATCTCCAAAAGTAAAATAGATAGAACCTTCCGGTTTTCAACAAAATTTCCGTCTCGTGAATTTACAGTTGGCTCCCCAGGAGCCAAATTGGGGACAACGTAGATTCTGAATTAAACCGAAAAGTTTGATTTTGGGCTAAATAAATGATCACAGCTTTTAAACTTTGCAAAGAAATGTCGTTGTCATGACTACTAGGCTCAATGCAGCGTGCGAAAGGTAAACTTGACGTGACGCGCGACGCCATACGTGCTGTTGAAAATCTATCACCTCTAGCAAGCCCAGCAGGCGGTAAGGTTTTCTGGGTATGATTTATGATTTGAAAAACGGTGCCGCTTTGACGTGCCGCACAAATTATTATGTTTGCTCTGCACTTCGATTTACGAAATCGCGCGCACTGGGTCAGTTTCAGTTTAATAACAATGACACCCCGGCGAATGCCGCGGGCTTCATATTGCTACGCGAGTCAAAACAATTTTTAGGCTGAAATTCGTCAAGAGATCGATTGTAATTTCGTTCACGAACCTTTTAAAGATATTTGACAGTGCCGATTCCATCCCTTAAAGGATTTTCAATAGTGCCGAGGAAAAATAAAACATCAAATTCATTCATCTGAATATTAGTAAAGGTTATAATGATATCAAATCAACATTTCAAACGCGTACAATCATTAACCCTAATCAAGTATTGTCAACTGTGATCAAAGATCATAGCAAAGTATGCTATCCTATATGTAAGCTACAATGAGGAAGAAACAGCATTATACAACAGTATTACAATAATAAATATAGGTATAATATCAAAATGTAACTATTACTGCTTACAAGACAACTATAGTTAAAAGATTGGCTTAGAAGATTTAAAATTGACATGAAATTTATTTGCGGTTTATTTTAGAATGCAACACAAACACTGTACACATCAAATAGAATCTTTAAAAACATAAAAAAAGAGATCATTCACTATTTGTCATCACATATTACTATTGTGGAAATACCACCTAAGAACGTATCTGACAACGGTTTAGTAGCGTAGACGAGTAATCTGTAAGCTATGAGATCAGGCAGCGAATGAGGGACGTCCATGGTTCGATGCCGGTCGTGGTATTTTGAACATTTTGTGAAATTCATCACTGCTTGAGAGGGTCCACTTCCAGTTACCGATTTTCTCCCCACAAAACATGTATTCATTCTCAGCTTGATCTGACGTATTTTCCAATATAGCTTTTCCATGTTCCAATGAATTGTTAATCTTCAAATTTGAGATCAGCAGTCGGGTTCTGAAATATCAAATTCATTTAATTTTAACGTCAACGGGCAAGTAATTCTTCTACTAGTAAAATTGTGGTTTCCAGTTTCGGGCAAATTTTCAATATAGCTACATATCAAATTAGTAATGGAAGGGCCCTCCTACTTCCATTTATGTTTGTGGTCAGTTATGAATGATTCGATGCACGTGCAAATAGCGCGCGGCTTTGTGCGCGCAAATTTTATCAAAGCTTGCGCCAAATCTGTATCATGCCTTTGGTTTGTTTAAAATTTTATCAAATTCTCGAAGACTTTCGTCCCAATTTTTTGTTCCGAAAATGTTCCAAAATTCCGGATTCATCAACTCTTAGAATATATGTCAATAGAATCCACGTTTTAGAAAACCTCGAGACAACTTTTAAACATTCTTTTAGTTTTAATTGTTATATTTATCCATTAAGTAAAGTAGACTTGACCTGCGATCCTGATGGGTAACAGTTGCGGTGGTCCTTTTAATGTGGTATGTTCCAAAACTGCTGTTAGCCCGAATTTGTGTTGTGATTTATTTCGTCGGTTTATATCCCTTCAACCTGAGGTATTTATTGTTAGACTAACAAAAAATTTACTCAAAGCTGTCTTTCTTAAAATTGTGTGAAATAGTCTTAAAATAGTTTCATAATTGTGACATAGAGTACTGAGATGAATTTTTCTTACTGGTGGAATTCCTGAGTGAGTTGTTCTGGAATGTTCTAGATGAAAACATGCTGTAATGAATGTAATGTATTATACATTTATGGCGCCATGGACATCTAACTTGTGAACATTAATTTCAATGTTTATATTATGTACATAATTATCTGATATTTAGACAATTATATGTTAGCGTACTATTAAATATGCTATAATAACTAAGATAACCGTACTCTATTATGACTTTGAATTCTCTCGGGTTACCGGGATATAGGGGAACCATCCCCCCCGATAATTTTCGTACCTTTTAAAACCTACTATGTATTTAGTTTTCATGGATCAAACAGATGATGAGTCAGACTCAAACATACAAGACGCCATAGCTTTGGAGACCATCGAAACAGGTACTCTTTGAATCTAGAAATTAACACCGTAAAATAAATATCTATCATAAAAATGTAGACCATCGGAAAAGGTACTCTTCGAATCTAGAAATTGATATCTTAAAATAGATATATTTCATTTAAAAGAGTAATTAATGCAACAAAATCATTTCTCAGGACACCCACTAATGTTTAATATAAATATACCTTGTTATAGTGTCATTATTTCGTAGTTTATCGACAAAACAGATAGGAACCGTTCACATATTACGTTATCACGTCAATTAGTCAATTTTGAACCCCTGTCCCCTTCCTACCTTCATAATCATTTTTACACAATAGCTATTGTGTCAAAATAAAACAAGCGTAATCTTTTGGAACCCCTCGGCTGAATAAGTCAACGACCACTTACGCACATCCAGGACGTTCTAGTATCGGTTAATTCAGCAGAATGATAGGCAACTTGATTGACGGTTAAATGAGGAGGGAGCCTGATGGGATACCCCTTAGAACGACCACATAGTAGTGTTCTGTAAAAAAGGGCGGTCGAACTATTCGATTACCCTGTAGAATTAGAAGTCTAAGAACTCCAAATTAAAAACATTAATCAAACGTGCAGCGACATCCAGCTCCCACGATATTTTATAGAATTGACAGTGGCACAAAACATGGCTATAATTATATTGGCTATTGTATAAACCCTTGCATTTTGCAAATTAAAAAAGAACTTGAAATAGTCACGCGAAAAATTTACCCCTCCATTTCATGCTTCTTTTTCATGTGACTATTTAAAGTCCTTTTATGTTTAAAATTTTTGATGCACAACAAACATGGATGTCGCTGCACACTTCTGTGGACGTCCTGGATGTGCGCTCTGAGCCTGTGCCTATCTGTGTGGGATATACCACAGATGGCACAGTTAAATTTTGCTGGGCGTACTTCATCATGTACGCTCCTTACGTGCTTTCTTAGGCTTTGACGGTGATTGTAATGTTTATGACATACATTACAAATGTGCTCTTCTGCTGAGGAGGGCGGAAATCTTAGAACTAGTATATAGTAACTTAATTGCAATAGTTGTAATGTCAACAGTATTGAACAGAATTTAAAAACTGAATGCTATCAAAATTTCCTCGCAGAACCTGGAAAAAAAAGAAAGCCACGCAGAAGGAAGTCCAATTTATCAAGGAAGAAGAATTCGAAACGGAATGCTCAAATTCTAGTGTCAGGAAATGTGAGTGACAATTTCTCCAATTAGAATGAATGCGTATGAAAACAAAACCAGGCATTACAGGAATTCATAGTTAATATTATACTGCTGGTAGGTGTTATCTTGATATCCCGTGAGGCCCGGTATATAGACTAGAGGTTTGACTGTACATTCATAATATTCACTTTACAGAAACGGGATACTCCAGATGCCCTCGGATTTGTCAATAATCTAACCAAGACCAACAAACTTCAACATGCGTGCACGATAGGGGATCTGGACGAAACCCGGAGACTTATGGAAAATCTAAGTTACTCTCAGTTGTTAAAACGAGACACAAGTGGTGATACAGCCCTTCATAACGCGATAATTAACGGTAAATGACTCCACAGTAATACAGTAAACAACTGCTTTACGCTTATCAATAATACTGAAGTGACTTTAAAAAGAAGAATGTGGAAAACAGCATTGACCATATTATTCATATGCCTCTTTCTAGGTCATGTGGGGTGCGCAATGATATTACTGAACAACCCGGTGATGGAATTAAATGAAGATCTAAGCAGGGAGTTGCTCACGCTTTGTAGACCGGACATGATTTTAGTGCGAGACTTCTTGGAAAAACAACAGATTGAGGTAAGAGATGTTCGTAACTGAACTGACACTTTCAAAAAGATAATAAATTGAAGTTTAGGAACACCACTATAAAGCTTATACTCAGATGTTAATAAATTTGTATGAATGTTAAGGGTTCAGTCTTAAGTAACCAGGGTTGTGAAAAACGTTTATGGCAAAAAACTTGCCAGTAGTGTTGACTGTTGAATACTCTTGCTTTCTAAGTTGCTATACATGTAACACGAATAACTAAGAGGGGTGAGAATCAGCTGCAGTTTCATTTTTCTATCAGTAAGCAAGAAATGAGATAATTATGACCATGCCACCTACAAAGAGAGCAACATCAGATGTTAAATAAAGTAAAGATCATACTTGCACCTGATACAGAGCAGTAAAAACTTTAAATGAAATTACAATGCATCTATATATAAGTATTTGATTTTAAACGACGTTTTGGTTATAAATACTTTCTGGAAATATCAAATATGAAACATCTTAATATGAGCTGATTTATCATTTAAGTTAAAGAGGATGGTAGTGGACATTTTACTAAAATTCCCAATCCTAGTTTAACTTAGCTATGGATGTTCTGTGTAGGGCTGTAGCATATCAAATTTCAAGCTGAGACTGCTTCAAAATTGAAAAGATTGAATGCGTATCAGAATCGTATCAAGGCACCAAATAAACACAAAGAGCAGCAGGATTACAGTATCGAAGGTGAAAATACTGAGCAGAGAGAGAGAGCCGACATAGCTATAGTCAACGCGACTTAGAAGTTAAACAAGAAGTGACTGTACGGCTGGGTGTAACTTATTAGTTATTGCTCGATGTATCAGAGCGCGTCTCAGTCTCGCACGTGTTGCTCAGCTGCTACACATATTATAATCTGACAGCATAATATAGCAGAGTCTAGAATGTTCGCTTAACTACAATTATAAAGTGAGGATGTGTGATGGATCGTTTCGATACTTTGCAGTTCTAATAGGAATGTAAGTGTACTGTGTACAGTGTAACTGAAGACTGCAATCTGCTTAACATAAATATGGATGCAACAATATATTATATATCTATTTCAGGCAATTCAATATCAAGAAGATCAACAGTTCGAAAGGCAGAAGCAACAACAGAAAGAGGTTTAAGATAATGTTTTTAAGTATTCATTCCCCGCAATAAACGAGTAGATCTGTCGCACTGCAACTGCATCAACAAACCGGTTTATAGACTTATCTGAACGTAACTAACACTGTGTATAAGTATTACAAAGCGCTTCATTGATTTTAATTTTTAACAATTAACACTTTTTCCAGAGAACTTCTCAATATGGTAGACAAGTCGTTCGCAACATCGCAGATAAGCATATGGCGAAGGGAATACGCCTATTTCTCTTTTCCCGATGCCTACAAACAGTTTAAAGAAACAAGCGAATATGCTGACGAAATGGAGCGTTTATTTGGCATAGTTTTCTACAATCCTCCAATGGTAGCAGGAAAGAAAACTTATCAGCTGCTCGATTATACCCACAACGTGAACAGGTATTAAATTTGAATTCTTGCAGAAGTAAGTTAGTATGTAGTGTATGATTGAAGTCGGTAATGTGATTGCAGCAAAGCCAAAAGTTAATTTTGAAATGAATGTTTGGAAAAAAACTAATATGCTAGTGTTACAGGCTTAGAACGTTTACATACTCCGGCCGTATTCCTGGAGTTAACCCTGACGCTTGGAAAGCAGTGGCTGGGACTAGAGACGGTTCAAACCGCCCCCGCACCAATCTAACAAGGTCTATGCTAGACCTGGGGGGTAAAGATCAAATGTCCATCAAACAGACTCGGACCTTTTATTCTCCAAAAGTTCAGGATGTTATGCGTGAGCTGGGGTAATAATCTTAACTTATTATTAATTATATACAACTTATACTCAGCAGTGTGTAAACTAGTCATCCCAGAACATCGAAAACTAGGTAAGTACTAAGTAAGTGATTGGTGATGCATGAAGTGTAAATTTCTCGTTTGATCACATTTTTTAATCCGCATTCCTGCAGATACTACCAAGAAGCCGATTGGGCAAAAGTTTGCTACGACTACCTAATTGGAGTAGATGACCGATACATCCCTGTCAAAGAGCGGCTTCGAAGTTGGGTGGCAATGTGGGAAACCTTGACATCATTTGTTAGTTTACAGCAGTTTCCCCCTATCGGCAAGCATCTACCTATGTATAGGAGTAATACTAATAGTGATGAATTAGAGAAGGATACGGGTATGCCAAAGGTAAACAGTTTATCACATTTTTTGAGTTTTAATTTCTTCGCTTGTTATAGTGGGCAACATAGTGTGTAATCCTTTAAATAGTTTAAACTTTTCTACCATGAAACAATCCCATCTCAGACCGGTTATAACACACAGTAAATGCCAAGTTTACTCTCGTCGCAGTTAAAAATTGAACAGGCCTGTCAGTAATATTGTGACTCAAACAAATAAGTTGATACAGTTCTTAAATTTGTAACAACAATAATTATCCTTAGGAGCTGTTTGAGGCGACACTGGCTGCAATCCAAGCTAGAGTACAGATTTACGGCGATTGTCCAGAAGGGTATGCTGCAAGAGCAGTGTCAAGTATCGATGTGGAGAACTTTCATGGCCAACTCCACCGGCAACACCACCACGGGGCTCAGACTGCTACAGTATGGGAGGTACAAGGGTCACTTGCCCACCTAGCAGTAGCTACGAAGATCAAGAAGCTCCCCGCCTTCAGCAAACTCCTAGAGATACCAGAAGAAGACTCCTTCTACCCTCTCCCCTTTACTGGAGAGAATCTCTCTCAGAAGCTCAAGCTAAAGGATTGTCTGTTCGATAAAACACCTGGCTCTAAGAAGAATAAAGAGGTTTGACATTTTAAACTTTTAAACATTGCTACATTCTTACTGAGGTCAGAGTTATATCAAAAGGTATTTAAGTTGCCAGCTAACAAGATTTTGAAACTTTAAAGTGCACCTTAGTTTTAAATACAACTAGACGATAAACCTGCTGAAAAAGTGCGAAAATTAAAGACTTATTATTCCCAGGTTAGACCCAGGACGGTGAACGAGCCGCCCAGAGGTGCCGTTCCTGTTAGGACAGCCGGTTTCCACAAAAGGAATGAAGAAAGATAGAACAATTTAAAATGTTTGATTGTGAAATGCATTACGTTTATTTTTTTTGTTTTCCGATATATGTTTGAAGAGTTGACTTCAAGTTTTAGTAGAGTTTAGATAAAATGACTGACACACAATGTTACTTATTTTACCCTTTTCCAGAGAGTACGATTTTAAATACTATGATTAATGAAAGCATGCTATTAAAAATAGAGTACATACCATTGTTCGAAGTCTGCAAAATCGGACGGGCTGACGATTGTTATCGGCTGCGTTCTCATATTTGAGCTAATTTAAAATATAGAAGGTTAAACGACTATCAATTATATCAGACAGCATCAGCAAAAACTCTATCCAATAATGAACATAGCATAGGTGATGTAAGCAGTTTCCATCGAGCAACAGTGGACGATGAACAGTTTAACTAAATCGCAAACACAGCGTACATCAACATATTTGTATTATTAACACAGCGTGTAAAACAGATGACGCGCGTTGAACACAAGCGAATTCAAACTGTCAAATTTGACGCTGGCTCCAATATCAGGAAAGAATCATGAAACCAAGGCAACTTGATTCTATTATCCAACGCGACATTGGTTTGAGCGCATTATCGACACGTTTTAAATGCGCAGAACACTTTTGTGCGCGGCACTAGCATTTTAAATTTTCAAAATTCAAATCATAGCCAGAGTTATGGTTATTTTTCAAGACAAATTTTGAGGCAAATTTTACGTGTAAATTATCCATTTTTCATTCATGATCACTCATAATTTGAACAATTTACCTTGGATTGAATTGAACTCTTCAGTATTCGATGATTAAAACAATTGTTTTAAGAACAGAGTAGTTTTAAAGCTAAACATTCGCAATTTGTCTTAACAGGAGTCTTGGGAGAATTATAAAAATGAAATTTAAACGTTTTAGCGGCGCATGAAGCCCGCGGCTTTCGCTGGGGTGAATGATCATGACAATGTTGCAATTAGATTTTAAAACTTTTCTGCTAACGCGTTTATGAACGTTGGTTTTTTTAAAGGACAAAAGTTTTAGCAGTTGATGCACAAAAATGTATTTTAATGTTAATTCTTTCTTAATTAGAAATCTTAACAAGTGTGTTTATCCCTATGCACGGCACTCTTTTCGAGCTTTTTCATATGTGAAGGGAACCGAGCAAGAAACTAGCAAGATAGGTTATGCTTGGTCAGCTCAGATGATTTCATGCTTGATACGAATTTGTTCTAGCTACTAGTTGATGTACCTCACTGTAAGAGTTAATGTAGGGTTGATGACTGCTCAATATATACAGGGTACATGTACACCTTACAGAGTCGCGATGGTGTTTCTTTTGAAGATCTTTTTACGTTAAACACTTCGTAGGCCTTTGCAATATCCTGATTTAGACGTAAGAAAGACAAAAAACAAGGAGGGATCCGGATCCATCCTCGTTTTTTTCTTGGTAGGCCTACCAAGATTAAAGATTTTCGATCTTGTTGGGGTATCCTTTATATTAGTTATTTATACATTTTAGTTTACCATAACTTTATACAATAAAGTTATAACGCGAACGTATACTATCTAATTGTTGTACAGAGCTTTGTACAAGAATGCAAAAGACGTTTGGTTATACGATCTAACAAACATATTTTCAAGCCTCAGTTTATCGACCCCTGATTTGCTGTAAACCCCATATTACTTCACCCCGGCCAAGCCCTTCCCTTCCCGCTAAAATGTTGGAAAAATGTCCTCCTTTTTAATTTGATATCATAAGATCCTTCGAAATACGTCTCATAAATCGATGCTGATGTCCAGTAAACTTGTCAGGCTCGTTAATTCTACTTTCTACCCCTTACCTAAGTGCTTGTGAACCATAATCCACAATTCACTGTCTTGTTTTCCTTTGCCCAAACTGTACGATAGATAGGGGTTTTACTGTAATTGTTTTATCTGTTCTGTAGTTATTTCAAGATTTAAACAACAATTTCAAGATAACAACAATTCTATTTAGTATCAATTAAAGCAAACAAAAATATATTTTATATATTAACTAGCACGATTTTTAGACCAGATATCTTAGGGGACTTGGAATAGAAGAAAGTGGCTAGAAGGTATATACCTTTTACTAAAATACGTCGAAAAGAATCCAGGGTGATACAGTATCGGAAAGTGCACACCGTGAAGTTTACGCACCCACCTTTGTCTTCTGAATTCTTGGTTTGGTAGACATTTATGTGAACTTGGTCGTTTATACTCCAAGTCCCTTTGTTAAAAAAGTAATATAATTTATCACTGGAGTTAACCTTATTCAATAATAACAATATCAACTTAAAGCTCACCTGTTTAGAAAGTCCTTTGATTTGTACTGAGTAACTAATCCTTTATTGAAGGTTAAGATTTAATTAAAATGTTTATCTTATAGCAGGTCAATTTCACGCTTTAAATTAAATTATTTTAGGCTATTAGTTTTCAAGGATTTTTGGGCAACATTTAAGGTAATAATCTTCTTTTTTTTTTGCGTTTCACTGTGTCTGCCAACAAAATTGTAGTGTAGGTCGGAAAAGGAGGCTCTATCCTGGGACACCAACATTTTTTGGGTTGGCACCCGGGAGAAAGCTACCTTATTCTTTGTATTTTGTCTCAAGTACTAGAGCATCTTTTCTTCTCTTTTTTACTGTCTCTACTTTTATGTTGCCCAGATTGTTTGGTATGACTGTATTGGATTTTCAGATATAATCTTTATCATCAGTTACTGTTCTGCAGTAAACTTCTTCAATCAATTTTTATTGTATATTGGAAACTTCAGATTGTTTGTATATTTGGAGTCTATAGAATTTCTATGGATTTTTTAAGGAATTTTTATTGAGTTTTTATAGAATTTTTAATACATCAGGGAATTTCATTTTTATAAACCTGATTTTTAAATTTGTTAGGCTGTTGAGTTTCATACTGTGATTTCTGTATATTTGGAGTTATATATATTTGGAGTCTCATACATGTAGATTTCTTGTGGTCATCATCTATTTTTCATATGTTTTGTTAGAAAACCTGCTAACCTTTCTTGGATATCTTCTTGTTAAAGGTGTTTCTGCCTTATTTAGTCAGGATTTAACTTGTAGCTATAAACTTCCGTTTTTAATTCCAGTCCAAGGCGAGATGCACGATCTCTACTGTCATTTAGGTATCATTTACAGCTGAGCATAAGGGTTAAATTTAAATTATTTAACCTTTTGGTGCTGTATCAAAATAACATTAATTTATTATTATTATTATTATTATTAGAAAACCTGCTAACCCTTCTTGGATATCTGCTTGTTAGGTGCATCTGCCTTATTTAGTCACGTTATATTTTACAGTTTTTATCTCCTGTTTTCTGAACAGTTTCTTGTTCCACCTCCGTCTAAGGCAAAGATGCACACTCTCGTTAATTTAAGTATCTTTTACAGCTGTGCATAAGGGTTAAATTTAAATTATTTAACCTTTTGGTGCTGTATAAAAATAACATTAATTTATTATTATTATTATTATATCAATATCAAATTAACTAAATTATAAATAAAGATATTCAATAATTAAAACATTACATCAAGTGGTTAAAAACGCCCAAAGTCGATCTGAGAGCTTTTCAGCCTATAGTACAATCATGATAGTAATTATAGTAAGTGTGTGCCGCTGCAATTAGATAACTGCAATTGAAATTGTTTGGAGTCCAAGTATTTTTTAAGTCAGCTGCCTGTGATTGTATTAATAGTGCTTTGGTTCTCAATTTTATCAAGTTAATGGAAGTTTCTAGGCAATTGCTTGAAGTGAGAATTTTTTAAGAACAGTGTTACAAAGTTTGTATTGGCTCCATTAAGCAAAAAGTTATTTTATTTATTTAGAAGAATAAACGTTAGACTCGTTGTCTGGTTGTTCTCGGAATTTCCAAGATGTCCTTTTTTAACACAGCACTGATGACACTGCTAGCGAAGTATTAATCCATATCTTAGTCCTACTTGTACTTGTGCAGTAAAAATTATTGGTTATAATGTGGGTTTATCTCAACATGCTAGTTCGTGAACACTTTATGCCCTGAAGATTTTTTGTTTTTATTCTTGTAAATTATTTATTACCAAACTTATCATGGTGTGGTAGTGTCAAAAATATTATAAACCATTTTATTATTATTTTGAAGTACAATTGATATTGGCTTTTATCTCCTCTGGGTAACACAAGTTATTGTTATTTTGTTATTAAGCTATAATCAAATAAACTCCAGTCCCCCTCCAGGATGCTAATAAACAGCATATTTTTCATCAATCATTCTGGGTAAGTTATTAACATTGAATTATTCACAGTTTTACCATTTTCGTCTTATATTTAATAGTTTTTTCTTGGAAATGTTTGAGCTGTGACAAGATGTGACATGACCAATGCTGTTGCTAAAAATGCATTGTTAGATACTAGTGCAACATTTCTGACTATTCTATTATTGCTCTGCGCTAATATTGTAATGTCCATACTCACTCTTTTCTAGAGACATATTTCTTGAGAAACATTGGAGATCTATAGTAAGCAGATCAGTTTGTGACCAGTTCTTTGATGCCCAGACTAAGGCAGCCACACCTGAAGATGTTCCCCCTATCATAACTGCAAACAAAAACTATTTGATTAGTATTTACAGAGAGAAGATCTATCTGGTCGCAGTTACTCAAATGGAAGGTTTGCTTTGTTGTGTCAACAATTTTTCTTGACTTACCTTACTCGGGATTATTATGACCGGGATAAAGTGGCGGGTTTAGGGTAATTTCACCATATTTTTCCCAAACCACATTTTCACCGGTCGTTAATAAACCCGCCGACTCAGCTTTTAGGGTTCCCAAGGGGTATGGGTGCTCATATTTTAATCGTTGTCTTATATTCACTAAAGAAGCCTATTGGAACACTTGTTGTAGGTTTTTCGACTTCATTTGGCTAAAATTGCAAAAAATTCACCTTTTTGCCCAATTCTTGTCATATATCCTTATTGTCAAAGTTGATTTAAATAGGCCAATTTTTAATTTCTTAGGTATTGACTATCTCTACATAATGAAATAGGACTCAAAGTAAAAGTAAAAGTTAAATTAAAACTTGAATTAATTAAAACTGTCAATAACATGAATCAGTTTCATCAGTCATTTATTCATAATTCTAAACAATGTGAACGATGCATTCTTTCGAAGATTTTCTACAAATTGAGGCATAATGGTTATTTGATACACTACTTTCAACAATTATTGATAATTCGACTTGTTTCACAAGTTTTAGCAATGCGAAAATTTCTAAACTTGCTTATCTCTAATAAGGAAATTTACATCTGAGACCAAATTTTTGAATCTAAAATTGAAAGGTTGGACACCGGTAAAATGGCGACCGGGAAAATGTGGTGGGTTTTGAGCAATTTCGCCATATTTTTCCCGAACCATATTTTAACCGGTCGTTAATAAACCCGTCGTAATAATCCCGAGTAAGGTAGATGTATTTGATGGGTTGCTGTAACATTTGCATTTGGTGTATTACTATTATTAATCTAGTTTTAGTTGCGTTACTGACAGCCGCTTAGATCAAATACTAACCCATATATAACTCATCCGAACCCACTTTTCAGTTCAACCATTATTTGTGATAGAGTTTATGCACAGAGTCATGGACACTTTTACTGAATACTTCGATGAGTGCACAGAGAGCGCTATTAAAGACAATATAATTGTTGTTTACCAGGTTTGTCTCTGATTATACTACTAGATACTGCAGTTAAATGGACCTTAATTCATTACCAAACAGTCTCTCTCACTGTTGTGTCATTTTCAAAGATCATTCAATGAGACTCTATATCAGATCACTGCTCATGCTGTATCAGGTTACTAAATAATGTCTTCGATAATATGTTAAAAAAACTGTGAATATTTAAATGGTTTGTAACAACATCTCAGAAACCATTGTATAAACCGATAACTTTAATGACACTGAATTTTCAGCTACTAGAAGAAATGCTGGATAACGGGTTTCCCTTGGCTACAGAGCTAAATATTCTAACAGAGTTGATAAAACCACCAACAATCATCAATAAGGCTGTTTCAATGGTCACCGGCAAAGAAGGGTAAGTTTTAACTAATTGACTTGTCTGATTTTAAAGTTGTTAAATCATTAAAATGAAATAATTATGTTGCACTTTTCTATCACATAAACCTACAAATAAGCGCCATGACTAACCCCAAATATTTGCAGCGTGAGCTCAGTATTACCAGGCTCCCAACTCTCCAATGTTCCTTGGAGAAGACAAGGAGTAAAGTATGCGAACAACGAGGCTTACTTTGATTGTATAGAGGATGTGGATGCTATTATTGATGCTAACGGAACTGTCGTTTCTGCTGAAATTCATGGAAATGTAAGAAACCCGTCAGTCTGGAATCATTATAAAATTTATATGCAATCGTACTTAAAAATGATATATTACATAATAATTGTTGGTTACAACTTTATGACTGATTATTATTGCGGCAGTAGTTTACGCTAGATTATTACGATAACTAAAATAAGATAACAATGTAATCCCCCGCCCAGATAAACTGCAATGTGCACTTGTCCGGTATGCCAGATCTCAGTATGTCCTTCATAAACCCCCGATTACTGGACGATGTCTCCTTCCACCCCTGTGTCAGGTTGAAACGCTGGGAGAACGAGAAGATACTCTCTTTTGTTCCTCCTGACGGCTCCTTCGTTCTCATGAGTTATCATATCAGTACTCAAAAGTAAGTTACTTACTGGTATACAGACATATTATAACTTATACTGACTGCTATAAAAACAATAATAGATCTGCCTTTTATCACTTAAGTTTAGTAAATTTTACGAAAATGGCCGTAGTATGACATCGTACTACGACTGTTTCTGAATTGAAATTTGGAAATTTGTACTTAATTTATGTTTAAGAGATCATGACGGGCTCCAGCTCTGACATATTTTTCAGTCAAGTTGCGATTCCAGTGTATGTTAGAGCAATGATAAACTTTAAAGACGGTCAAGGAAAAGTGGACATTACTGTTGGACCCAAACAGACACTTGGAAAAACTGTTAGTTTAATTAAACTGCGTCACCACGCTATTAATTTCATTCGAATAACTTAAGTCATAAGTTAGAATTGAGTCAACAAATTGGCGTGTCACCAAACTGGCATGGTGTGTTGGTGTTTTACCCAATTTTAAAATAAAGTTTACTAATTATATAACATATTTAAATCCAGGTAGATAACGTAGTAATAACAGTGCCGATGCCGAAGGATGTGACGGGCTGCTCGATGACTACCTCTGTGGGCTCCTACACTTTTGACCCTAGCTCAAAACAGCTGAGATGGGATATCGGAAAAATACAACCTCTTAAAGTTCCTACCATGAGGGGCACTGTAAGTTTACTTTGTAGCTGGTCACTTGATTAAGTTGTTCAGTTTACCCCTCCAGGGCCAATCTCTTATCTACATCATTTCACCATTCAACAAATATCTTAGACCAATTAATTTGATATGACTGAATCTTTTTTCAACATAAAAGTGTTTGTCTAAGATTTGTATAACTCTGTCCCCATCTTCAGTGTACAGCTCCAGCAGGCTCCCAATGTAAAGACGCGCACCCAACAATCCACGTGGACTTTAAGATAATGCAGTTAGCTGTGAGTGGACTGAAGGTGAACAGGTTGGATATGTTCAACGAGAACTACAAGCCATTTAAGGGGGTTAAGTACATCACTAAAGCGGGCAACTTCCAAGTTAGAACCTAACGTTTCGTGATTAGTAGTGAGTAACAGTGGCCAGTGCTGTATGATGTATCGTAAAAGGTCACGTGATATGACGTCATATCACGTGTTTTATGAAGCAAACTACAAGTTATGACTTATGGTGACATGAACTGAAATTTCTAAGACCGAACAAATTTTGTTCCCATCAACTAACTTGCTGACTGATGCTAGTTTCTCTTTAATGTTTCAACTTTTAATCCTTTAAACACACGAGTTAAATTATTACGACGGCGAATTCAGGATACTTAAATGCAATGCGATTCTTTAATTGTCATTAACCACTTTTAGCAGTCGAAGTTGTCAAGTCATTTTATTCTAGACGTAGAATATCGCTTTAAAACTTAGAATGAATAACTAACAGTAAATAAAGTTTGCGCTTCTAACTATCATAGCGATCAATGATTTGGGGTGATTGGACAGTCTGATGAACGGTTAGCTTCGTAGAATGACATGATTGGTATTGGGAATGGGGTACCGATTTGAGGCTAGATTGAAATATGGTTTTAAGTTTAAATTGTTTTGGTGGGCTCTGGGAATAAAACGATTTTTTCGGCTTCTTTGATCTCTATCCTTGGAATTGGATAGTGGATACATCGTTGTGTTCTTAAAAACGATTTTAAAATCGCAAATTAAGTTTGTCCTATGCTATGTAAGTTGTGACTTTAAAATTATACGATTTTAGTTATTAAAATATTTCGATGCTGAAGTATGATTCCGTTTTGATGTTACTGTGATAATCAGTTAAATTTGTGTCATTATGATTTAATTTAACAGCTACATGATAATGTAATGAAATTAGTCGAAAATGTTTTATATTGTATTGTTGAATGACTAAGATATGATTTAAATTCAATTCTATCGTGAGAAATATTAATGAACTTTATTTTTGTTTCCTCAGCTGGTCTAGGAATTTTTATCGAATTGTGTTTTTCTGGGCTGTTCTCATTTTATAGTTCTGACTTTTGATCTCAAATTTGTCAAAACAATCCATTGATAAATCGAATTGACATCTAGTTTAACATTTGAACTTTCAAAAATAAAAAAGTTTCCAATCATATAACAATATTCAGGAATGTAATCTGATAACCAATCCATTTTAAATAATTAATTAACTAACGACTACTATAGGATAGCCACCGGGCAATGTGACCCTAACAGGACACCCCACTTCACAACGCGTACCAGAAGAGAACCACCCCTAGCTCGCACGCGACAACATGACGTGATAGATGAGCGAGCGACTGTTTGGGTTCACGCGCAGTGAGCTGGTCGAGCACCACGGCTGGGTTTCTGACGTCGTCTTCGACAACCAGCAGGTACGCACGTGTGTGTGGCGCGAGCGCAGGTAGGAAGACGTGAACATTTTATTGCATGAGGATTACTCCAGCAGCGATATTATACTGCTACTCTCAATGACTATTCCTTAAGTTCAGACTTTAGCCTTGCTTTTGGTCAGCACACTGACTGACTTCACGTTATTTTTTCACATCACGTGACCTATCACATGATCTCAGGAGTTAGTATGGGTAGCAGGACAGAAAGGTTATGTGACCAGCTACTATTCGTGTGGCTTACAACTCTACACTAAGTTCTTTGCTAATGACGAGGTTGTTCAGCTGATGCCTGTCCAGGCTGGCATACTCAGCTTGTCCTCCAACAGGCTCAACCTACACACACGACAGGTAATCAGCTAATTACATAATTAGTCAGCTTCATGATTAATCAATTAACTATGTAATTAGTTTGAAAAACTGAATCCGGAAAACTCTCCTGTGCTGTGCAGTGTTCGACGTTTCAGTGCCATTAGCCATACAATATACAACCTTATAAAGTCATAACTAATCGCCTAATATCTTAACTAATTAGTCACCACCACTTATCTTCAGGGGTTGTCCCAGCACTCGTTCACCTCTCCCAACATGACCAAGATGTGCTGCATGTGCACGAACTCTAACTCTAACGATGTTCTGATTGGTGGCCACACTAAACACGTGACTAAGTACGATCTGGGTAAACAGAAAGTGGTTAACGAGATCGTGCTGGGAGATGCTGGGTGTGTCATCATCAGAGAGACCACCAGTCTTTGTTGTTTTGGTGAGTAGAAGCAAGGGGTGGGTGGGTTGGTGGGGAGAGGGGATGCACTGACCACATCGGGGTGGTGAAGGGGGTGCACTGACCACATCGGTAATCGTTTTACTGAAGTTGATATTATGATAAGAAGATTATCAGGATATTGTGGCACGCCTTATCATACAATGTTAAACTGATATTTCATGACGATAATGGCAGTGAAAAGTTAGAACTTTTTACTGGACGAAATAACTAAATAACTTGATAAAGAGTACACTGTACAGTTGCAGTGGTGCTCTTACTAAGTTTATAATGATACACTGGTGGTTTCAGTGTTCATTTGTTCAACGTATCAATCGTTTGAGACTGTTCTAGCTTCGCTGAATTTGTATTGAATTGGAGTTTACTTGTAACTGAATAAGATACGTGTACAATGTACAATGTACACACAATATTGTAATCTGTGAAAAACATGAACTCTTTCTGGATTTTATCAAATTCCATAATTTACGTCATAACCAAAGTTAGTTTTCACTACATTCTAATACCGCTGATTCAGGTTGTCCTGATGGAGATATAGCCCTGTACGATAAGAACACCTACAAGAAAGCCAGCAACATCCCCGCACATTCGGGCACCATCTCCGACTTTGACATCTGCGACAATCTCCTTGTATCCTGTGGGTTTGCGTCGCGCGGGAACGACATGTCCGTGAAGCGCTCACTGCTTGTGTACGATCTGCGCATGATGCGCAGCCTCAACGCAGTGCACTGCTCAATAGATCCGGTTCAGCTGAGGTTCATGCCCATGTACCACTCACAGGTGAAACTCATTTTAAACGTTTTTCTGCAAAAACGTCCATTCGTAACCTTTCACTATTGCCTTTTTTCAAAAGGGTGAAAAGGAAAAAATAGTTGTCAGTGGGATCGGACCGAAACGGTCCCAACTGGGATTCGAACTCAGGCCGACAAAACTTGAAGCTATTCTTTTAACAAGAATCTCGTACCAGATTAGAGTCTTTACACCTCTCCCAGTACACAATTTAGCAGATACTCTAGTTCTAATGATTATCCTGAACTTGGCTAGTATATATGAAATATTTGACATGGAGTTGTAGGGTGAGTTATGTGCCTCGCCGGGCTAAAGTAGTGGATGTCCTTGCTGTACGGCAAGTTAAACAAGGAACTGAAACTACTAGGTTCCGTACAGACTCAACTCTGCACCCATGTCAATATGTTCATTATATGCAAGCCTCTTGATTTATAACCAAGTAATTTTGTTCAGGTCCTGATCGCATCACAGTCCGGGCAGTTCCAACAGCTGGAAGTAACAGCAACCCTTCCTCAGAACAAGTATTTGTTTGAGGTGGATTTAGCGGGTAGTTACTGTAATGCCATCGACCTTTCCTCCACATCTAAAGCTCTAGGTTAGTGAAAGTGAAGTGAAAGTGAAAGTGAAAGTGAAGTGAAAGTGAAAGTGAAGTGAAAGATTGAGTCAGTGACCCAAGTGAAATCAAAGATGGCTTCAAAGATGCTGTAAGTGTAATGCCAATTTCAATGATTCTGAATCTAAGATTAACATCAACTACAAAACCATTTCCCCTTTTCAGCAATCGGAGACTCATCAGGAGTGTTACACTTACTAGCGTCTCAAGAAGGAACAGCTTTTAACTCCTTCTCACAACCCACATACTTCCCTACAGAAAACATGCTCAACTTCCCCAAAGTCAATGTTAGTTTAAATGTTCTTACAGTTCAGTCAGTTTCTAGGTTTACAATTATTTTAAAAGGGACTCTGAAGTGTAGGCGGATTCGAAATTTAATCTAAATGGTAACATGGCGAGACTTCATCTTAGATGACGTCACATCTCATCACGTGACGTCACTTAAACTTTTATAATCCTTCCGTTCAAGTAGTAACTTCTCTACAGATAGACGACTACAATTTCCCGCTGGCAACTGTCCCGATGCCTCACGCAACAGAGAGACTATTGAGCGAATGGCCCCCAGAGTTCAACAGAACCGGAGATCGAAGGACAAAACCCATTGACCCTGAAATACTCCGCAATATGAAGATGGTAAAATTTTATCTTTCACTTTTTCTTATCTTTATTTACCTAAGTATCTTTATCTCTTTCTCTTCCCTCTTTTTGATAACATCAGTATGCCAGACCAGAGTCTGTTATATTTTAACCAATCTGCAAACATAAATAAAATCAGTTAACAATATAATAGTCTGGTGAATATTGACGTTATAAATTTCAGGTTGGGTTTGTCGGTGGCTACTCACCCAATCCGCATAACATGTACAAGAACACTATACCATACGATCTAAACTTACAGCGGGTTGAAGAGCTGAAGAAGAGAGAGGAAGTTGTCACCAATATACCCAGGGTAACGTTATTTTTCACTTTCACTTTCACTTTGATTCCCAGAGCTTGTTCTACAGGACATAAAAGCTCTTTGGTACGGTTTCCATTCTAATATTGTATCGAAGTTTCCCCACGTGTTATAGCATAACTAAAGAATAAAGATCTAATTCCAATTTCTAGGTTTATCAGAGAATAGACGTAGATCCCACATCCCTGACGGACTCAGAACTCCACAATTACAACAGAACTAAATTTAGCGTCTTCTACAACAACAAGGGGAATACTTACATCTGTACTGTCTTACAGGTAACATTTTGTGGCGTCACTGCATGAATATGACGTCACTAATCGTACCGCGTGACAGGTTATCGTTTGACATTAATACGTCTTAGCTAATAGTAATATTTAGAAAACAAACAAATACTATAGTACGAATTGAATTGGGTAATATTATGATCTATTTATGGCGTAATATATTCGATAATAAATTACTAACATTATTAAATATTTCAGATGCTGTATTACCTGGAGCCGATAGCACTAGCCCTTAAATCCCACATCTGCCAGAATACTGGATGCTTGGCTTGCGAGCTGGGGGTCCTCTTTTACACGCTTGATGTCTCTGATGATAAGATCACTGACATCGACAGTTTTATTCAGGTATCTCCACTCAATCTTCACTGAATCTGACCCAAAAGACGACTGTTAATTAATTTGACGTTCACAATTCACATTCTGATTTAATTTATTAAGATTAAAAATGATATAATTAGCAGTACATGGTTTTTACGTTCCTCCCTCCCCACAACACTCCCTCCGCAGGCGTTTGAGCAGCAGCCAGCAGCGAAGTACCAGGACTGGCAGCTGTACGAACGTCACCACGAGAAGAAGGATTACTTACAACTGCCCCAGAGTTTACTAACTTTCTTACTCAGACACCTGCACGAGGAGATACTGAGACCTCCCCAACCTACCAGCGCTATCTACCTTACTTTCGGCAGCAAGGTAAGAGGGCTGTGACGTCATGTCACGTGGTGTGTGACGTCATTTCACAAGGTGTGTGACGTCATGTCACTTGGTGTATGACGTCATGTCACTTGGTGTATGACGTTATGTCATGTCACATAATTGGTATGGGGTTGCGAAAGCGCCCAAGTCAGAGTTTTTCATCTTACTCATCGAAAATCGCAAATTTAATCCGTGTTTTTAATTTTGTTCTAATAAAACGTCTCTACAAATAATTTGACCTAATTTGGACAGCGGTAAACACTATATTTGAATCAAATCACCCAGTTTTTGTTTCCCTCATATTCATATTATAGATGACGTGAGTTAACCATGTTCCGTGCTACATACCAATATTACAGGTAGGACACAGGACAACATGTGCCACGTGTCAACAGTCTTGGTACAATAAACCGAGCATCAACCTCACCTACTCCCTCGATTATCCCAGAGAGGCTGGTGTCAAGATCACATTCGTTGACGTACGTTTATTTACTTTTAGTTAGTCGAAGATACGGTTTCAAGAAAGATTATCATGTCGAATTTTTAAATATTTATTTAATAATTATAAACATTTGGATACCCAAACTTCCTAAATGAGTGGAACTACCGAAGCTAAATTTGTAAAAAGATTAACATTAACGGTCACGTTTAACCTTTGTGCAGTTGTTAAAGAGGACGATGCAAGCAGAGAACACAACACGACACATCCTTTGTAACCGTTGTGGCAACTACACACCCTGTAGCGACAAGGCGGTACTCGAGTCTCTACCCTACATTTTACAGCTTAATTGTGGTAAGTTATTATATTTTGTGTACATAATAACATGATTATTTTCAGAATTTAGCAGAAATGTGTAATAATTTTTCACCTTATGAAATTCATCTCGGCAGAATTTAGCTAAGGATATTTGACTAACTGATGGGAAAAGAGCAAGTGACATTATGAAATCCTAGCTTACTTTTAAAATTGCCCCTAATCATGGTATAATCAACTGAGTCGAATGTTAACAAATTACAATTAACTTATTAAATTTATAATTGTGAATTGTGACGCTCCAGTTAATGGCCATTAAAAGCCGACACTGGTCGACTCTACATTATTAAAAGCGTATCACCTAGAGATATGTACGTTGTTTCATGACATGTGTATGATAACCAATTGTCTTATGTTTATAACCTGGGTTATCTCGGGGCAGAGTAATCACTTTACAACAGCTGTTTAGTGTTTATACGGATACTCGCTTTGATAAACATCGGTTTAAACGGAAGTACTCTCAGCTATTCCATCCAGTCCCTCATGGAGAGGCATGCTAGCTATATAAACGGCGATTATAAACCACAGAAGGATCTCCGTTCATATCCGGCTACACTAGCTAGAGTTTAACTCTCACGCTTCCCCATGATGACGTCATAATGGTGCAAAAGGTTACAAACAGTTCCTTGAGTTTTAAATTTAGGTGATATGTGTAATGTGTGAGCTATATCAGCTCTGCACAAATCAAAAAATCGATGAATTTTTCAAACAATCTTTCTAAATGAGTGGTTTTAAAATAAATTCCCAATATACAGGTAAACGTTAAGAAAAAATAGCAGTATTACCTCAATCCAATGCTTTTAAATAGAATGAATGGTAATTTGAGTATCGAATAACAATGTCTCAATGGCGCAAATTTACAATGAAATTAAGTGAGCAACATTATTAAATAAATGTGTGTTACACTTAATATTTAGGAAATCAACCGTTTACACAATTCGATGAGTATTGCAGGAGATTTTCAACGTTCAAACAAAGAATAATTATCATTCGCATTGTAAAGACAACATCACAACATGATAGATAAAGGGGATAAAGTATTTTTCATTGCAGAGGCATTTTAAAAATATGATCGGCTCACGCTTGGAATTATAGGTTATCATTTTAATCATGTTAATACGACATGAAGTAAATAATCATAATTATATTCATAGTTACGGAATCTGTATAGTAAGGTTGTGTTCCAAATCCGGATGAAATTGCTGTTCCGTTAGATTTGTTCTCGTCCTCCGTTTCCTCTTCTACCTCCGTTTCCTCTTCTACCTCCGTTTCCTCTTCTATCTCCGTTTCCTCTTCTATCTCCGTTTCCTCTTCTACATCTGTTTCCTCTTCTACATTCGTTTCCTCTTCTACCTCCGTTTCCTCTTCTATAGTTGTTTCCTCTTCTACCTCCGTTTCCTCTTTTACATTATTTTCCTCTTCTACCTCCGTTTCCTCTTCTACCTCCGTTTCCTCTTCTACATTATTTTCCTCTTCTACATTCGTTTCCTCTTCTACCTCCGTTTCCTCTTCTATAGTTGTTTCCTCTTCTACCTCCGTTTCCTCTTTTACATTATTTTCCTCTTCTACATTCGTTTCCTCTTCTACCTCCGTTTCCTCTTCTATAGTTGTTTCCTCTTCTACCTCCGTTTCCTCTTTTACATTATTTTCCTCTTCTACATTCGTTTCCTCTTCTACCTCCGTTTCCTCTTTTACATTATTTTCCTCTTCTACCTCCGTTTCCTCTTCTACCTCCGTTTCCTCTTCTACCTCCGTTTCCTCTTCTACATTCGTTTCCTCTTCTACCTCCGTTTCCTCTTCTATAGTTGTTTCCTCTTCTACCTCCGTTTCCTCTTTTACATTATTTTCCTCTTCTACATTCGTTTCCTCTTCTACCTCCGTTTCCTCTTCTATAGTTGTTTCCTCTTCTACCTCCGTTTCCTCTTCTACCTCCGTTTCCTCTTCTATAGTTGTTTCCTCTTCTACCTCCGTTTCCTCTTCTACATTCTTTTCCTCTTCTACCTCTGTTTCCTCTTCTACCTCCGTTTCCTCTTCTACCTCCGTTTCCTCTTCCACATACATTTCCTCCTCTACATTCGTTTCCTCTTCTACCTCCGTTTCCTCTTCTACCTCCGTTTCCTCTTGATCTTCTACATACGTTTCCTCTTCTACAATCGTTTCCTCTTCTACCTCCGTGTCCTCTTCTACCTCCATTTCCTCTTCTACCTCCGTCTCATCTTCATCTTTCTCCACTTCACAAAATCCACAAGATTTTGCGCAATTAACTGTCATAGACTCATAGTGTTCGCTACCTGTGGATTATTTGGACATTAGGATTTGAGCAAGACTTTGGATGTAAATTGCAGGAAAGAAAATCCTTTTTATCGCACTCAAATAAGCTCTTTCATTCAAATTTCTGATTGTTTCTGAATAGACGCAGTGGAGACAGATTCTAATGGAAATAAATAGCTGAATAACGTATCGACATTTCTACGTCATACTCATATTCTGAAATAGTATTAATTCAATTATAACGATCAATATGTACATGATTAAAAATTTGACGACGAAATTTATTTCAAACAAAATATATAACTGTAAAATAGTTATCCACTGTAAAACAGTGGATTTTACAGTGGATAACTATTTTACAGTCATATATTTTGTTTGAAATAAATTTCGTCGTCAAATTTTTAATGTACATATTGATCGCTATAATTGAATTAATACTATTTCAGAATATGTATTCGACGTAGAAATGTCGATACGTTATTCAGCTATTTATTTCCATTAGAATCTGTCTTCACTGAGTCTATTCGGAAACAATCAGAAATTTGAATGAAAGAACTATCAAATCATGAGACTCAATAACACTACACGAATCCACCAGATTACTCAAATAAGCAATGTTTGTTACATATTGTACCTGAATCGCAGTATCCATTAGACATCCAACTCGCGCAGTTTCCAGCATGTTCAGAATTGTCTGCACAACCTGTGGATGTTTGAAAGGTCTTTTGATATCTAAAAACCACAAGCGTCACGACGAAAATATTTTCCGTTTATTTATAAGAAAGGCATCATGTAGCCGGTGGGCCCGACATGATACGACATATCTCGACACGTCGGGGTTTGTCGGGGTTTGTCGGGATTCGTTAATAATGGATGAAAAGTGATAAGAAGTTGCTTAAAGAAGATTGATCAATGGCAGTCACGGGCTGTTGATTTTTTTTTTAAATTTTTATTTACGTATTTATTTATTTATTTATTTAAAACTTTTAAAAATAAATAATAATAAACAGAGGCCTCATGTAGCCGGTGGGCCCGACATGATACGACATATCTCGACACGTCGGGGTTTGTCGGGGTTTGTCGAGCCTGGAGGCTACATGTTGCCTTAAGAAGCGATTGCAAAAACAAATAATTTCTGCCATATTGTTCAAAGTTTAGTCTTGAAGTCTTAGTAATCTTACCATCTCCAACCTCCTTCACTTGACAAAAGCCACAAGTCTTAGCGCAATTAAAAAGCATTCCTCCATAGTGTTCACTACCTGTAGATTGTAGTTACGTTTATTGACAATGTTTTTAATGCAATATTAAGGGGGCCGGGGGGGGGTCTTCATCAAAATTCTCTCGAAATCGACTTTATAGTTGTTTCTGATAGAGGGGAGTGATATCTATCAGCTGCTTTTGGTCCCATGGAAAAATATTGTTCCTAGCCGAAATTATCGCTGGTCAAAGGTCAGCGCTTATGTGTAATTGTATTGTGCGAGCGATTTTCAATCGCGCGTTCTGAAAATCGAGTCTAAAAATCTATCTTCTCCTACATTTTTTGAGCAATCACCCTCAAACTTTTAGGATATGTTCTTTGGATCAGTAAGAAGAGAACTCTAGAGCCAGAATTTTGAGATAGGCCTTTAAAGATTTTTAATCCGATTTTGAAATTCTTGGACCTCTAAAAATTAAGGTCCAAGAATTTCAAAATCGAATTAAAAATCTTTAAAGGCCTATCTCAAAATTCTGGCTCTAGAGTTCTCTTCTTACTGATCCTAAGAACATATCCTGAAAGTTTGAGGGTGATTGCTCAAAAAATGTAGGAGAAGATAGATTTTTAGACTCGATTTTCAGAACCCGCGATTGAAAATCGCTCGCGCAATACAATTACACATAAGCGCTGACCTTTGACCAGCGATAATTTCGGCTAGGAACAATATTTTTCCATGGGACCAAAAGCAACTGATAGATATCACTCCCCTCTATCAGAAACAACTATAAAGTCGATTTCGAGAGAATTTTGATGAAGACCCCCCCCCCCCCCGGCCCCCTTAACGGATAGAATAATTAACTTGGAATTAAAACGACCTATTTTCAATATTTGGGATATATTAGCTAGTATAGAATTTGGTAATGTAGTTAAAATCACCTGAATCACAGTATCCAGCAGCCATCCAACCTGCACAACTTGCGGCATGTTCAGATTTGTCTGCACAATCTGTGGATGTTTTAAAGAGTATTCTGATGAATAAATACCTCCAGCTTCATTATTATTAAAATTTTAAACATTAAGTTAATCAGAATCCATTCAAAAATTAGATAATTTCTACGATTTTGTAAGTGCAAGGAATTTTTGAACCAAATTGTGAATTTGTAATTTATTACCTTCTTCTTCCTCCACTTCACAAAGGCCGCACGTCATCGGGCAATTAGCGATCATAAACTCATAGTGTTCACTTCCTGTGGATCATTTGGGTTTTCAGATCGCAGCAAAACTTTTGATATAAAATGCGATAAAAGAAAATCATTAATCATTCAACCCTATTGCCCTTTTACTCCTCAGCTTTCGGTCAAATGGGCATGTGCATCAATGGGCATATATGCATCTTTAAGCCTTAAGAACAGCTGAAACTTGAGTTATTATGAAAATCGTGTTCTCCGTGGCCGTCCTCTAATAAGCAAGTACAGCTATATTTCAGTTCAATAGAGTATAATATCAGAAATTATTATTTTTGGCCAAAATTTTACCAAAAAATGATGAAAATGATGCCCATTTTGGCTATTTCTTTTGTACCTTGATCACAAAATCCAGTAGACAGCCAACCTGCGCAGCTTTCAGCATGTTCGGATTTGTCTTCACAACCTGCTGTAATATAAGGGTAGTTTAATTGACAATATTAATTTAAAAAATGGCTGTTCAGTGTGACGCAAGCAACCAAGCAATTATGCTTTCTAGATAAAGATACAAATAATGTTGATACGATAAGAAATGAAAGATTGCACAAACTTAAACCTACGGTATTGTAAGTGCAAGGAATTTTTGAACCTAATTCTTAATTTGTAATTTATTACCTTCTTCTTCCTCCACTTCACAAAGGCCACACGTCATCGGGCAATTAGCGATCATAAACTCATAGTGTTCACTTCCTGCGGATCATTTGGGTTTTCAGATCGCAGCAAAACTTTTGATATGAAATGCGATAAAAGAAAATTATTACCAAGTACCAACCCTATTGCCATTTTACTCCTCATATTTCGGTCAAATGGGCATGTGCATCAATGGGCATGTGCATCTTTAAGCATTAAGAACAGCTGAAACTTGAGTTGAAAATCGTGTTCTCCGTCCTCTAATAAGCAAGTAGAGCTCTATATTTCAGTCCAATAGAGTATAATATCAGAAATCATATTTTGACGATTTTTACCTAAATTTGACCAAAAATTGGTGAAAATGATGCCCAATTTGGCTATTTCTTTTATACCTTGATCACAAAATCCAGTAGACATCCAACTCGCGCAGTTTCCAGCATGTTCAGAATTGTCTGCACAACCTGTGGATGTTTGAAAGGTCTTTTGATATCTAAAAACCACAAGCGTCACGACGAAAACATTTTCCGTTTATTTATAAGAAGCGATTGCAAAAAAAAATTCTGCCATATTGTTCAAAGTTTAGTCTTGAAGTCTTAGTAATCTTACCATCTCCAACCTCCTTCACGTGACAAAAGCCACAAGTCTTAGCGCAATTAAAAAGCATTCCTCCATAGTGTTCACTGCCTGTAGATTGTAGTTACGTTTTATTGACAATGTTTTTAATGCAATATTAATGGATAGAATAATTAACTTGGAATTAAAACGACCGATTTTCAATATTTGGGATATTAGCTACTTGCTAGTACAGAATTTGGTAATGTAGTTAAAATCACCTGAATCACAGTATCCAGCAGCCATCCAACCTGCACAACTTGCGGCATGTTCAGATTTGTCTGCACAATCTGTGGATGTTTTAAAGAGTATTCTGATGAATAAATAACCTCCAGTTTCATTATTATTAAAATTTAAAACATTAAGTCAATCAGAATCCATTCAAAAATAAAATAATTTCTACGATTTTGTAAGTGCAAGGAATTTTTGAACCAAATTGTTAATTTATAATTTATTACCTTCTTCTTCCTCCACTTCACAAAGGCCACACGTCATCGGGCAATTAGCGATCATAAACTCATAGTGTTCACTTCCTGTGGATCATTTGGGTTTTCAGATCGCAGCAAAACTTTTGATATAAAATGCGATAAAAGAAAATCATTAATCATTCAACCCTATTGCCCTTTTACTCCTCAGCTTTCGGTCAAATGGGCATGTGCATCAATGGGCATATATGCATCTTTAAGCCTTAAGAACAGCTGAAACTTGAGTTATTATGAAAATCGTGTTCTCCGTGGCCGTCCTCTAATAAGCAAGTAGAGCTCTATATTTCAGTTCAATAGAGTATAATATCAGAAATTATTATTTTTGGCCAAAATTTTACCAAAAAATGATGAAAATGATGCCCATTTTGGCTATTTCTTTTGTACCTTGATCACAAAATCCAGTAGACAGCCAACCTGCGCAGCTTTCAGCATGTTCGGATTTGTCTTCACAACCTGCTGTAATATAAGGGTAGTTTAATTGACAATATTAATTTAAAAAATGGCTGTTCAGTGTGACGCAAGCAACCAAGCAATTATGCTTTCTAGATAAAGATACAAATAATGTTGATACGATAAGAAATGAAAGATTGCACAAACTTAAACCTACGGTATTGTAAGTGCAAGGAATTTTTGAACCAAATTCTTAATTTGTAATTGCTTACCTTCTTCTTCCTCCACTTCACAAAGGCCGCACGTCATCGGGCAATTAGCGATCATAAACTCATAGTGTTCACTTCCTGCGGATCATTTGGGTTTTCAGATCGCAGCAAAACTTTTGATATGAAATGCGATAAAAGAAAATTATTACCAAGTACCAACCCTATTGCCCTTTTACTCCTCATATTTCGGTCAAATGGGCATGTGCATCAATGGGCATGTGCATCTTTAAGCATTAAGAACAGCTGAAACTTGAGTTGAAAATCGTGTTCTCCGTCCTCTAATAAGCAAGTAGAGCTCTATATTTCAGTCCAATAGAGTATAATATCAGAAATCATATTTTGACGATTTTTACCTAAATTTGACCAAAAATTGGTGAAAATGATGCCCAATTTGGCTATTTCTTTTGTACCTTGATCACAAAATCCAGTAGACAGCCAACCTGCGCAGCTTTCAGCATGTTCGGATTTGTCTGCACAACCTGCTGTAAGGGTACTTTAAATGACAATATTAATAAGATTGACCCGTCAGTGTGACGCAAGCAAACAAGAAATTATGAGGCATCATGTAGCCGGTGGGCCCGACATGATACGACATATCTCGACACGTCGGGGTTTGTCGGGGTTTGTCAGGGTTTGTCGGGGTTTGTCGGGGTTTCCGGTTTGTCGAGCCTGGAGGCTTCTTTTTTTTTTCTTCCAACAAAAAGCCGAGACGGAGTCATCAAGCTTTACGTGGAAAAACACTATACAAGAAGGCCTCATGTAGTCGGTTGGCCCGAGGCAAAACCCCTCGACAAACCCCGTTTGTCGGGGTTTGTCGGGATATGTCGGGGTTTGTCGAGCCTGGAGGCTACATGATGCCTATTATGTTTTAAATTAAGATACAATTAAATTTACATGGTATTGATATGAAAGGAAATAAAAAATTGCAAAAATGTAAACCTCGAGAATGTGTTGGTAGACAAAGGAATGCTAGTAGTAAGCTGCAAAATTTAATCTTCTTCATTATTTCGTTTGATACCCGAAATTCGTAGTTCTTAGCTTTTTATAAAATACGACACAAATGAAAGAGGTTCGTTTGATAAACTGCAATAATGGCAATAAATCGTTTTCTTTGGAATTGGCTTAGATTTAATTACAATCACCATACAACATGGTCAAGTCACCCTCAAAAAAGACAATAACCCTCAACTCTGATATAGCTGTGAAAGTACAGGACTTGACTGGAATTCAATTTGTCACGTGACCAACTAGACCGCGACCAGTCAGTAAACAATACTCCTCTTTATTTGAAAACTGTTCGATTTAGTTAGGACAATTCATTTCATAACGAAAATTGTAGAACAATAGATCTAAATTTCATCACAAAAAGATCTTGAGTGCAAGGCATCGCATCTAGATTGTAGAATATCTTCTAATGGTATAATTCAAGTTTTAAAGTAAAACATAAGAAATTAAACGTACAGTGTTCCAAATATAAAATAATATTTTATATTGTATACGTAAACGTATATAAGTATATTACACTTATAATATACAGGGTGGGCCAAAAGTCAGTGTGCAAACGTTGGGTCTTATACCTCCGCCGTGTTTTGTATTTGAGAGCTGTTGCTTTGCAGATGGCATACTGTACTTACTGGTTCGAGGATTCCGTCGTCAAAATTTGAAAATTCGAATATTTTAGACCACGCCCATTCAATATTAAAACACCTATATTGTTTTCTCTGAACATGCTGAACGCCTAATTTTTTCAGAGACGGTAGATTATCAAATTTTGCATATGATCTGAAAACATGAGGCAAAACGGATTAGAAATGAAGAAGTTATCAAGCATTTTGTGTATCTCGTTAACAAAATTGACTGGGTGATTATGTGACACCGTGACACGACACCTTAATTGGGCACCCTTAACAATTCCCATAATGTTTAACGGGGTAGTTAACGGGGTCACCTTATCACGTGATTAGGTAAACCAATCACCTGATCACACGTAATGAATAAACTCGTTATGCTTCATATCTCGGTCATCTGAGAAGCTACAGTTCTAATTCTTTCAGGACAAACGTAATTCGAATGGCCAAACACAATTCAATAACATTTAGCTTGATCCGACTATCCAAACTATCAAATAAATGTGAAAATGAACCTCCATTTGAAAAAAATGAACGCGAATATTTTTCGAGTTTACAAATTCCTCGAACCAGTGGTGGTACTAAGTCATACCAGAAGGAAGTATTTCAATTGGGCACTCAGTGACTGAGCTATTAAGGCCAACGTTTGCACACTGACTTTTGGCCCACCCTGCACTGTATAATATACTTTCAGCATATTATAATTTATAACTTTATAATAAGTCATAATCAATGAAAATTTAAAGACACCAAAATCTTCACAATTTGCCTATTATATAATCGTAACGGGAGTCAAGTTGTTATACAACAGAAGCTGGGAATTCTAACAATAACTTCCAGGTGCCAACATCCAGAAAGTTTAAAATTTCCTTTCTCCTAAAAATTCATAAGCAGACATTTGATCATTTAATACAATAACAGCCATTATAAAATGCCCTAAAAAATGTCAGGTCTTCGCAGATTATCTGCCGATCTGCCTTCTTTCTGGATGTGGGGCCAGCTGCCTATTTGTTAATAATGACAGATCATTGAAGGTATTGTTATTATCAAATGCATACAATATTATAATAACAGTAATTGTTGTAGTCGCTATAAAATGATTTATTGAAAATCCCTCGTGGGGGGTGTGTCTCTAATGGACTCATTTATTACATACATACACATTATAGTACATCAAAGTCATTTTAAAAATAAAGACCCCTATTGGCACCGTACCCCTGATCAAATTTGGTACCTTGATCGTCTCCGGTGAAGATTTGCTCTACAATCTACAATTCTACATGTTGCTATTTGACAAGAACTTCAGACTCCACTGTAAAAGGGTTTCCCACTCCCGTCAAGGGTCTCGTCCCTAATCGGAATTTTTAACTGACTTAAAATTACAATCAATCAATGCTGTTATTTCTGATAACAATCCCTAGACCTAACTTGACGTGTAACCATGTGACACGTGTGATCACCTGATCAATTAACATTTAACACGTGACCGGTGACAGTAACTGACACCAAGCTCTCTTCAGGAATGTCAACGAATGACAGCGAGTTCTGGGCTAACCAAGTGAGCATCCACAAAGAAGAGAACCACAAAAGCTGTCCTTCGGGGAAAAACTGCAACAACTCCGAATGTAAGCTTAGTCACGGTGTGGGACAGAGCAGTTGGTTACCCCTCAATGTGAGTATATAGCACGTGACATGGCGTCCTACCACGTGACATGACGTCATACCCATCCGACATGACGTCCTACCACGTGACATGATGTCATACCACGTGACATGCCATTTCTTCGCGTGAAACGACGGTACACATCAGATGACCTCACGACCATTTCTCCCCTCAGTTCCATATCAAAGCTCCCAATGAGCACGGAGCATTGCAGTTCGCTAGAGGTCTACATGACGACAAGGAGAACTCTAAGGACTCTAATATACACGTGTTTGAGTATGAGTTGTGCTCTGTGATCGCAATGATTGACGCTCCTAGTAAGTTATACATTATAATACATATTGCATTGTTAAAATATTTGATATGTACTCAATATCATTATTCATAATTATAGAATATAGACTATAGAGTATAGGCTTGACATAAGCAAGCTGGAATTATATTTATTATTAGAATAAGAAACGCAGAAAAGATTAAAATTAGAAATTGAGATAGATAACTTGGTGTGGCATCTCCCGAATCGAACGGGTAATCATTTGGTTAATAGGCTTGACTACTTGAGTGTTGGTTATCTCAACACCACGTGACGTGACTTCACACCATGACCACGTGACATGACGTCACGCTCTATTTATTACAGCGTCACAAGGTCTAATGTTACACTCGCTTGTGGGGAGGAACTACCATCAGAGACAAGGTATAGACGACTGTGCCTGGTATCTGTTCAACGGCTGCTCTGCTATCAGCACTCATAACAAGGTAGGTTAATTGGGGCTACAATTATCATAACATCAGTTCACCATGCTTAAACCATTTTTGAATTGAACTGATTTGTACTCTTTCCAAACCACATTAGTATTGATCTTTAAAATAAATATTCTTCCCAAATTATGAGAAGATGATGGGTCCAGCACTAAAAAGAGAACACTAACACTAGAAAGAGAACAACCTCGTTATCACTTTTCAGGAAGCTACCAGTTTCGGACAGCCCTGGAAGACTCCGTGTACAATAGTATACAAACAAGTGAAACTTCCCAAGGAGCTCTTCAACCATTCCACTCCAAACCCCCACGAACTTTTTACCCCTTTCAACATTATACCGGTTAGTTAGTTAGTCGATTAATTAGTTAGTTGATTAGTTAGTTAGTTAGTTAGTTAGTTAGTTAGTTAGTTAGTTAGTTAGTTAGTTAGTTAGTTAGTTAGTTAGTTAGTTAGTTGACACAATACCGGTTAGTTTTTAGTTTAAAATTATATGTCACAATGGTGTGACTTCATTATATTTCTTTACATGTATTATGTTTAGGATGCAACCTAATGTCATGATATTTTTGAACTTATTAGCAATTAGACTGTTAGCTCGCTTCATAAGCATGTCATCTTCGTTCCAAAACTTTTTATGTCCTATGCATACACTCCTTGATAGTTATCTTGATCTAGTATCTTTGTTTCACACAATAGAGCATAAGTTGTGTGGTTTATCCACTGGGCTTAGATTTTGTGTTTAAGCTACCAAATTTTATTATTTTTTATTATTATTATTATGTTCTTTCGATTAGTTATCTGAAGCTAAGTGATCTGACAGAGTACTACAATACATTTAGTAGCACATCCTCAAATGCAGAATTTAAAACCTGTAATTCACATAAGTCTTAAAACACATTATTTAGTTTCAAACATAACGACTCATAAAGTCATAATTTCCTTTGATGTTCGACTATAAGATCTCCAACAAGAAACAAATCCTTGTGTTTAACCATGTCCACTAACCTGGGTGTCCCTCAGGGTCCTAACCTGATACCATTAGCATCTACAGAGAACATCACAAAAGGAGAGCTGGTAGGAATAGGGCTGTGTGTAGAGCCTGCTCCTAACTGCCTGTTAAGAGTGGTTTTAGTCAGAGGTCAGGGTGACCAGGAGGGTGTTCCTTTCAGTCACGATGTCTGCCCGACTAACTACGCTCCTGTGAGTTGTTCAGCTGACATGTTGTTTAAAGATATTGTGTGTTGAATAATTCATAAACATATTCTAATTATACATTATTTTTGAATATTGTGCAAGACTGTTTTGTACTTTGCATATTAAAGCGTCTCAATCTTCTCGTACAATTTACATGTAAAATGTAAAGACGTAAAGTGTCAACAGATGAGTGTCAAATACTGCATATAATATTTTCTGGAGTTTAGAATAATATTATTTTGTAGGCTGTAAAGTCATGTTACTGTCTCAATGACGAATGCCTTATGCCAGACATTTGTGGATTTGGTTTTGCGCTGCTGTATAATGTATACACAGTATACTTTACTTCGCTACTTTCTCACCAGTGTATCAGTTTTGATAAAAGTATGAATTATCTGATAATTGATCATCCACAGGAGGGTCACCAAAACGTGAAGTTACTTTACTTTAAGATAAAGTGTTTGGTGGACAGAGGGTTGATTTTAGTAGGACACAGCATTACCAAGCAGCTCAAATACCTGAACATTCACATACCCGCTCAACAGTACATTGACACTGCAGAGCTCTACCGACCTCAGCACTCTGGTGAGTCGATATTTTCAATAATTGCTCAAATATCTCATAATATCTTATCTATATTTACTCAAATATCTCATATCTTATCTACATTTGCTCAAATATCTCATAATATTTTATCTATATTTACTCAAATATCTCATATCTTATCTACATTTGCTCAAATATCCCATAAGTTTATTCCAAATTGTGGTACAATAACAAATAACACAATATAACAAATAACACACCTACGTCACAGGAGCAATACCACCACTACAGTTCCTTTGTCCGAGAATACTAAAAGTAGAGAACGTGCCTGGGGCCCACAACGACGCTGTCTTCTCCCTTCAGCTCTACGAGAAGTTCTTAGACCTCAAACGTGCTGGGCAGTTCGAGAAAACTCTAAAAGCTATACACTCGGAGTAGTCATGTCACGTGACGTCATGTCATGTGTGATGACGTCATGTCATGTGTGATGACGTCATGTCACGTGACATGTGACGTCACCCTGAGGTGTTGTTGGCTATGTTTTTATGTTTGTGTCAGACTCTTTTAATCTGCTGTAAATTTCAACACGAGAGAGCTGATCAGTGAGCAGTGGGAATGTGCACACTAAAGCTGAGCGTACACCAAAACCCAGCTAGCTTTTGTTGTGGGGAGTCTCAGGGGCCGGTTCAAACCATCCTTACACCTGATTGACGTCCACAACAATATTACAATGACATGATGATTCTGGTAACAATAAGACTCTTAACGCTCTGTAGTACAGTTAAATGGTGTACACTTCCTGCTGGAATCCTCATCATCAGATGTAGAGTTGCTGTTAGTAACAGCTACAGTTTTAAATTATGACGTGCTATGACACGTCACGTGTTATAACGTCACGTGATAAGATGTCACGAGTTATGACGTTATGTGGTTGCTGTTTTAAATGCAGTTTTCAACATTACGATGATTTCCATATTTTTTGATCTGACTTAGTTGCATGCGCGGTTGGGGTATTCATCTGAGGTTAACAATATTTATGTTTCATATTCTAATATCTGTGCTGACGTTCACCGTTATGGCTGTTGTCCTAAAAATTCTAACATCAATTTTAGTAACTCCTAATCCTAAAATCTACCTAATATAATCTACCTATAATCTACCTTCAATGTGGACATTTAATGTGCATTTTGCAGATCTGAAGTGATCGTTTATTAGACCGAGAAATGGGAATTCAAATAAGAACTGACTGATTAAGACCTGATCTTCGCAAACACTTGACGAATCATGATGTCTCACCACTGTTGAAATACTGTGTCTCTAGAACTGTTGAGTGACATAACGGGATAGTTTCTTCTAATGATAGAGGGAATGACCTCGTTATCTGCGAGTTAATTATCAGATTCTGAACTTCTGACCCTGAAATTATTTTAAACTTTGCTCAGCTTTGTAAACGGAAGTTACTCAAATAGTTTTATACTGAGTTGGTCTCTTTAACATGGGAATAACTCTAAATCACTGATATGAAACTGATTTTTGATATATGCTGCGCAAGGTTAAATGTGGATTAACATTGTTTTGATTTTTAATGAAAACCAATTATTTTCTACTAATAAATAACTGCAGTTTTATTGTTTTGAACTGATAATCAAATTGAAACTTCAAAACTCAGTCAGAAATTTCGTAAATATGGAATATAAATATATTACGCCAAAACATTTTTGAAACTCAACATATTTTGTTATATTCGATAAATTTAAACTCTCTTAGAATGCGTCATGTAAACATCTTTCCTCCGCACTGAACAATTAAGAGCAGTCTTATAAACAGCTATTTTGATAAAGAACAGCGTGGTAAAAAGTTGTGATAAGAAGATGTCTATAAAATACGTGTGTTTATTCGTCTTAGTTCTACAGGTAACTACAGAAAATTTCTTTACTATTGTTTTAGAGCAATGGAGGGGGGGTGTCACGTCCGTCTATGTCCGCTTGTCTCATAGAATCCAAAAAGGACAGGACATAGGCGGACATAGGCGGACATAGGCGGACATAGGCGGACATAGACGGACATAGGCGGACATAGACGGACATAAACGGACATAAACGGACATTAATGGACACCTAAATTGCTAAATAAAATGTTCAATTTTTGCTGTTATATGGGGGATCATGTTTTTTGTCCGGTACCCTATAAGTATATTTTCAAAACGGACAAAAAATAGAGCGGACAAAAACGGACAAAAATGGAAATAAAATTTAGATGCTTCCTCCTCCTACTCTTCCTCCTCTCCTCCTCCTCGTCCTCAGTCCTCCTCATCAGTCCTCAACAGTCCTCCTCCTCCCCAGTCCTCCTCCTCCTGAGTCCTCCTCCTGGGTCCTCCTCCTCCTCTTCATCCTCCTCCTCAGTCCTCCTCATTAGTCCTCAATAGTCCTCCTCCTCCCCAGTCCTCCTCCCCCCTCCTCCTCCTATTCAGTCCTCCTCCTCCTCAGTCCTCCAGACCTGTCCTCCTCCTTCTCAGTCTTCCTCAGTCCTTCTCAGTCCTCCTCCTCCTCCTCCTCTTCCCTCTCAGTCATCCTCCTCAGCCATCCTCCTCAGTCCTCCTCAGTCCTCCTCCTCCTGGGTCCTCCTCCTCCTCTTCATCCTCCTCCTCTTCCTCCTCCTCCTCAGTCCTCCTCCTCAGTCCTCCTTCTCATCAGTCCTCCTCCTCCTCAGTCCTCTCCCAGTCCCCCTCCTTCTCCTCCTCCTATTCATTCCTCCTCCTCCTCCTCCTCCTCCTCAGTTCTCCTCAGTCCTCCTTCTCATTTCTCCTAAGTCCCCCTCGTAAGTCCTCCTCCTCCTCTTCCTCCTGAGTCCTCCTCCTGAGTCCTCCTCCTCCTCCCTCTCAGTCATCCTCCTCAGTCATCCTCCTCAGCCATCCTCCTCAGCCATCCTCCTCAGCCATCCTCCTCAGTACTCCTCAGTCCTCCTGCTTCTCAGTCATCGTCTGATCGTCAGTCCTCCTCCTCAGTCCTCCTCAGTCCTCCTCAGTCCTCCTCCTCCTCCTGGGTCCTCCTCCTCCTCCCCCTCCTGGGTCCTCCTGATCCTCCTGGGTCTTCCTGATCCTCCCCAGTCCTCTTCCTCCTCCCCTCCTCAGTCCTCCTCCTACTCCTCCTCCTCGTCCTTAGTTCTCCTCATCAGTCCTCAACAGTCCTCCTCCTCCCCAGTCCTCCTCCTCCTCCTGGGGCCTTTTCCTGGGTCCTCTTCCTGGGTCCTCCTCCTCCTGGGTCCTCCTCCTCCTGGGTCCTCCTCCTCCTGGGTCCTCCTCCTCCTGGGTCCTCCTCCTCCTGGGTCTTCCTTCTCCTCCTCAGTCCTTCTCCTCCTCCTCTTCCTCCTCCTCCTCCCTCTCAGTCATCCTCCTCAGCCATCCTCCTCAGCCATCCTCCTCAGTCCTCCTCCTTCTCAGTCCTCCTCCTGAGTCCTCCTCCTGAGTCATCCTCCTGAGTTCTCCTCCTACTCCTCCTCCTCGTCCTCAGTTCTCCTCATCAGTCCTCAACAGTCCTCCTCCTCCCCAGTCCTCCTCCTCCTCCTGGGTCCTCCTCCTGGGTCCTCCTCCTCCTGGGTCCTCCTCCTCCTGTGTCCTCCTCCTCCTGGGTCCTCCTTCTCCTTCTCAGCCCTTCTCCTCCTCCTCTTCCTCCTCCTCCTCCCTCTCAGTCATCCTCCTCAGCCATCCTCCTCAGCCATCCTCCTCAGTCCTCCTCCTTCTCAGTCCTCCTCAGTCCTCCTCCTGAGTCATCCTCCTCAGTTCTCCTCCTCCTCCTCCTAGGTCCTCCTTCTGGGTCCTCCTCCTCCTCCTCCTGGGTCTTCCTGATCCTCCTCCTCCCTCTCAGTCATCCTCCTCAGTCATCCTCCTCAGTCATCCTCCTCAGCCATCCTCCTCAGCCATCCTCCTCAGCCATCCTCCTCAGTACTCTTCAGTACTCTTCAGTCTTCCTCCTTCTCAGTCCTCCTCAGTCCTCCTCCTGAGTCCTCCTCCTCCTGGGTCTTCCTGACCCTCCCCAGTCCTCTTCCTCCTCCCCTCCTCAGTCCTCCTCCTACTCCTCCTCCTCGTCCTCAGTCCTCCTCATCAGTCCTCAACAGTCCTCCTCCTCCCCAGTCCTCCTCCTCCTCCTCCTCCTGGGGCCTTTTCCTGGGTATATTTGATATAATAAGTTAAAGCTATTAATAGCTTTAGTGTGATTAATAAGTCGTTTGTTTTGTACAAAATTATAATACATAGAAGTTGCGAAAAATTCTCAAAATGTTTGTCCGCTAATGTCCACCAATGTCCGCTAATGTCCACCAATGTCCGTCCGAGTCCGCCAATGTCCGTCCGGGTCCGCAAATGTCCGTCCGAGTCCGCCAATGTCAGTCCGAGTCCGCCAATGTCCGTCCGTGTCCGCCAATGTCCGTCCGAGTCCGCCAATGTCCGTCTGTGTCCGCCAATGTCCCAAAAAACACGTCCGTTGTCTCATAGAATCCAAAAAGGACAGGACATAGGCGGACATAGACGGACGTGACACCCCCCCCCCCCCCCCCCCCCCAATGGAGTTCATTTTAAAAAGGTCTGCATTGTTTATGAAGGAGTAGACTAAAAAATCCCCTATAAATCTCAATTCCAGTATTAATGCTTTTGCAATAATGTTATATAACCTTGAAATTATACGATAATCTGAGTTAAATTATTGAGTGGTTCCTGTCTCAGCTTCTCAAAAGTTGACCGCATAATGTTCTTGCTTGCTACTTTTGTGTCTGTGGCTTTGTTAGAGGTAGGAACATGATGTTATGAATACGATTACAAACATACGCTTTTTTTTAGTTCAGAGCTTCAACTAGCACAGGGTAGTGTCAGAATGATCATCAGTTATCTGAAATTTTGTAAATTTAATCATTAACCGTAGTTATATGGCATGGGTAGTGAAAACTGGTGTGTCTTGGGTGATAACGCTTTTCTTATAAGATGTAATAGCAATCGATAGATAAGAGTGCTGTAGTCTGTGGATTTAATTCGGATATCTATCACGTGACCAAACAAATTTTTGCATGCTTCCCACCAGTTTTCAAGTTAATGAAATTTATCAATTAGTTGATTGTATTAATGAAAAATGATCAACAATAATCTCCTGACAGACGGTATCGAATGTGTTGCTGGTACGGCGTGCTAGACACCTGAGTATCTCAATACCAGTTCTTGTTCTTTGCCAGGAATTCCTGAAACTATTCACCTGCATCATTATCGTCCTTTACAAGTAGGATATCTTTAAATATTTTCAGTTTGATTTTATAATTTAATAACGCCTTCAGTGTTACATCTCCTTATCACGTCTTCACGTCAATAGTAGGATCGATTAACAGTTCGCTCACTTTAAACCTCTACCCATGCAAACAAAATAAGATCAAAACATACTTGGGGATACTTGCTCAAATAAAAATTTTAAATTCAAGTAAAATAAAAATTCCCATGTTAAATCATTGTCAGTGAGGGATTGGAACAGTTGAAACGTCACGTGATAAAAGACTGGTTTACTACACTAAAGGTGGGGGTCCCTGCACTGTTGTACGTGATACAGAATCAGCTGCTCTTCACATCACTCGCTAATCTGGACCCTGCTACTTACCAGGTTATTACTGATTTATCAGTTACTTTATCTTACTTTATGTTAATAACATATTAAATGGTTAATGGTTATGTCAGATAAATGGTGTTTCCACTTTGCACTGCACATTTTGGCTATGCATCTATTTTTAGAAACGATTGCTTGCCCAGTCAAGAGCTTTAATTCGTTAACAGAATAGTATCAATGAATTGATTGCTGTCTAATTAAGTATCCCTACAGATAACATACCAACTAAAGATACTAACAACAGCAGTATTTTCAATAGTTTTACTTAACAGAAGTATCAGTAAAACTCAGTGGTTTTCTCTACTCGTCCTAACATGTGGAGTTATTCTTGTACAGGTACGAAAAATATCGCGGAAATATATGAAATTATAACTGTAAAATGTGACGATATTACTGATTACATAAATGATTGTGAGAAACCTTAGTTGCGTGGAAAAACTCACAAGATAACTTTATACAGCCTAGTCAACTCATGATTTTACTCAAACATAACATGCTACATTTTGTTCAACCCAAATATAATCGAATGTTTACTGTATACATCTAAAGTAACCTGCATATCATATTCATATATTTATATATTTATATAATAGTAAATCTTTATAAAGTTATCCCCAGTTTTATAAAGTAACCTGCCTATAATATGAGTAATACGTTAATCCCCAGTGGAAAGACAGCACCCCACGTGACACAGACAGTCTCTCAGACTCTAACAGGGTAACCGGACTTTTGTGTATCTTGTTCGCGTGTCTTACCTCTGGCTTTGCGGGGGTCTTCTTCGAGATGATGTTGAAGAACACCGGGGGTCAAAGTATCTGGATCAGGAACACTCAACTCGGTTTGTTACTTTTTCAGATTTACTTTTTATTGTACCTGAATGAGCTTCAATAATTACAGTGTTTTTCTTCTAATTTATAGTTCTACGTCTCGTGATGCATTTGGAAACATCCAAGTTTTAAAGTTTTCGTTGGGCGTTGACTCCTCCGCTCGATGATTATAATTGTAAGTATTAAAATGTGTTTAATTACGGACTGTAAATGTTAATCTAGCACTGTATACATCTTATAACCGACTACTTTCAGCTCTGTGCAGTTGTGTAGTTGCTTTTACTAACTTGTTGCTAACTGAACAGACGTTCATTGCTACTAACGGGCTTTTCCACGACTTTCAACCTGTTGTGTATGCGATTATATTATCTCAGGTATGTTGGAGCTGTTTTAAATTTAATATGTTTTTGTTGTTGTTTAAGTATTGAAATTTCAAGTTAACCGCTGATACAAGGAATTATAATACGCATAAAAGGAAGAAAGAGTAGAAACTAGATAATTGAATAAGTTCCGAGGTAATAAAAGAGTTTCCTTCAGTGAAACGTTGCCAACATCACTCATAAATTAGAAAATTTATTGTTTTTCAAATGTTTGATCATACAACTGTTCAGGCATACGGAGGATTATTGATTGGGATGGTCGTGAAGTATGCAGACAACATCCTGAAAGTGTTTGCAACCAGCATTTCTATCATTCTTTCATCTCTCATCGGGATTTTCTACTTCAAGGAGTTAACGTTCACTGCGTAAGCTTAAAAATACATTTTTAAAGTACCACCAGATATATTTATTTATATATTTATAAATTAAAATCAGATGAACTAAGTCATCTTGACAAAATTCTTCAAGTATTAAGTGTCATGATTTCTTCTCAATGTCTACCGTACCCATTATTGGATAGTGATTCAATAAGTGTATGTACTTTTTTAACAATCTTAAATCAAATTTAATGTTGAAATTTCAGGAGTTTTGGACTTGGTTTGGCATTAGTGGTTACTTCTACAGTCCTCTACTCTACGTCTCCAGCGAAAAAGAAGGCTGAATAAACTTAAACATCGATTAACGACTTTTAATACGGGCTTATGGAAAATGTTGCACCGTATTTACCTAAAACTTGCTATGATGTGTATGCTTGTCGTAGAATCAATTCGATAAATTCTGTGGGTTATTGTTTGTAATTATTTGGGCAGGAAAAAGTATTTAAGAATTGTTACGATTCGTCTGTATTTAATTTCGTTTTTTGTGGTTTATCAAACGATTTAGGATAAATATGACTATTCATGGATTTGTACTATGTAATGATGTATTTATTTTATGACGATTTCTTGATTTCTTTTATCAATTTTATGGCAATTGGCGGAGAGACGTATCATTCTTGTTTCGACATCATTTTAAAATTCATTTGATAAAACGTTTTGAACTATATTATAGATAAGGTCAATGATAATTGAAGATTTAAGATTCGCCCTTCAACTTTTATTATTACTTAAAATATTTGTCAAGTAACTCAGCTCTGTTAACGAAACATCCCGTTTTAGGTTACCATGACCTGAACTGGTCAAATAGCACCAGACAATGGATGTAAGTTTTAATTTCATAGTGCTTTATAATTTATAACAACAACAAAAAGTTGAATTGATTTCTGGGTTTAGGCTTTCCTGGTTTCACTGATCTTCAGGACTAAGGATGGAAGCATGAACCCAAACTTTGTGGACCTCGCGCGGCGTAAACTAGTACTCAAATAGTTTGCTTTGTAAGATTTAACCTTCAAAACTATGAAAAGTACTAACGCGCAGCATAGTGGTCGCACGTACCATCTATATTATAATTAGTGGCACATAGATTATATATTCGATATTATTGTGTAACTCTATCTGTAGAAACTGTCACCTTGTAGCCACTATTATTGGATTAGCATGTAGGGAACCGGTTATTCATGAAGCAAGTACATAGTCTGGACTGATATTTCTTTGTCTCCTCAAACTCTCGTCTATGCAATCCTAGGATTTGATGAACGAGTATCGGTGGACGCTTCACAATTCACAAAACGTTTAATTAATGTTTATTCAGGAACTGGAGCGTCTCAGGGAAGCTGCCCTAGTCTCAATGGAAGAGAAACAGCAACAGCAAGAGGTTTGTAGTCCACAGTGGTTATGTTGAGACTTGTGACAACGTTTATTCTTAATAGAAGTCAATAACAATGAATATAACCATGTAGCTAATCCTATTTTTTGCTCGACTCACTGCACATATCTCAGGGTACGTACTATATACTCGTACTCACAGTCTTCATTTTTCTCAGGTAGATGAGTTAGCTGCACTACGCGAAGCAGCTTTAGACTCTGCACGAGAGAGGAAACTCTCTTCTGATATCCTTGGGAAAAGGCGCCAGGGATCGGTGGAGGGACTGGGGAAGAGGAGATTAGAATCGCCCCCGTCCCATCATTATGACATCATGAGGGGTCCAGGTACGTGTCTCGTTTTTTCATGCTTATTGTATGATTTTTATTTTATCAAGCACTTCTTAATTACTCTATCCGGTCTGTTATCAGCAGTTACTTTCAGGGGGTTACGAGTCCTACTCTGACTCTGACAATTCCGGGAACATGACTCCAAAAATGTCTGCTAACGACTCCATTAAACACACGCCACCTCGATGTGATCCTGTATTTACTGTCAAGGTTCAGTTAGAAACTAATTGATTTACTGTCTGCTTACCATCAGAACTTTCGATTTTATCTCAATTCATTTTTAACCCAAACTATAACTGTATATTTCTGGACAACTCCTTTTGTTACTGCTCTTACTTGAGCAAATACAATGTCTTGATAATACTGTCTTCAAGAAACATTTCATTCTTTCAACTGATCATCATTCTCAACCCAGGTAACTGACAATATGTTACTGAAAAGAAACAACAGTCACCGTAGTAACAGTTCCCACAGTGACATTGATGACAAATCCTCCCCTCCCCGACAGTAAGATTTCTATGTTTAATTGATGTTTTACCACTGTACTCGGTTTATTTTAACGCGTACGGAAAAGTCATACATACTTGATCCTAACATCACTTCTTATGGAGTGAGAGAAAGGGACCTTCCTCCTGAATTGATATGAACATCTGATAAAATTGCTGGTTAGATGTAAGTAAATGTGTTAGTTTTTACAAGTTGCACCCCAGGGACGATAAAATCACTGTACAACTAAGAACAAATCCGACTAGTAGGAGTGAGAGTGAGGGAGAAACTAGTGATAACCCAACACCAGAACCCAAGAGAGATGAACCGAACCATCTCAAGTCTCCTGTGGCTTTAAATATTCTCTCTTTAAAAGTAACCTTCTGTTCACTTTTAGAATTAGTTAATTAGATGTAGTTTTTAATAACTTTAATGTCTTTAGTATTCTACTCAGTACTCATATTATTGCATCTTCTATTGTTTTCAATTGTTCACCCCGCTGACGAGGGACTTTCTCAGGTGCCAGCATTAGCAAACGTCTCCCCGGCCCTCAGTAAAGTTTCCTCCGTAGAGGATTTGACCGCACCCCCACTAACCAAGAAGCAGAGGAAGAAACACAAAAAGAAGAAATCAGGCTCCAAAACGAAGAAACTGAAGCAGAAAATAGAGCTTGAAGAATCCAGTTTACTGGACGAAAAATTAACCAAAAAGACGATATCGGACAACCATAAGGTCGAGAAAAAAGAAAATGGGACATCAGTGAGACGGGAGAAACTTAAAGCTGCTGAAGCCCGATTAGAGAAACTTCAAACTGAGTTTAAGCAGCAGGTTATCAGCGATAACATCATTAGCAAAATAGACAAAAATATTGAGCTTCTTCAAAACGCCAAGAAGACTAAACATGACAGCAAAAGTTTGCATCCCATTCCAAAAAAGATAATATCAGAGGAAATATCTTCAAGCGAGGAGGAAGAACTCCTCAAACCTGACAAGAGAAAATCCACGTCATCCCCCAGAAGCAGTAAGAGAGACAGATCAAAAAAGACCAAGAACTCTAGCTCTCGACGACGTTCCAAATCACCATCCTCTCCAGTTGACGTGTCTGTTTCCTTAAAATCCAAGAGAGAGTTCGAGCAAATGAAAGCTGAACTTAACAAGAGTGGAACTAAATCGGACAAGAAAGAAAGTTCTAAGTCGTCCCCAAGAAAAGAGAGCAAATCCAAGAGTTCCAGAGAATCTGCTCACCACCCTCCAAAGCGTGATGAAAAGTCCTCCTCAAAACGAGAGTCATCCTCAAAGAGTGATGAGAAAGTTTCCTCAAAAAGTGAGGATTCCGCAGTTGAGCAGAGGGTTCGACACGGGAATGGAACAAAAGGTGGTGAAATGGATATTTCAGAGGTTAGATACCACATTATCAATTACTTGGGGCTTTAGCTTTTAACTAGGCTATTTGGTATTGACAGTTATGAATATGTAATTTTCAAATTTTCTTGCTTCGTGATATTTCAGCACTTTTGATAAGTCAGTTTGTTTTACTGATAAGGTTGGTCGCATTATTCTTTACAATCTTCCTTATTCAGAAAGAAGAACTTGAGTTACTAGGTGAACTGCCCCACAAAGCCCCAGCTCCCTTGAAATCTTCTGCTACCAAAGATCCAGATGATTTTGTTAATGTGATGAAAGAGGACAGCTTTTCTGACTCTGATCAGGTTGCGTGCCGTTTTTTTGTTCACTGCGTTAGTGGTGAAGAATTTGGGGGTCTTTCCGGTTAACTTCGGCTATTGATGGTGATAAATATTAAATATCCGTCAAATCTGTCTCGTTGAGATGAAATTATTATCAATAGCGGCAAAGTTAAAAATACGTTAGACAATCTACATAGCTCCGTGTTTTACGCAATACTCAATTTCAGGAGAGCGACAAAGTTAACATCACATCTGACAAGAAAGCGAGTGCAGAAGCAAAGCGGAAGAAATCAAAGAAAAGTAGGAAGAAGAAAGTCAGAGAGGAGAAGACAAAGAAGAAGAAGAAACGAAAGAAACACTCTGAAAGTTCTGAAAGTGACGACAGTGATGCTCAAGACAAGAAGAAGAAAGTTAAAATAGATAAATCGGAATTAAATAAGATAGTACAGTTTCTCAAACAAAGGGACGAAGCCCAAAAATCGCAGGACCCTAAAATTCCGTTTAATCCCAAGATTATCAGTAAAGAGACAAAACCCATTGAAATTAAGTTAAAATCTAAACCGAAGAGGTGATTAGACTTTGGTTTTTTGAGCAGTTTTATGATATTAAGAGATACAATCGCCTTTATTTTATAGTTTTTGTATTGCATAGTCCACTGAGTCCTGTCGACATTTTGACACTTTCCATGCGTACGATTTCCCTGAAGCCACCCTTGTGGTTCAGCGAATTGAGACATACAGTGATTGGTCCAATTCTAAATATCTTACTAGTTACTGTACTCCACCCTAACCCATGAATATTCAAGATGACGTGGACTTTTTGGAGGTTTTCTTCATAGAAAAAGTTTGAAGAAAATGTTTTCTTCAGAATTTCTATGATTAAATCCTGTTTGTATATTTATTACATGATATATTGTGATCAGAAGTTTACATTTAAGCTTTGAGTTTTATTGGAAAACTGAGCGATTTAATTATTTTTTAATGATATTTGATGGCTTTGGGAAAAATGAAGATTGATTTTGAATTGATAGTGGCCAAAATATTTACAATTTGGTTGCCATTTTTGTCAGATTGGTGTATTCGAAAATATTTTGCTTCATTTGGGTATTTATATCGCTGCTCATATGTTTAAAGGGTACTAGTCAAGATAGTGAATAAATTTTGGTAACTTTCTCGACCTGTTCTAATAAGCGTAGAGTTAGAGTAACGGTTAGAGTTAAGGTGTAACGCAATCTCAAGATCGTTGTTAGTTAACATGGTAGTTCTTGGTTAATTAATTAAAGATACTTTTCCCCCCGATCTCTAGCATTTCTTCTGCTTTTAGGCTGCTTCCCGCTTATTACCAGTCCATAGTGTTTCCTCACTACTGTGGCCAATTCTTAATTCTATACCATGACTTCACCACGGCAGAACGATTGGTTCACATTTATCCCCAAAACATTATTATATAGTTTGTGATTTTATACTATAACATGTTATAATGTTGTATTTGACCAAGTTTTGAATCGGTAATTGAGAAAGAGACAGCTTTCTCAATGTTGTGGAATTGTGAAAAATCTCCAACTGCACATCTAATTTATGAACAAATAAATGTGTTTTATTTTTCCTGTACGATCATGAAAATCACTTCCGACCGAAAAAAATAAATAAATAATCACAGGTCCAATTTTGTTGTCGCGTGAATTTATAATGGTGTCATCTATATATCGCAACTATTTTTGATTCAAAATATTTAGATATAAATACTCCTGTCAGTTTAAGTTTAATCCATGCTTGTACAGTAATTATTAAAACGCACGCTTATGGCTCAATCGATGACATTTATTACCAAAGCTCGCCACTGGTAGTGCCAGGTACTGGTAGTATCTTGAGTTGAGGTGAACTACTTATCAGAGACCCTCCATCAGTCACTAAATCGTGGTATGTAACCGTGACTTCAATCGAGTGACTTCATTCGAGAGCCCCTTTAGATCCACGAGTCTGAAGTGGCACAACCACAGGCTATCTCCTGTAGGCCTAGGGTAACCGGGTCTACATAATCTTGTTAGAAAATTATATATTCCTGGAGTGGTACTTCTATAAATTCTATATCTTACAGTCTTCTTATCTAGTTCTTGACATTTGCATTAGGCACATTTATTTCAAATATCTTTAGTATTTGTAAGTTTGTACTACATTTGAATACTTTGCAAAACCTGCTCATCCGATGAAACATTCTGAAGAGGAACCCCATCGTTACAAGGAGGATTCATGACTCCTGCAGCAGAGTTATTAGGGCCCTATGTCACATTAAAATCTGTTTATGTGTTTTGTGGATTCACTTGTAACTATTCAATTCAGAATCAGAGCCAAACATACCAGTACCACTGCACTCGAGCATGACTCCTCGTATTTATACTTTGAATTCTGATCTCGTCTTTATTAAGATTTGTGTACCCCTGCTGATTCGCTGAATGCCACCACTTATTTCAGACCAAGCCAATAGTCATTTTTAATTGACGTTGAGTTTTTCATGAATCTTCTAACTTATACATTTTAGTCTTAGGTCTATAAACGCAGATGTTCCAATTCAAGTCGCTTATCCTGCTAATAGTATTTCTCAACCTTTGGTCCAATGTGAACTGTCAGATTAAAGTACCGAACTATGGAGACTCTAAAATCAAAGCGTTTTTGTTCAAACTTGATCGAAACTTTGTGACTACGCCGTTTGTAGAATTTTTCAACAAGTTTGCTACTGGGAATAATCTTAGAGACACAGCTTGTCCGTTGAAAATTGCATCTTTGGGGGCTAATCTTCGATCAAACCAAACTGATCTGCAACAAGAAAGCATCGCTTGTACGTTCAATGATTAATTTATTAAACAATATGTTTGCAAATAACTCAACGTGAATTGATAATTGAAAATGATAAATTATCATGCACAAACAAAATTAAACCCATATAATTGTTTTTGGCTTTAGGCCAAAATAGCTACCAGTAAAAAATTAAAATTGGTACCGGAACTGGTAAATAAAAATATAGTGTAAAAATCTGACCTGAAAAATGAATTTCAGTTTTAGACGCATTTGGAAAGCCTGGTACTGGAGTTACTCAGGGAAACTTGGTAATGGTCGGTAACTACGACATGTGTCCCTCGATAACAGATACGAACAAGAACCAATACAAACACTGTTACATCGGGGCACCAACACGGGTGTGTGGTAACTTTATGATTTATGAATATATGTTTATCAGCTGAGCTCCAATGTCTGCTGTAAGATAAGAATAAGCCTTAGTTGGATTTTACTTCTAGTTTGGATATGTAACTGTTCCTCGATCACTGCTTGATGTACGATTAAAACACACTGCTTGATGTACGATTAAAACACACTGCTTGTTGTACGATTAAAACACACTGCTTGATGTACGATTAAAACACACTGCTTGTTGTACGATTAAAACACACTGCTTGATGTACGTCTAAAACACACAATAACACCACTTTACAGATATCCCCACTCCTACGAGTAGATTGGAGTGGGTGTTTGCCCGTAGAGTGTGTTCCCGACCATGACGAGCTAGATACGTGGATTAAAAACATCCTCCCAGAATCTGCCGTCAATATTCTTAACTCCTCCCTGAAGTTGGAGAATGAACATATTTATTGTACGAAGGAGATTGTGTATGATACTGGAGCTTACATAGGGACTGTTTACCTGGCAATTATAGCACTCTTAGTTCTGTCAGGTGAGCATTGGAACTTTGTGTCTTGCGAGTTTGGAAATTTGTAATTTTGGTATATAATTCATAACTATATTTTGCCTAATAGACAGTGTTTAAAGATAATATCATGACTTAATCATTGTTCAGGAACACTACTGTTCTCCTTACAACCAGCAGTGGACAGTTTAAGCAAGTCACCAACCCAGGAGACCACACTGAACAAGATACTGAAATGTTTTGCTCTCCAAATCTCATTCAAGGCTCTTACAAAAACCACTACTAAACCTGGCCAAATCCTCTGTCTGAACGGTATCCGAGTCCTCAGTATCAACTGGGTGGTCTTGGGGCACTGCTATTTGGTGTTTGTTACTCTAGCCTCTGACAAGAGTTACATTGTTAACACGCTCCTACTGAGACGAAACAATCCACTGATTTTCAACGCATACCCTTCAGTGGACACCTTTTTTACGCTTAGTGGTTTCTTGGTGGCGTATTTGTTGCTGAAACAGTTGGCTAAAGGTGGCACTTCTGTGATGCATTGGTTTGCGTACTACTTTCATCGTTATGTAAGGTTGACACCTCCGTATCTTCTGGTGATACTGGTCGAGGTTTGTTGAAAGACTATTTTATTTTTACTTTTAAGGTGCTTAGAAAGAGAGGTTGTGATACCTTTACATTTTATTCCTGATTCCACTATGAATTATAGTGTTATATCTTATACAGCCATCAAGAGAAAAATATTTATCCTCACAAAAAGTTGATTATTCTCGGTATAAACTATTTTGGGTTTTCAAATAAAAAAGCAACCACCAGGGTGTTAAGACAGTGGGTTAAAGGACCCTTCAGTTTTGGAATGGACACATTCCACGAACCTTGTAAAGAATACTGGTGGGCCAACTTGCTGTATATCAATAACCTGGTGCCGTGGAAGGGAGATAAGATCTGCAACAGTGAATCTTGGTATCTTTCTAACGATATGCAGTTCTATATTGTGGCTCCTATTTTTATCTTCCTGCTCTTTTGGAGACCTTTACTTGGTAATGTAAAATTTTATCGAACAACCTTGCCAACTTTCAGCTTCATGAATTGGAAGAAAAGGACTAAGATATGTGATTTTTACTTTCATTTCGAAGCAGCTAAGCCAGTTTAAATTGTACATTGTACAGTGTACACTATACATTATCTAACGTTTCTTTTGCAGGTTTATTTTGGAGTCTCTTAGCAATGAGTGTGAGTGTGGTTATAGCTGGTGTGATTACTTACAACTATAAACTTGGACCTGCTGGATATGCTAGGTAAACTTTGAATTAGGGATGTTCATATTTGGTTTAGGATCAAAAATGGATTATTAGTTGTCTTGAACTATTTGGCTATATTTATTGGAATTATTTATTTATTTAACACAACGTCATTGCTTTAACATTTAACTGTTAACACCATGTGATCCAGCTTAAACCGTGAAGACTGGTGGCTGCTCTACATCAAACCTTGGATCAGAATCACGCCCTATATTATCGGTATTCTTGGAGGATGGATCTACTGGAAGTATGGCAAAGCGCTGAAACAACGCGTTCAACTTATGCCCGAGGTTAATTTAGAATCTAGCCAACTTTTGTTTTTGGGAAATTTTCTTATCTCATTATGTCCTGATGTTCTTATAATATGATTACTATTATAACTGTTCAACACAATCTTTTATCTTTTTCTCCATTTCAACTGGAATTTTCACAATCTATTTTTAGTGGAAAAAGATTTCAGTTGCTGTTCCCTGTTGGACAATTACAGGTGTTACTCAATGGGCAGTTGTGTTTGGACTCTACAATGATATAAAGATGGTCAATTTAGGTAAGAGTTGAAGCAAGTGAAATAAAGTACGATACCCGCAAACCCTGGACTAGTATCTAAAACTAGAAGAGCGTATCCAGCGAGATATTTGTATTTGACACTATCAATATCATCCACGTGTAAATCTTGGCTAGATTGTATCTTCATCTCATAATCACGCCATCAATTCTGATCAATTTGTTTTTCAGAGCAAAAGGCGCCAAGTATGGTTGGCAGCGTGTCCTACCAAACATTCGCCCGAATTGCCTGGGCCTTGGCTATGATGGTGCAAATATATTTATGTCAGAGTGGTTTGGGAGGATTTATAAACTCCCTCCTAAGCTGGAAAGGCTGGCTGGTTTTCTCAAGACTTACTTACGGGGTTTACTTACTTCATATTGGTTTGATGTCAATAATGCTGGCTCAGAGTAGGCACTCATTTTACATACACCCTGACTACGAGATGGTAAAATTGGATTCCAATTTCCTAAAAAGATTTGAAAATTGTTCGCTAAATGGCAAGTCAACCAAATTAAAATGATTAAAGTTTTAAAATTAACGCTATTTCAGCGATCTAGACAAAAACTTATCAATATTCCAGGGTGTCCGTTACCTGGGGGTACTAGTGGTGTCCTACTTAGCAGCTGCTGTGGTGTACGTGTGTTTGGAGCAGCCGTTAGCCTCGTTAGAAGCACTCACCTACAGGAAACCTCAAACTACCACCACCAGATCTGACGTAGACTTAGAGGCAGACAAGGCACTTACTTTCATTAATAAGCACACAGATTAGGGAAGGCATCAGCGGGAGCAGAAATAATTTATAGCAGACAATTGGAATAGAGCACCGATTGAGACATTTGTTGTAAGCGAAAAATTAGTCACTATAAGTATAATAGTGCACCGATTTAGAATCGGCATTTCCCGATATCTGGATTCTGGAGCAATATCTCCAATTAATGGGAATCCCACAAACAGTTATATGGCTATGAAAATTTTTCTAGTCAAATCCTAGGGCCGGGGGTGGCAGTTAAATCACATTGCTTTTGCTTCACTATTGCTAAATAATGTTGAATAGTGCTGTCGCGGACGAAAACGCTGATACAAGTTCCGCATGAACATGTTATTTTAAATATTGACAGTTGTAATGTTATACGCCAATTTAATATGTGTATTTGGTTTAATGCTATGTATATTAATATAGTGCATATCAAATCTCCCGTAGATTAAAACAAGTTTTTTCGAATCTGAACTCGTTTGTATTACCATCAAAATACTTATCCACAAAACTTTTTCAATTGATCCCGCAAATCTCCTTTCAAATTCAATGAGTAATGATCGTTTAACAAAACATCAAAGTTTAACTTTAACTATCACATAACTTCATAAAGTACAATGTGTTTTAAAAGTCTTGTAACAATTTACATTTGCTTTTATAACCTAGTTATGAGTAGTTTTATTTCCTTCAAGAAACCCTTCTAAATATTTGTTTGTTTATAAAGAACAATTTCAAATACTAATACTAATAGAGCCGTCATAATCATAAAGATCGTCCACAACGGAACACCCCAACAAGCGCATTCCAAGCAAGAGTTGCTATGAAAAACACGAACTCTATCAGAGTGAAAGCGCTCGCACCCAGAAACAATCCCAGCACACCACCCACATCTCCTGTAAGGGGTCAAACGAATTAATACATTCAGAGTATTTGGTTCATTGTTAATTGTTAATTGTTAATAACGTTTATGTGTCTTCTGCATCGGTTGATTGTAAATTAAAACCTGGTCAAAAAGCATTTAAATGTCGATTATAAATACGGTTGAACTATAAGTATAAGATATGTATCATGATGATCAATACAAGTTGCAGACTTGCTGATGATCTTCCTGCGACATCCGGCCTTGACCACGGGCTTTCTAGTTTATTGTACTAAACTTATAAAAATACTTCTTATCCGAGTATCTTTATCTTAAATTTTAAAATCGTGAATACTCTTCTCACACATAATTAATCTTCACTTCAAGTTTTGAAGACCCTTTAATAGAATTAGAACAAAATGGCGGTTCGAGCGGATACCGCTGCCGGTAGGGCACCGCGGAAGGGCGAATAATTACGGAATACCTAATTACATTACTCGCGATAACATTAAAAAAAGACAGATTACATGGATAAAGTGGTTATCTGAATAGAATAATACAATGCGAAGGTGGAAGGAAGAAATAGTACCTAATATAGAAAGTGGAAGGAAGGAGGTGGAAGGGAAAAGGTGCGAAGCTGTAAAAGCGCTGACGCGCGTGCAGCCGAGTTCGTGTATTTGTAATTGTGGTTTGGCAGAGTGCAGAGTTCTTCACTTTTTCCGTTTTACATTATTACTACTACTACTACTACTACTATGTCGGAGCTAAGTCCGATCTACGCCAGAAAACCCCCTCCATATATCCCTGTCCCGCATCAGGGTTCGCAGTTCCTCTTTAGAGTTTGTCCCAACTTCCTTCAGTAACATAGACAAGTAGCTTTGTCTTGGTCGGCCTTGCTGTGCTCTACCGTGCGTAGGTTCCCATAAGACTAAATCACTGGCAAGTAGCTCAGGATGTCGGATGCAGTGTCCCGCCATTTTTAATCTCCTGCTTCGTAACTTGTTTGACAGCCTTGGGAGGCTACCATACAAAGTTATATTGCTGACCTTGTCCTTCCATGAGATACCCAGCACCATACGCAACATCTTTGTGTATGTCCCGTCCAAACTTTTCTCTTGAGCCTTTGTCAGTGTCCAGGTTTCTGATCCGTAGAGCAGTACTGATTCACAAGCCGCTATGAACAATCTAATTTTTAGGCTCTTTGAGAGTTTGGATTTCCAGATATCCTTCAGTCTATGTAGGGCACCCCACGCTTTTCCCTTTCTAACCCTTATCTCCCTATCTGTGCTCTCAATCCAGGAGCCTAAGTAGATGAAATCATCTACATTTTCTATGGCTTCCCCGGATCGACTTTGTAGGTCGCTAGATCGATCCTCCATATTCAGTGTCATGACCTTGGTCTTGCCTTCGTTTATGTGTAGTCCCACGCTTGCTGCCGCCGATTCTACTCTGAGCAGGAACTCGTTAGCCTTGTCCATGTCCTCAGATATAAGTGCTATATCATCTGCAAAGTCCACATCGGTGATGATCTTGGGCCCCACTCTTCTGCTTTTTCTACGTTCGAGGGTGAGTCCAAGTCGCTCCGCATCATCGCCTATGGCTTGCCTCATACAGTAGTCGATGACTATTGCAAAGAGGTAAGGTGCTAAGGTATCACCCTGTAACACACCTGCAAGTATCTCGAACAATTCAGTTTCTCCGTCTGGAGTTAGGACTTTGGCCATTGTCTTCTCGTACATGAGCCGTATAAGCTGCACGATTTTGACTGGAATGCCGTAAGCTTCTAGAATCTTTAGCATTTTCCCACGATGTACACTGTCGAAAGCCTTCTTAAAGTCTATAAATGTCAGAACAGCTGGCAGTTTCCGACTCTTGACACCCTCTATAAGACGTCTCAGTACCAATATCTGTTGAGTTGTTGACCTTCCTGGTCTGAATCCATTCTGGTTTCTACGCAGAATTGTCTCGATTTCTGGCTTCAACCGGTTTAGAACCATCTTGTTTAGAGACTTGGCAACTAGGGATGACAAGCTTATTCCCCGATAGTTCATTGGTTCGCTAAGGTCGCCCTTCTTTGGAATTGGTATGATGTTGGCAGTTGACCATTGGTCTGGTTTCTCACCTTTCAATAGAGCATTGTTACAGAAGTCTAAGACAATTTGATCAAGGTCGCATCGTTTTAAGACTTCTGGGGCTATGTTGTCGTCACCCCATGCTTTCCCTTCCTTTATGCTGGACTTTGCTTTCCTGTACTCATCCAACGTAAACGGTTCTGTTCCGATATTCAGAGGTGGGTGGACTGGATCAATATCCTCTTCCGCGTTCTCTACCGTCGGTGGTGAGCCGAGAAGAGTAGCAAAATAGTCCTTCCATTTCTGAACCCTTTCCGTTGGTGAGTTTCCCTTGATTTTGCCAGTATATGATGGAGCTTTACCTGTGATCTTGTTGATCATGGTCCAGCTTTTAGCATGTCTGCCCTGCCAACTTGCTTCCTCCAGTTCCCGGACCTGCCCCTCCAGCAGGTGCTCTTTGGCTGCTTGATAAGCATCGCCTAGCTTCTGTTTGCCCTCTTGAACAGCTATTCGGTTGTCTTCTGTAGCATCTGAGTGGTATTTTATGCTACATTCCCTCAGCTTCAGCCTGGCAATCTCAACACTTGGAGTCGCTGAGATTTTACATCTTTTCTTTTTCTCCTTTTCAGGTAGTAAAAGTCGAGAAGTTGTCCTATTCGCATCAATAAAGCATTGGTACCTTTCTGTTGCCGTCTGATCATCCTTTTCAAGTATGGAAAAGCGGTTTTTAACTTCCACTGTGTACCTCTCTTGTAGAGCGATATCAGTTACATTATTCTATTATTTTACTCGAAAATTTCACTTTTTCCCGTGCATATTGATTTATCCGACATTTAATTATCATATCGTCACAATTCTGCATCTCTAAAATTCAACCTTGACTTTTGAACGCCATTATTAACTGCGATTGATTTCTTAAATTGATTTCTTAAATGTTTTAATGATATTGGTTACTATTGGGGGAGGTGATCCACATTTGTATTTACGATTCCATTGCAATTAGATCCGTATCTATTTTTTCAGGCTACTTATCAGATTTTTAAGATTTTATTTTATCATGTTCTATCTTTGATTTGAATGAAGTTATATATGAATATGATAAATAAACGTAGGTTTACTTTTAAAGTTATCACCATAGTGGAGGGGAGAATCCACGCGGAGAATCATTATCCACGATTGACCGAATATGGTATTATTCGATATATGTCAACTAACCCTTCACTCAACTGATGAAGACACATTGTATGGTTACAATTACATATAATTATATATTGTATATACATTATACGTAAACTTTTATTAACAGTAGGTTAACGGATGATACCTGTTACTAATTCATTAGAACATGGCGTTGCTTAAGCGTTCTTTTACTTTTAGCCGACTTTTCAATAAATTTTTAATCGACCGATCATGAAAACACAGTACACACATATAAAATACCACTGATTCCACCTGAAGTTTCATGGAAGTCTTGTTACCATGTTACTGTTAGCAGCGAATTGTGGAACATTATGATAAAGCGTAAAATGTTAAACTGTAATAGCACGAATTGCACGGTATAAGCTGAACAACTTTAACCTAAACGGCTCTGAAATTCCGTTCTTACCGAGAAAGTTCCCCCATCCGTAACTGACTAGCTCTGTGATCTCCGTCTCTTGTGTAGTGGAAAAGAGAATGTCAATAACTACCAGGTTATCTGCCACATCTTCTACCGTCCCGTACCCTGAATAATTACTATTCATTTTCAGTTGCATGGGAGCATCTGACATTGAAGGAAAATGGACGCTTTTCTAAACTATTTGATATCATGATCATTATAAAAACGAATTATGTTTTAAACCAGCTTGGAACAAAGATACATTATTTTGTAGCATTATAACGAAATATCTACCCTTTTATGAAAGGTATCTGTTCAGACACAATCATGAACGACCTTATTATGAGCACTAGCATGATCTTCAAAACCTGGTCCAGTATCCCAATACACCTGTCCATTAAATTATATCGTGGTGCTACTGCTATAGTTTAGAATAGCCCTATACTACAAACCTTGAGGAAGGATTTCGACGTGGTTTTTAGCGTAGAACTTGGAGAGGATGGAACTGCTGAGAGATGCCTTGTAGAACACCTCCTTACAGGCTGGGTAGCAGTGACAGATCTGATCTTCTCGCTTGTGATCCACGTACTTACTGTCTGCAGATAGTTTTACTCTTAGGTATTGAGATAGTTTTTACAGAACATGAAGACTTTGTTTTAACTTGTATAAAAAGCATTAATACAGCATATTGTGATGTTGCCAGAATGACTGATAGGCCGCTACTCATTTATCTATTGAGTAATGGCTACGTTACAGGAGTCAAGTTATACATAATTAGATAATGTATGGTCACAAACACGATACTCAGAATTAGAAGTCACAAATAAATCCGGACAAAGAGGTCACAGTTGGTCGCTGTGAAATTTTACACTAGTGACCTAACAGTAATTTCACAGTGCAGAATCTTCTAGCATAACATTCGATATTGAGTAGGTCCCCTCCGCTTTGCCGTAAAATTCATCAGAATGGGGCATGTAGCCATCTGTTGGCGATGTAACTATTCTACTCACATTCTAAGGAACCTGATTAATGGGCGAAGCTATATGGTCATGTCACGTGATCGAAACAGTTTTTCGCCGATAACTCGCCAAACCCTGTCATGTGGGGTGATTCGGAATCAGCGTTTAAAAATAGATCGATTCTAGAAGTAGAACTTTGTAGGTTTCTTGAGGTGCGTTGAATTTGAGACGCGGTTTTAGAAAAATCTCGAAGCTCGAGTGTAACTGTAAAGTGATTTACGGTGACACCATATGTTCGCCATATGCTCATGAATTACCACTATTAGTATTAGCTCTTCCGAACATTCTGGGTGTCGTGAGAGTTGAGGTGCGTTGAGACGTTGAAGTTGATACGTGGTTTTCTAATGCAGGTTCGAGTTTCGACTAGACATTTCGTTTAACTTTCGTGTTGTGGAAATCTCGTTTACTCCACCTTTTTAGTTGAAGATATCAATCATTTTGTTCGCTCTCCACTAGATTGAGTTTTAAAGTTTTAAAAACGTTCCCAACGCCATAGAAATTAAAGAATAGATTTGTTACTTTTCTTTGTTCTAATTCTAGACTTCTATAGTTCAGTCTTATTCTTAATAATGATAACAAATAAATACAAATAAAAACGCATCTCTTCTCAAACAGACGGATCTGTTCGATGTTTTGAAACATATATGAGTTAATTAGGACAGATCTAAGCCGTGGATCGAAGCTAATTATATACTGTTTATGCGAATGCTTACCGTATGCTTGTTTTTTTCTGAGCAGGACATCTTAGGTTTTTAGAAAACGTGTCATGGCAGTGCTTTTTGTCGTACAGCTTCTAGTTATACCGCTTTAATGTCGCGCATCATCGCTTGTTATAGAAGTTAAAACTTGTTTCCCAAATTCGGCTAGAAGAATACAGAGTATACTAGCTTAATCAAAGCTAATAATTTAAGTTTTATGTAACCGTTTGTTACTGTTAGATACTTATTTAAACCAACGTGATTTCTTCATTTCTTGTAGCCTTCCGTACGAACAGTGAACAAGACTTTCTGGCATGTAAAAGAAATTGTAGCTTCGATTAATAAGTTCCACGAGTCAAAGTTATTTAATCATAAACTCGAGACAAATCGTAGAAGAACGAAGTTTCTAGAAATAGCTTTTTAGAAATAGCCTTCTATAAACAGCTCCGATAAGGTAAAGGAGTATATTGATTATTTGATACACGTTGTACTTGTATACCTCTTTTCGCGAAGATAAGAGGTATACATTATACAACGTGTATCAAGGATTATAGCTATTAAAAACTGTTTTTCAACTATTTTGAATTATTCTTCTCGGATGCTAAGGAACATGATATGGGCGAAGCTTCGAGAAGCGAAAGTGTAATAACCACATTGCACATCGCGCTTGGTGCCACTATATTTTCGCCATATTATGCTCATGAATATTTACTATTAGCTCTTGAGAACTTTCTAGATTTCTTGAGGTGCGTTGAAGTTGAGACGTGGTTTTCTAATGCAGGTTTGACTAGAAAATTCGTTTAACATTCGTGTAACAAATTTATTGTGATTCTCCTGTGAACTGGAAAAAAATCTTTTTACTGAAACTGCTAACTGACAAGTTGTAGGCAGAAAAACTTTCTCTCAGATCACGTGACAATTTCGTGTTTATGCCAAAATTTTTGCAGAAGTTATTGGGTTAGGGATTTCGCTGTATAGAGACGTAATTTAAATAGTGGTAGAACAGCTTACAGTGTAAGTTCCTCACTACAGCTTTGTGTAAAGTGGTAAGGAGCTGGTATAAAACGACAGAATTCTGGCTTATGTTATACTATTACTTATACGACATACGTAATCGATCCATTAGTAACCTACCTTGCCGAACTTTATTTGAACAGACATGTATTTACCTGGGGACCTCAGGTTATCATGTTCATAAACATAGAGATTAGGCGGAATGACAGGCTGAGCGCGGCCCAGTAAACATGTATTAGACGCTGGAAGCCCTAGCGTTAATTCAAGTCCGTTCAAATAAAATTTGTCCGTTTTCCAAGTTGCAAAGTTCATTGAAATTTTCCCAAAGTATTCCACTACGACTCGGACTACGAGCTTATATTATTATTGTCCAGGATATGACTACTTTTTAAGTAATATTTCCAGGACTACTACCTCTCTGTCAATGACATATTCGACAACCAACACATCATCACAATTGTCAATTTCGCAAACCGCACCAAACGCTTAATTGTGCCGGAAGAGCTGGATCAGACCGGGGTGACTTAAAGTATTATCTCATATGCTGTCTCGTCTCGTTTTACTTTTCCAAACCCAGCTGGCATTTAAGCGTATCATTTTGACTCATATAACATCTTACACCATCCTCCACCAATCACTCTGATTTCACCGGCAACCTTCCCCAAGGTTGCCACACCCCAGAGGTAGGCAGAGCATCTCAATGCTATCCTCTCGTGGGCTATCTTGGCCCAGCCTCTCTAAAAAAAAAATTTTAAAAAAAATGACTACTTTTTAATTTCGGTCAATTCCAATTTCTATCATCGGACTATAAGTTATATCAACATATTTAATTTTTTACTGCTGAGCGATTGCTTTTCTTAATCACTATATTAAAAATCGATTAAAAATTATCTGCTAAGATTGAGAAACTATGTATAAATGATTTTTTAATGGTTTTGAATGCTTTCGAGCGTTCATTTTAATGTCCGTTCAAAATTGTGTCCGACCATAATTCAGGCAATGTCCAGTCAAATAACGTTCGATAAGTTATATACAAATATACAAGGTTTACAAATACAAGGTTTACAAGTATAAAATCTTTACTACATCAATGTAATGAAATTATCAGATTGTAAAATAAAAAAGATACAAAGAGTCATTAAAAAAATAAAAGAAAGGTCGTGTGGAAAAATTCGACCAAATCAATGCAATTAGTGTGTGAGACATGCAGATTGCAGGGTGACTGGTGAGGTGTGATGATGATGGTCATGGTGTGAACTGTGCAGGGCCGGTGAAAACAATAAAAGTGAGATCATTTTTTCATTCTTTAAGGTCTTGTTCTTTGAGGTTTTGTTCTTTGAGGTCTTATTCTTTGAGGTCTTGTTATTTGAGGTCTTGTTATTTGAGGTCTTGTTCTTTGAGGTCTTGTTCTTTGCAGATCTTATGTTGGCCAGATCTTAGTCGTGCAGAAAGTTAACTATACACTGTTTAACCGAATGCTTACCGTATGCTTGTTATTTCTGAGCAGGATATTTTAGGTTTCTAGCAAACGTGTCGTGGCAGTGCTTTTTTATATCGTGCAACTTCTAGTTCTAACGCTTTAATGTCGCGCATCATCACTTATTATAGAAGTTAAAACCGATTGGATTGTAGTTTAAAACACTACATGTGAGCATGCAGATTGAATAATTATAAAATCAATCTCATTAATATTATTGTTAAATTTTATTTGTACCACCTGATGGTGTTAAGTTGGTTTTCATTTACCGTTATGTCCATTGTATTCATATCTTTTAACCAGGCACACAATTCTCTCCGCGCGCATGCATTTCTCATCTATCTGAGCAACCCCTAATTGTAATCATTGTAAACATTGTAGTCATTGTAATTATTGTAATTATTGTAATTATTGTAATCATTGTAATCATTGTAATCATTGTAATCGTTGTAGTCATTGTAGACATTGTAATCATTGTAATCATTGTAATCATTGTAACTTTATGATTTATGAATACAAGCAGGAACCCGTATAACCCTAAAGTGGTGTCAAGACTCGAGAGAATAAAATAATTATTACCTATTTAATTCGCGTTTTTGACACCACTTGGGAGTCCAAATTTTGGGCACTAAAATTCTTATTCCTTGGCCAATTTTTAATTTTTTCATGCTGATTTGAAGGCCATTAAAGCATTTGACCCAGTCAAAAAAGTTTCAGTTGTATATCTGGTTCTTTTGCGATAGTCAAAACGCGACAATTAGCGCTGGATGGCGACAACTAGCGCTATCCAGCGCTAGTTGTCGCCATCCAGCGCTAGTTGTCGCTATCCAGCGCTAGTTATCGAACTGTTTTCTGCGATGGCCAGTTGCGCTGGCCATCGCAAACTATCGCGTGCGACAGTGTCGCATAGCCAGCGACAACTAGCGCTGGATAGCGACAATTATCGAACATATATATTTTGCGCTGGCCAGCGTTATCCAGCGCTGGATAGCGACAACTAGCGCTGGATGGCGACAACTAGCGCTGGATAGCGCTAGTTGTCGCCATCCAGCGCTAGTTGTCGCGTTTTGACTATCGCAAAAGAACCGTATATCTTTTACGGTTTTTGCGGAAAGTCGCGTTAAAGTTGATGCCCTGGTTTCAGTAAAATGGCACGGATATATATATATATATATCGTCTCGCTTTATATATAGTAAGATTGTAATCATTGTAGTCATTGTAGTAATTGTAATCATTGTAATAATTTTAATTATTGTAATCATTGTAGCCATTGTAATCATTGTAGTCATTGTAAGCATTGTAATCATTGTAATTATTGTAGCCATTGTAATCATTGTAGCCATTGTAATCATTGTAATCAATGTAATGATTGTAATCGTTGTAGTCATTGTAGTCACTATAATCATTGTAGTCACTATAATCATTTTAATCATTGTCATTACTGTAATCATTGTAGCCATTGTAATCATTGTAGTCATTGTAATTATTGTAGCTATTGTAATCATTGTAATTATTGTAGCCATTGAAATAATTGTAGTCATTGTAATTATTGTAGCCATTGTAATCATTGTAATTATTGTAGCCATTGTAATCATTGTAATCATTGTGGTCATTGTAATTATTGTAAACATTGTAACCATTGTAATCTTTGACTGTAATCATTGTAACCATTGTAATCATTATAATCATTATAATCATTATAATCATTGTAATCTTGAATCCATGCATTCCTCTAGTCGTATTGAAGTGCAAGGATCATAATGTAGGAACTAAATCGCAAAAGTCCCTTTTAATTACATTATGGAAATTGAAAAAGGCCTAGATGTTAGAGACAAGGCATATTCAGTTCATAACCATCGCATTGGGATGCGTGATTATCTAAGAAAGAAAATATATTCAACTATTAACGTATCGGAAGATCAATGTTTTTAAAATATTGATATAACTAATTTTAGCTAAGTCATGTGATTATGGTAAGTGACATTAAGTTAACTTTATAACCAGCTACCGTAGGTGAAGTACAGGTGAAGATGTCGGCTAAAGAACTTAAAATAGCCATGCAAGGCAGTGTGGTTCTTTTAAGTAAGCTTGACTTTCGTTTTTGACTTTTCCTTCAAGTTCACGATAGCAATATTCTGTGTTCTATATTCTGGCTCATCTGTTTCAGAATTATATATATTAATGGTCACACATCAGTTCGTCGACAACTGCAGTACTACGACAGAACAGCGTTGACAGAACAGCGACAATACTGAGACAAAACTGTGAAATTATTTATTTCACATTTTTTATAGTTTTAAGTTTTAAAACATAAAGCTCCCTGGATGATACCCTTAACTTTATGAAGACCACCGCTGAAAAGTACGCCAAGTTTCAGAAATATGTAGACAGTAATATTATAATGATAAAAAATTGTAATATTTCTCCATTTTCCAGCGATGCTGGGAGGAGCGGGATGGTACTGTGGTCCATTTATTAAAAGGATGATGAGCACCAACCCCGTTCATTACATGAACCAGGAGCAGGTAGCTAGGCTCCGTGAGAACGTTGTCTACACTGATATCCCGATACCCATAGATCCGGAGGAGGAGTTTGATGATGAAATTTTAATTGAGTGGTACAAAGAACAAAAAAGTCAGGGTCTACAGTAGAGTGGTGATTTGCGAAACTTATTATTATACTATTGTATATTACTTATATATTACTACCAACAACAATTGTTCCTTTTTTGTGACTTTTCATAGCATATCATCTGCATGTCTTAAGACATTAACTAAGTCACGAACGATTTAATCTAAAATTGTTTCAAGCTTTTTAGTCACATTAGGTACTTCAGTGATATATCACTACAATACATATTCTCCAATAAAGAGTTTGGTGCACGTAAAGCTTTCCACTGTTGGATAAAAATAGACATTCATGGTGATTTTCAACGCAAGTTATTAATTTTGCTCTCATATTTTGATCATTTGATTTTGTAGATATTTGAACTATAATTTGTTCCAATGAAAGGCCCAATGTTTGTTAACAAGTTGTCGTATTTCTAAGTTGAAATTCAGTATTATCTTTCACTAAATTCGCAAGGTATACAGGGTTTACAAATTTAAAACTCTTTACTACGTCAATGTAATGTCAGATAAGAAAAGAAAATAAATGAAAGGAAAGGTCACATATGAAACTCGACCAAGTCAGCACATGAAACATTTGTTGATTAGATTGACGAGGCACGATGATGGTTGTGTGATGAAGGTACATATCAGATCATAATCTTTGGGAAGTGTTCATACCAATTCTTTTCAATCTGGAGGGCAAACTGTTTTAAATAGTGCCCTTCAAAAAGTCACATATGGCATCATCAGTGCAAAACCCACATCGATTTTTCAAGGTGGTGGCGTTTTATTTTTATCTGGGTCTTTGACAATTGAGCAGCGTTCCGATTCGCAGTTCAACCGATAGCTACTGGATAGAACATTTAATCTGTTCTCCAAAGAAAAACCAAATCACAGATTAGAGAACAAGATCTCAGGATATATCTGCAGTACTATACACCGGATTGACCATTCGATTGTCCGAAACCAAACATTGGGGTATGAACATTGAATGATTAGAAGAATAAAGAAGATTTACCTTATTATTCCTACTTTAATAAGGTAACTATTTCTCGCTCAATTAGCTATGATAATTTTGCTGCGAGTTTATTATGCATGTAAGTCAAGGAGTCATTGTGTCGAGGCTAAAATTTTACTTTGTCTAACAATATGCAGGTGAAGAATATTCTGGACGCATATATGCGTCCAGAATATTCTACACCTGCGGTGCTTTTTTTCAAAATTATAATGAAGTTTCTACTTCTTCCTCCTTCATTTCATGTATCAGTGTAAAAATTAAAACTTAAATTTCAAATTCGAGTAAATAGTGATCATGAAGACATGAAGCATCGTATCTCGAGGTGACCCGCTTGTGACTCGACTAGTTTCAGCTTTTCAGTTTTAACGGCCACCCATGGGAGAGCATCACCTAGCGACTGGAGTACTGGCTTGTCTATTTTTAACTCAACATCAGTGAAAGCTCATTATAACGTTAATTCTTGTAAAAGTACAAGTTAACTTCTTCAATAGCACAGCTGTTGGTTAATTACTGTTCTCTGCAACTATAGCTATATCTGACCTCAGACGTATAAATTTCTAGTAGCCCTTAAAGTGCACATATCTTATAAATTAGTGCCACAAAGCTGAGTAAGGTGCCATTATGGTGAGCTGTCGATAACATGATTGTTCTCGAATGTTCTTTTGAATGTTCTTGAAAGTTCGATTGGCTATCATAATTCGCACTTAATGGTTAATTTTATGGTCTTTGTATTCGTGTCATTTTATTTGCATTCGTTAACATTTCAAGTTCCATTTACAAGTTGTACATTATAATTAATTGCTATGAAACCCTTAGCTCTGTTAAGCTCTGTAAATATCTTTTAAAAGATATTGACGATGACTGCTCAAAAAGGTTAATCGACACATAAATCACAAGACTTATAGTTTATGTAAATGTAATGATCGCCAAGATTTGGCACAGAATTGTTCTCTCCGATTTTGATAAATTTGGTACACTGACTATTAGCTAAACGTAATTAAGAGTTTAAATTTCCCAATTGGTCAGACTGAGCAGGTTGAGCTGTAGTAATACACGACGGATTGAAATGAGACAACTAAAAATTTAATGCTTTTCATACAAAGTTACAACAAAGTCTTCATGTTATGTATCCTGGGTTTGGACAGTCGATATTACCCGCATAAAATATTTCCATCGCGTTACATAATTCTCAATAAATGTAATAGAATTGTAATGTTGTAATTAGTTTACAATTATATTATTAATCTTCCAGTGCGTTAATACATAGTTAAATAGTTATAATACTGTTAAATATCCCTCGCATTTGTACGTCGGAGATTAGAAATTTGCAAATTAGTTCTTAAAAGTTGAAACTTTCTAGTTCGTTCAGAAATGCAAATGATTCATGATTCAATGCCCATCAGTTTATAATTATATTCAGCTGTGTTCAGGTGTTCAAATATGTCTGCTCGGGAACTCAGAATAGCGCTGAAAGGCACTGCGGTTATATTAAGTAAGCTTGTTGACTTTTGTTTTTGACTTTTGTTTTTGACTTTTCCTTCACAGTATCATATGCATATGCTTCTGAATATCAATAATTAATATTAATATTCTAATAAAAAAGCATTGTAATATTTCTCTATTTTCCAGCGATGCTGGGAGGAGCGGGATGGTACTGTGGTCCGTTTATTAAAAGGATGATGAGCACCAACCCCGTTCATTACATGAACCAGGAGCAGGTAGCTAGGCTCCGTGAGAACGTTGTCTACACTGATATCCCGATACCCATAGATCCGGAGGAGGAGTTTGATGATGAAATATTAATTGAGTGGTACAAAGAACAAAAAAGTCAGGGTCTGGTCGAGTGATCATTTCCGAAACTTAAATAATTAATTATAATAATTAATTATATAATATGAGCTCATTTTAAATTAAAATAATAGGAGCCTATTTTGCTAATGTGCAAACTACAAATGATAATTATTGGTTTCTATGACACTATGGTATTTTTAAAAGTAACGATCAATTTTATGAATAATTATTTAAATTTTTTTCAATAAAAATATTTGGAAAAACATTTTTACTGTTGAACAGTAATAAAAATAATTGTTGATTTTTAACTCATATTATTAATTTTTTCCATTCTTTTGCATGTTTGATCATTTAATTCTTTTTGGACTACAAAGAAAGGATCATAAAAACCCACATGCCTGTTCTTTCAAAGATACGCGCATAATTAATCTTGTTCCATTATTTTACATGCCATGTTTGATTATTTAACTGTTATCCATCGATATTTGAACTATAATTTGGACAACATTAGCAATTGTATTTTAACATTCTGAAAAGTTGTTGCGGTTGCGGTTGCTTAAAACTTTAAAATTTCAAGACAGCCCTACATTTTCGATGTTGGTTATAGTGCCTTCCAAACAATTAAATGGCCCCAAGTGATTTGGGGATTGAAAACTGTTACGTGAATGTATGTTCTTGCACACTTCGTGCACCGGGCTCGAACTGGGCAGTTTCAGTTTTCCTGTGTAGCTGAGGAAATAGCCCTAATGTGTCATAACCTGTCAAAATATTTGCTTTATAGTTCCGGGTTATACAGGATATGTGTAGGAAATCTTGGAATAAGTGGTCAACCAGCTTTAGTTCTGACAGCTGCGCTAACTTGATTATGATACAGTATATATATATAAGTCACACCTGCCAAAGCTAGAGAACCATGGTAGGGTCACGTCAGCAAGCAAGGCTCGGACCAAAACAAACTGAGCCGACAGTATAGTAGCATGCTTGAATTGGAGCTGCTGGGTTAACCCTAATTAGTCTGGGTATAACCCTTTAAAAATATCCGTGGTCATTGCATAGCGAGTTTGTGTTATTCGCTAGGTCAAAGTGCTTACTACTTACTGTGCTTACTACTTACTGCCAACTGTTGCAACCTCCCTAAAATCCAATAAAATTTTTTTTAAACAAGTCTCAAAGTAAAACTTACACCAGTTTCTGTAAGTGGGTAGACCACAAGAAGCCCACTCCGAGAGGGTGCAAGGTCTGTAGTTAACAGATGGGTTATTCTGAGGTTGGGGCGGTGGTACCGGCACACAGCCACATTTTGCGATTAGGGCATCGTCCCTGCACTGGGTAGCGGAAAGTTCGATTATCACAGAAATTGGCGAGTACAAACAGGAAGGTAGGTAGTGATGAGGTTTATACATAAAAGAAGACGATAGAACTAGAAGGATAGATGTTAGGGGTGTGGAATACTAGAAAATTTGAAGGACAGAGTTTATTTTGACAAACTTTACCTGGGAAAGGCAGCTGTTTTCCTCGTGCCTTCCGTAAGTGTTGTAGAGAATGGTATCATTGCACGTGCCCGCAGGAGGTCCTAACCTATACTCCTGGGGGTTGGAGGTCAGGGCATCTTCCTTTGGTACACTGCTATTGAACGAAATATATTTTGGGGAGAGGATTTCAGGTTTTCCCTTTATTTCAAGCTTCAAGCTTTCAAGGATACAGATCTATGGTTTGAACCTCCAGTTAAGAGGACGCATATATCAGAAATTTTAGGATAGATGTCTCCTTGAATGTATAAGAAAGTTACTAACTCTGAGCAAGCTGAGGTCGACCTTGTAGATGAGACCGGGGCTCATCCAGAAGGAGGAAGGGAGAGCAGAGGAGAACTGCTCGTGATCGTGGAACTGTACCGCATACCCTACTTGAGGTAGCTTCTTCCCGCTGACACTGCGGTGAAGAGGTGACACAAGGTTAATATACTATTCATAATTTATATACTTTGCATAACCACGATAGTGTTGCTGGTAAATATTGTGCTTATGTAATAAGATGCCTGTTTATTTGGGTTAGAAACGACATCTGGGTCCCTACCCTCGCACAAGATTATTCTCAATTTTCTTGTTGTGTTCCACAACTATACTTCTGTATACTTCAGTGATTGGGCTGATGACTCCAGTGAAAGGGCTGGTGACTCTAGTGAAAGTGCTGGTGACGATGAGAAAGACCATAAACCAGGGATTCCTTCGGGAGCATGTAAGATTATATCCAAAGTTTGTTCGCCAATGGGGTGTGTCTGGGTGTCAAAGATCTTCAAGGTGGGTGCTACTTGTGATGAACTCTAGAAGGATGGGGTGGTAATACTCGGTCTGGCCGTCTGGAAGCCCATAGAATTCCAGTTCAGAAACCGAGTAAGGAGGTGCGGCTACTGATGAGAAGCCTCCTTAAAGTTTATTTGGGTTAGAAACGACATCTGGGTCCCTACCCTCGCACAAGATTATTCTCAATTTTCTTGTTGTGTTCCACAACTATACTTCTGTATACTTCAGTGATTGGGCTGATGACTCCAGTGAAAGGGCTGGTGACTCTAGTGAAAGTGCTGGTGACGATGAGAAAGACCATAAACCAGGGATTCCTTCGGGAGCATGTAAGATTATATCCAAAGTTTGTTCGCCAATGGGGTGTGTCTGGGTGTCAAAGATCTTCAAGGTGGGTGCTACTTGTGATGAACTCTAGAAGGATGGGGTGGTAATACTCGGTCTGGCCGTCTGGAAGCCCATAGAATTCCAGTTCAGAAACCGAGTAAGGAGGTGCGGCTACTGATGAGAAGCCTCCTTAAAGTTTATTTGGGTTAGAAACGACATCTGGGTCCCTACCCTCGCACAAGATTATTCTCAATTTTCTTGTTGTGTTCCACAACTATACTTCTGTATACTTCAGTGATTGGGCTGATGACTCCAGTGAAAGGGCTGGTGACTCTAGTGAAAGTGCTGGTGACGATGAGAAAGACCATAAACCAGGGATTCCTTCGGGAGCATGTAAGATTATATCCAAAGTTTGTTCGCCAATGGGGTGTGTCTGGGTGTCAAAGATCTTCAAGGTGGGTGCTACTTGTGATGAACTCTAGAAGGATGGGGTGGTAATACTCGGTCTGGCCGTCTGGAAGCCCATAGAATTCCAGTTCAGAAACCGAGTAAGGAGGTGCGGCTACTGATGAGAAGCCTCCTTAAAGTTTATTTGGGTTAGAAACGACATCTGGGTCCCTACCCTCGCACAAGATTATTCTCAATTTTCTTGTTGTGTTCCACAACTATACTTCTGTATACTTCAGTGATTGGGCTGATGACTCCAGTGAAAGGGCTGGTGACTCTAGTGAAAGTGCTGGTGACGATGAGAAAGACCATAAACCAGGGATTCCTTCGGGAGCATGTAAGATTATATCCAAAGTTTGTTCGCCAATGGGGTGTGTCTGGGTGTCAAAGATCTTCAAGGTGGGTGCTACTTGTGATGAACTCTAGAAGGATGGGGTGGTAATACTCGGTCTGGCCGTCTGGAAGCCCATAGAATTCCAGTTCAGAAACCGAGTAAGGAGGTGCGGCTACTGATGAGAAGCCTCCTTAAAGTTTATTTGGGTTAGAAACGACATCTGGGTCCCTACCCTCGCACAAGATTATTCTCAATTTTCTTGTTGTGTTCCACAACTATAAGATGCCTGTATAAGTTTACGCTATACTAACGCACTGAAACCAATCTGGTTAGGTTAACAAGAAAATATCAAACCTGTACTCATTAAGATCCGCAAAGAATTTGAGGGTTAGTTTACCGTAATCTCCTCCTTTACCTCTTAGCTTGCCGTTTGGGTTAATACGGAAGCAGTTGCCTGATGTAGTTAGCTCCTGGAGAAGGGACAAACTACATTTGTATAACATAACTACCAGAATATTGGGAATTGTAGAATTCTTTAAGTTTATTCGTCAGAATAAGTGAAGACTATTGCGATTTCTAAGTATGAAGAAGGAGAAAATGATAAGAAATTATAAGAAAATAGCAGACATACCATAACAACATAGTTGTCCCCGAAAACATCGTGATCACCACAATAGTCAATGAAGTGTTCGCATTGAAGGAAGGTCGCTGGCTGGGGACCTCCCTCCAGCAATAAGTTAGCATAGGTCATGTTAGCGTACCTGCAAGATGGTGCTTATCACTCCCTTCAAAAGTTTTGCAAAACGCGGTCTAAAATAAAATTAATTTCACAAAACATGGAAGTTATTTTAAACTCACCTAACTACCCACTCATCAACCCACCTAACAAATCAACCTAACGACCCACCAAACAACCCACCAAACAACCCACCAAACAACCCACCTAACAACCCACCTAACACCCCACCTAACAACCCACCTAACAACCCACCTAACAACCCACCCATCAACCCACCAGGCAACCCACTTAACAACTCACCTAACAACCCACTCATCAACCCACCTAACAACCCACCCATCAACCCACTAAACAACCTACCTAAAAACCCGCCTAACAACCTACCTAGCAACCCACCCATCAACCCACTTAACAACCCGCCTAACAACCCACCTAACAACCCATCTTACAACCCACCTTACAACCCACCTTACAACCCACCTAACAACCCACCAAACAACCCACCTAACAACCCACCTAATAACCCACCTTACAACCCACCTAACAACCCACCTATCAACCCGCCTAACAACCTGCCTAGCAACCTACCTAGCGACCTACCGAGCAACTTACCTGGCATAAGAAGGATCAGAGAAGTTGATGCTCCTAACTTGGTCTACATCCCAATTATCTAAGATGTTCCACAGTTGCTCAAGTCCAGGCTTGCTGTCTAGATATGATTTAGAAACCATGTTGTGGCTGCAGACTGATATCGTGGGGAAGCTAACCGAGGGTGGTCCCTCAACGTCTGCTATCTGAATTTTACTTGCTGGCTTCGGGTTAATTATTATCCTTCAAATCAAATATACATACTTAAAAGTTTAAAACTTATGTTTTTACTTAATATAACATCATATCTTTTACTTGATAAGCTCGTTCAACGAATGTGTCATTTTGTGGGCTACGAACATTTAACAATTGTTCCATGTTATAAGTTGTGATTGTCAAGAGTTTAAATTCCCAAAGTTGTGATTGTGTTAAAATATCATTTGATAACCGATTTGCTTAACATGTTACAGATCACGCGTCAAATTGATTATCTGTGATCTTACTGGTGGGATATGATCTGTAAGAGTGGATACTTTCCGTCAACTGCCAGGCAAGTTTCCCAACAAATCCTACCATGAACAGTAGAAAGAGTATCTTGGTAACCTGGCCCGATAAGTATGAGTCAGGTATTTGAAGAATTTCTACTTTCCTTTTAATAACGTTGAATATCTTCCTTGGAATCTTTAATGGAAATGTTTGATCTAAAGCGATTTTTAAATTCTTTTCAAATTAAACACGAAAATTTTGGCTGTCTGAATGAATTCACCTTATTCCCATGGAAGATATATTTGACCCCGTGCATACTTGTGTCTCCACTCCATTCAACCCATTGTTCGTAAAATGTTGCCCTCTGAAAAATGTAGTTTTTGTTCGACAAAACATTATTCATTGTTATTGGTTCGGCAAAGGCTCACCATCAGTTTTTTAACTCCGACCTCTTTGAACTAACCTCATTCCCCTCCTTGCTTTCCTTGTCAACCTGGTCTGGCAAAGATCTGACCTCCTTTTGCCTGGTAACACTTTCCTCTTCGGATTCTCGTCTACATTTACAAGTGCAGCAGCAGTTTCTATGTCTCAGCTCTTGTTTCTCCTGAAATGGGTTACTATGACATCATTAAATCTTCCCATGATAATGTTCATTGACATTGGCGGAGAATATGTTTAATATGTTCGGGACGCAGATTCTACCGAGAGAAAAAAACAAAATATTTCGCACACCAGCAACCGAGCAGACCTATAGGCTATAGAGCACTCACATCTGGATCAGGGAAGAGCTCAAGAGTGTTACTGTAGGAAACTGGAACCGGTCTGAACCATGAGCTCCTGGAATCCGTCGTACCGTACTTTACTGAGCTGCTCATTACAGTACTCAAATCTGAGGAGGGATGTAATTTACAGTGAGCCAATGACGGCTTTTAAAATTGAATTCCGTAAGCAGCTTCACGCATAATTATTGTGTTGTAACACGTTTTTTTAAACCGCCTCCCCACTAAGCTGGCTTACATAATGTGTAAAAGATCCCTTAAATTCTTTAAGAAGAAGGAGAGTGAGAAACCATAGCATCAGTATAGTCTAGTATATCCGGAGAAAACTTTGAAAACTCCTACCGGTACGACTTATGCGACCCAAATTTCACTGTTTTGACTGAATTTTTCTTGATTGAACATCTTACCGGGTTACTGAGGATGGCACAAGACACTATTGAGGTGCTCAAACTTCTATTCCCAAAGAAAGCTTTGATAAACGGAAAATCATCAGAATATAAAAAGATATTTTTGAAGATTTTTGAAGAGAAGCTTTTCTGCCGTCCCCTTGACCGAAATTTCGCGGTTTTGACTGAAATTTTGACCAGTGACCAATCACATAGAAGTTTGAGGTACTCAAACTTCTATTCCCAAAGAAAGCTTTGATAAACGGAAAATCATCAGAATATAAAAAGATATTTTTGAAGATTTTTGAAGAGAAGCTTTTCTGCCGTCCCCTTGACCGAAATTTCGCGGTTTTGACTGAAATTTTGACCAGTGACCAATCAGTGAGGTCGGTGAGAGTGACACAAGTCGCCATCAAGGTACTGGAAGCAGTATATTGGGAGAAAATTTTGAATATGTCCTACCGGAATTTTAGCTTTCCACGACCCAATTTGCTGGCTGCAGACCTACGAATACTAATTATTACTGTGCCTTCTTAACCTGGATATGTTTTAAACGAAGAATGTAAAAATAGCAGATACCCTGTTTAATACTAGCCAGTCTTGTTTGGACAAAGATCTGGAAATATCCGCTTACTGTACGCCAACCTTCATCTCCGAATATTTCAACCTCTCAGGTACGTGCGCGGGAACTTAAAGTTTCAAGAGCTTCCTAATCCTGAGGCTCGATTTATCACGACTAGGACTTGCGTAGAATTGTTAAAATACCACATGATAACTATAATCTCCCGTACCACAGCGTTCTACTTATAACTTCACAAATCATTCGTACTAAGCAGCCCGGATCTGACCCGAGACAAGTGCTGATGTAAGACTGAGATGAGCCTCTAAGTACTCCATTAAATTGATCTTATGGATTAACCGACTGGATCAGACGAAGAAACCGGGCAAGAAAGTCTCAGCACTTCCGGGACCTGACGGTGAAATTGGAAGAGCCTCTGAGCTAGTAAAACTGAGATAGTCATGGAACCTTGTGTTTAAATTTGGTTAATTATACTCTGGGTTGTCTGCTTGTATTTCTGATCTGTCTGAGCCTCCGCAAGTCTTTCTGTGTTTTGTATGGCTTACGTTGGGCTAAGTGGGATGGGCAGTTGAAGGAGACTGGTACCTACCGAAAACTAAATTGTGTCTGGATTACAACCCACTGCCACATGTATTAGCTAAACAGTAAACTCTGATGCAACATGTTTTCGTCAAGAGAGAGTAAAGATCCCCCAAGATTTTGTAAATCTAAGAAAGCAATGTGTACGTATCCCGGTTTGGCAAGCTTCATTTCCATCCGGACTCTTGGAATGAAACGTTGCACTTCTGAGTGAATTTTTTATTCACCAGATTTTGTTTGTGATTTTTTTCAAAAATAACTTTTTGGCGTTCTGTTTCACATAAAAAGGTGAGTGGTGAGCCTGATATCGTGCTCGAACTAGCTGGTGCTATAATATTATAACTGTATTGACTCTATTAGTAGACTGTTCTGACTATGACTATTAATTAGTCTATTTGGGAATTAGATGAGATCAGCACAATGTCTAAATTCCATTTGAACGGGACAACAGCTGCGCTATCTATTAGATAAATGCTTACATTAATTATTATCAACAAATAACAAACAAGTCTTCCGAAATCTCCTTAGAAATCATGTTATACGCATAATAATCGCATCATTTGGAGTACGTCCAATGCATGGAAATTACAGTAACTAATAAACTCGGAAGCTCCTAAACTATTTGTAAACTAGGCTACATACTTATGGTTATTAAGCAGTTCTGTCTGGTTTCTTTTGCACAATCGTTCGTTTTCTGACCATTGAAATTTCAGTCACTCTGGATACCTTAAAGGTCCCGACACAGATAAACATCCGAGATCAGCCTCAGTTTCAGGAAGCAGTAGAGGCCAAAAAGAAGCCAAAAGAGAAAAATCTCATAAACGACCTACCCATCCCGGTCAGCCTGAATTGGCATGAAATCCAGGGGTACGAACAGGCCTTTAAAGATTTCGACCAGAATGGAGACGGTATCATAACGGTGGACGAACTACCAGAAGTTCTGGAAAGTATTGGCTTGAAGCCAAGTCCTGAGGAGGTATCAGAAATGGTCGCCAAAGTCGACATCAATAACGACGGTATCATTGATATCTGTGAGTTTATCAGGATGATGAGCCTCCAACAGAACCCCATGATCACGCCAGAGAGTCAGCTAGAAGACATATTCGAGATATTTGACCAGGATAACATCGGGTTCATGACAATGGATGTGTTAAGACAAGTGATGTTGAGTTTAGCACACCCCGTGTCAGAGGATGGTCTGGATGATCTGATGAAGAGGGGAGATAGAAGGGGTGAAGGACGGCTTACTAAGAAAGATTTTATCAGGATGATGATGAACAAATGTAAACAAAATGAAGATAAATAACCCATCTTTATCATCATCATCATCATCATGTTCATGACAGTGTCTCCTCTTAATCTTTAAAGTGACCTGAATCAAACAAACTCTCGTACGACGTAACAACTGTCTTCATTTCACTGCGTATTCTAGCACTGCATCTCAGCTGACGTTATCAACACCTGTAACGTTTGCAGCATCCTTGAGTACACACCAGCCTTTTCATGGTCTCCGATGAAAGTTTTTATAGATTTAACATCAACACACCCTTCGCTATACCGGTCACTTATCAGAAGAAAATGAAGGACAATCTGAATACATCATGAACAAAAAAGATGGAATAAAAGATTTACGGGACTTAAAGGCTTCCTGGCTTCCTCCGGCCAACCGACGCAAGGCTAAGAGACTTTACCTAATAGACTGATTGTGCACTGAACGAAGTTTATCAACATACTGTATTACTGGGTATTACTTATGAAGGACTAAGTTTTCCTTTACGAAGTTTTGCCAACAAGATTTAATTTATTTACCCTTGTTGTACGAGAGCTCATCAAATGTTATGTAAAACTGGTATAAATGTAACTTTTTGAAATTTTTAAGTTTTTAAAGCTGTTACCAAATTATCTGTAGTTTGTACTGACTGTTTTTAGTAGAGTCAATGCAGTTAAAATATTATAGCCAGTGGTCATAGGGCCTGTCATGATATCGTGGATTAAATAAGTTCCACCGGGATCTGGTAGTGCGCATTATTGACCATGATCCCGGTTGACCACTAAGTGGATCATGGTCATTCCGAAATCTATTTAAAAATCTTGCTTAACAATTAACAATGTAACCAATTGGGGTAAGTTCATAATGCATGAAAATTATAGCAACAAATAGTTCATTTATATTGTACTAGTACTTACTGTAGCTCTGTTAAGCTATGTACAAACTACTTATGGTTGATAAGTAGTTTGGGTACTACCATACAATTCGTTTAATGAAACCACAAATTTCAGTTAATCTAAAGGGCATCAAAGGTGCGATATCAAACCTTCGAGACCAGCCAGAGTTCCAAGAAGCAGTAGAAGCTAAGAAGAAGCCAAAAGACAAGGACTTTTTAAAAGAACTTCCCATCCCTGTAAGTCTAAGTTGGCATGAAATCCAGGGATACGAGCAGGCCTTTAAAGACTTCGACCAGAATGGAGACGGTATCATAACGGTGGACGAACTGCCAGAAGTTCTGGAATGTATTGGCTTGAAGCCAAGTGCTGAGGAGGTCGCGCAAATGGTTTCCGTAGTCGACATCAATAACGACGGTATCATTGATATCTGTGAGTTTATAAGGATGATGAGTCTCCAACAGAACCCCCAGATCACGCCAGAGCGTCAGCTTGAGGATTTATTCGAGATCTTTGACAAGGACGCCTGTGGTTTCATGACGAAGGATGTGTTAAGACAAGTGATGTTGAGTTTAGCACACCCGGTGTCAGAGGATGGTCTGGATGATCTGATGAAGCGAGGTGATAGAAGGGGAGAAGGGCGACTAAGTAAGAATGATTTTATCAGAATGATGATGAACAAATGTAAACAAAATGAAGACAAATAGTCGTTTGTTAAACCGGTTACTAATATCAACAGTTGGCTGAGCTCAATGAAATGATCAAAAACATTAAAACTGGTGTAAACGCAACTTTTTTTGTAGTTTTTGTAAAGAAGAAGTTTGGAAAATTGTTTTCGTTACCAAATGATTTGTAATTTCAAATTTGTACTGACCTGTAGAAATTCGTTTCGTATTATCCTCGTCGCTAGAATACATAACCCTCGTGCTTACTGTTCCACGGGTCACAATATCTTAGTTTTTGTGGCCCTCTGAGAATTTATTCTGAAAGCTCTGCGGACGAGATAAAATGGGTTTAAAGTAAAGCAACAAAGAAGCAAAATATGTCAGCGTTTAACTAACTGTGACTTGAATTTGGAAAAGCTCAGTCATTTGAAGACATACAAAGTCCCGTATACAGGCATTATTTGGTGGATGTACCGTGGTTGCATTCAGTTGGCTTCTCAAGCATATTAAGCAAAACCATACTGCTTGTGCTGCATTTTAGCAGAGATAATGTTCGTTCAAATGAGAGCGTGGTATCAGAAATAATGAAAACATTACCAAAAAAGGACAACCGATGTCATACAAGTGCCGTCCGTTCTCACCCAAACTCTCCTTATAACAGTCCATGAGCTTTTTACCATTGTTCAGGATCCTCCTGCTCATTTGAAAAATATAATTCATGCTCTGGCCAGTCGAATAAAATGACCTTGTGTAATTTTTCGGTATAACTTATTTGTTCTTGGTAGCAAACCTAACACTACAAAAGGTAATTTTCAAATCCGGGACTCTAGGGCGTATTAGACTCTAAGGCGTGAGACGGATGTAATTAAAAAAGAGTATTACATTAGAATTTTCGAATTACAACCGTCTGATCACGTCCTAGAGTCTTACGCCCAAGGCGAGATCTCTTTAACCAAACCCGGCAAAATTCAGATTCAGAACATCCTAACAAACCTTATTTGAAAACCCATACATGTAGTGCCATGGGCATGAGCCCATGATTGAGAAGAAAATAATGGTATAGATGAACTCGCGATGGAATTAATTATGTTGGTATCGGAGAGTAACCAAATAATTTTTTATTTGAAGGTGAGTGCCAGGGGAACACTACAGGGGAACAATACACAATCTCATCAAATGTCTAAAAGTATTTTTACTTTTGATTGGATCTCATTAATATGTACCGTGATATACAATTATCTTTTTCATTCATTTTCAAATGAACGAGCATTATGGCGACAAATTAAAAAATCTTCTAATCATTTGACAATAATCTCATATTTATGTACACCTTAAATCATTATGTTCTGATTGAATCAGGAATCAATAATTCAGCAAGCCAATCATTTAAAATATGCGGTGTAAGCCCCACAAGCTAAAACGAAAAAACTGTGATTTTCACAAACGAGAACAAAATTACAGCTCCCGAACAACAAAATGTTGAAAAAACAAATTTGGTTACAGGAATATCTTCACAATAAAAAGGAATCGGGGTCTCAGGAGACTAGGAAATGATTGAAACACCGTATATCTGAAGATGAAAGAGAACATGACCAGATCTCCATATCGCATGACCACATGTTAACTTATTAACATGACAGAGGGAACGCTGTTAGTGTCATGGGTTCCTCTTGAAGTAGCATGTCATATAAGTCATAGCACTCCAGTGTCTCCAGTCTTCTCTTGTTTGTATTGGGATGATTTTACTATCAGTATTAAACGTTAAACATCATTTTCATTTTGAAATCATAATTTCCTCATCAACATACGAACATAATTTATCGCAATTAACCACCATATACTCTTAATTAATGCCTCTTATTGAATTAGTTGTTACAAAATTAACTGTTTGTCGGTTCGTACGTTGTTTCAAAGTATCACTCGTCAGGGTTGATCACATTATAATTCTGTTAATAAAACAGTAACAAATATCCCCTCCCTAGACCGGAAAACAACATGACAATAGAACGACAAACATCAGCAGCAGATAACAGCTCCTCAGTCACAAGTACATCAGAGTGGTCAGCTGAAGACTCCTCCCCCACCTTTAAACTATCCCCTCATGTATCTCCGGGATACACCTCTACCCCTCTCAGAGGTATTAGAGTTCCTCTCAACTCTCCAGAACCATGCTCACCCACCCCATCTCCTAAATACTTCCCCGGTTGTTTTGCTCTAGCTAAACTCAAGATGAAGTCTCCGGAGCCTGATCCAGAGAAAAAGGATCCGTTGGCTCTGAGGAACCGGTTTGATTCCGAAGAGCAGAAAGACAGGAGAGATGAAATGTTGGAAGTGTCACTGAAAAGTAGAGAACCAGCACAAAGAAGAGATTTAGATCACATTATCGGAGTGATAGCCAGGGAGATGAAGAAGATAAAGGAGGACTCAGGAGCCATGCCCCGGTTTCGTTGCTCTGGCACTAGGTTTACCGGCCGAAACATCCAATTCAAATTCCAAGAAAACACTTCGTTACAGTTCTACAAGAGGACAATTCAGAACGACAGAGGACCAACAGAAGATCACAGTGGGTTCTACGTGAGAGGAGCTGGGGACCCCCCTCCCTTTAGGAAGTACAGGGCCTGGTTCCCCGGAGAGATTATGGACTGTCTGGACAGTGTCCCGGACTTCCTGGCCATAGAGTCTAACGATAAGATCAACGAGAACACTATCAAGATGATCGGATCCAGCCCTTCAACTTCTGACGGGTTCATGGTCTACTTCGAGGTGACTTCCGAGGCAGAGACCTACATCTCCTGCTACCCAGCTGGTGTGATGTGTGGAGCTCACAAAGTGAAGTTCTGTCTGGTGAACGACAGGGCCCAGAGGTCTACCTCCCCTCGTTCAGCTCCACCCACGCCCTCCCCCAGCAGTTACTCGGACAACTGGCGCTGCAGCTCTCCAGCATTAGAACCTGGGGTGTGTAATGAGGTGTTCGACAAACAGAATAAGGAGTCTTCCCTGAGGAGGGTAGAGGAGAAGGGTCACAGTCGTGGGGGCTCCGAGGATAGGAGGAATTCTGCTCCCGACTCGTTACAGCTTTGAGGAAAACGCGATATCTATATTTCCTACGTGACGTCATTTCATCCCACGTGATTTGAGATCATGACTACATTCACACAAGTAAAGGAGATATCTCCTGATCAGCGGTGTTGCAATGGTAGGAAGAGTTCTGTTTGGGGGTCTCGACACGTCTCTTCCTGTAACTGAAACAGTATCATGTACTAGTCTTGTTAATTTTATCCGACTATCTCTCTTTTCTCAGAAAAGTCTAAAAACAAGATTAAAGTTATTTAGATTTCCGAAGAGTTTTTATTTTTCGTTATTTCGTTTAGAAGGTCTTTTTGTGCAGGGAAACTAGTCCTGAGTGTATGAATTTGTAGAACGAAAACTTTATGGAGTTGATAACGATTTGGTTATTTTTCAATCTTTATTTGGATTTGGAAAACAAATTTGCACTCGGTTTAATTGATAATTACTAAATCACAAAATACTCAATGAAGTACAAGTTTGTTCAATGTCTCAAACACACACAAAACACACACACACACACACACACACACACACAGCTCAAAAAGCTGAAAAAAACACACGATATTAGATTAACAACTCACACTCATTTACTGAAACTGCAAAAACTCTTATCACAACTCATTTTCGATATTGCTGGCTTTAATTCTGAGGAAACACACACCATAAGAGTTGTCAAAATTTCTCAAAGTTAAAAATTTCGATTCAAACCAGAAATCTCACAATTCCCAATATCATTTTCTTCGCCGTCTGAACATTCCAACAGGGGGAGAGGGGCGCAACAAAATTCCTGATAATTTTTAATTTTGTCTCTACAATATTTCATCTTGCAATGTTTTACATTACTAAGTTAACCAATAAATTTAGCAACAATCATTGACCAACACTAATTGGCGATTATTGTTTCTTCGTCAGAATAAGTCTTTGCATTGTTCCCCCCTCCGAACAATTGCAATTCTGTCGACATCACACTCATTATTGCTTTATTTGAGACAAAATACTTTCTCTCATACCTAATTTTCACACACAAAGTCAAATCAGTCTTTTTGAAGCTTGGAAATTTCTGTGATTAAGGCTGGTTGGGTTGTTGATGGTGGTTATTGTGGTTTCGTTTGAGAGTTTTAGAAAAATACTTGACTATGAGGTTGTACCAAAGTAGTCGGAGATAGAAGTCGACGAACTCAAATATGGTTACGATATTTGCACCGAGGAACAATCCTAACTGTCCTCCAACATCACCTGAAATTAAGCAGATCAATTAGATAATAGATCAGATTATGGTAAATTATAATTAATTGGTTTTTCAATAAATAGATGAATAATCGAATTACGCAATCCAAACTAAACTTGTCTAAAATCAAATAAAAGTATATTTTATCTAGAAGGCAATTCTGAATTCGGTAATCTGGCGAGTGTCGGTGGACACTTAAAGCACGGTTAAAGTACGGGATGGACCGTGCCTTGAGTGCCCACCGACAGATTAACCGACAGATTTACGATTCACCATCTAAAATAATAAACTATTGAAGATTCTCACCCATAAGATTAGACCACTTATAAGATCCCACTTTCTCCACCTCTTTTATGGATAGAATCTCAAAGTATATGTGTACTTTTAAAAAGTTCTCCCTGAAATTAAAATATGATTCTTTATTTAAATCTGAGATGTTACGACGAACTTAATCGCAATAGGTGGGTTTGCAGGTAAACACCTACAAAGAAACTCGAACACAAAGAGCGATGCAAGGTAGTTTCAAGGGGAAAAAGCAATTTCTGTCTTGTATGTGCTCCTGTTAACCTGTTAATTGTATCCTTCGCTTTAAAGGTCGCATAAGTATATTATGTGAACTGGCAGAAGGTCCTGGGTCTGAAGACTGGACCGGATGTAAAGTTTTAACCACTAACCTATAGAAGGTAACGTCTCGAGGTTCATCACCGGAACCTGGTTTCTCGTTGTTGTACTTCTCCAGGGCTTCACCGTGGTTCTTTGCAGGGTATTCAGCTGTGGACATAGTCGCTCTGGGAGATACACAGTTTAATAAACCTTGAATGGGTTAATCGTTATCGTATCATACGTGTCATCAGTGCTTATCCCGAATGTGTGCTCAACAAGGGGACTGTTGGACGAGAACATAAATCTCTGAATCATTACAGAAGATGTAAAGAAAGTGAATTTAAAGAAATGAATCATGAAGGAACACTTAGAACTGTAGTAAGGACAAAAACGGGCCACTCACAGGTAACTCTCAGAGATACAAGGGTCAGGACATTTGCACACTGGCAAACCAGCAAACTCTCCCGCATGGTAACGTTTTATCAGTTTAGCTACACAGTTCTTCTCCTGATGCAGGTTACACTCCACGTCCGCTCTCCCAGGTACAGCTGGGGACAGACCGGGTTATTTGAACTAGAGGAGGTGTGGGACACATGTTTGCGCACAACATGTAATTCGTGTTTAGTTTGCGGTTTTAATTCAATCTATAGCTTATCAAAAACATGTCAAACTATACAGCGTACAAAGCAAACTAAAGTGAAACGAGCGAAATTTAAGTTTTAACTGATCAAAAACTTATAAAATAATTGAAGGGCCGTGTACCGGGTGTTAAACTATACCTTTAAGATAGTAACTCCTGCACTGACACTCCCTGACCATGACCTCTGTAAAACACTCCCTCTCACACCCAGAGATACTATAGTTCTTGAAGGTTCGCAACGCGTCGTCGCGGCAGTTTCCGTACGGTTCTTTTAAACTGCGGACCTGCCGGATGTGGGGTTTAGCGTTTATGGACCCTCAAAAAGGTTACCTTAGCATAATGGGGTTGTAGGGCCATCAATGAGCTCTGTAGTTGACATTGAGCTAAGCGGCCATCAATGAATAAGCTCTTCATAAATATTGATTGAAAAGAACACTGAACCACCTATAATATGATATCTGAGGTAAGTGCGATCGGATGTTTGTACTTTTGTTCCTCAGCCAGAATGTATGACATAAGAAAATTAATTTCCAACTTAGTATGTGTACACAGTAACTGGTGAAATTCCGTAAGCGAATCATTACAAATTCTCCCATAATGATAATTACACTTCTGAGCTCTCTTCTCACACGATCGTTTATTGACTAGTCTTGCTAGCAGTCTCCCCACCATGTCCCAAATGAAGGATATCCTAGCAAAGTTCGACCTGCTCAACCAGCACCATCTCTCTACCATCCTACTCTTCAGCTACCTCACCATCCCTCTCCACCTTGCACAACGTCTCTGTTTCACCTCCTCCCTCCACCTCGGCTACGAGGTCTGGACTGTCTCCATTCTCTTGGGAGGTGTGTTGAGCATGTCCTACTCTGGAATACTGGACCAAATCTGCAGGAAGTCTCTGAGCCTAACTCTGCTGGCTTTCCTGGGGTCCCTGGTGACCAGCTCCCTGTTTGTCAGGATGTTTACAGGAGTGTTTGTGTTGGGAGCTCTGCTAACTGTTCTGCTGGTGTGGACTGAAGCTGCGCTGTTAGCTTGGGTTTCAGAGATAACCGTGTACAGGAACATCTTCATCGCTCTCAGATTCATCCACATCATGGCTATTGACCAATTACTCCAGATCTTTTCCTTAGATTACGAAACCGACGGACCCTTCTTGGGACTACTAGTTATCATTGGTATCGGAGTAGGATTTGCACTCGTCTTCATTCCTCCATCTCCTGCCTACTTTTTGGAGCGGGGCGAGATCTTACAAGCCAAAAGGGAACTGGGTAAGTTGTGCGTTCTTCACGATCAGGACTACGGCATAGCTATGGGACTGAAAAAAGAGGATAAATCTCAGAGAAACGATTTAAGACGGTTGGATAAGATCCTGATAGTTCTGATGATCTGTGGTTCTTTGTTTTGTCACTCCTCCTCCTTTAGCAGCAGACTCCTTTACCCGATCTCCAGGTTAAAAACAGCTGTCTCCTCAGCGGACTTGAAGATATTAGCTGTAATACAGATAATAGGTATTGTGGTACAGTGTGTGGTGCTAGGGCTAGTTACAAGTAAACAAGTGCTCAAGGTGTTGTTAACTGTTCACTTTACTGTCATTATCAACATGATGATACTCCAGCTTCGGCCGGACGAGGATGTCAACACGGAGGTGTTCCTGAAGATAACCCTCGTCATGCAGAGCCTGGGGACCCTGACCAAGACCCTGATAACACAGACCATCCTCTACATTACCCTCCGCAAAACACCCGTATCTTGCAAACACCGGGTGTTATCTCTAGTTCTGGGACTGATCACCTTTGGTGATAACGTGCATGAGATACTGGGGGGTGATTCCTTGTTTGTGCTGATGAACAGTGCGCTGTTGTGTGTCGTGGTACTACCCAAACTGTGTGGTATCTCACAGTTAGATACTAAGAGATATTTGTACCGTTATATTGATTGACTGGGAACTTGCTATTCGTGTTGCTACGTTCCAGAACACTTGGAGCTTTTCCTCTCAAAAGCATATAAAATCACGGTATTTTAAAAAGCTTTTACAAAGCGTACCCTCTCGTAACTAAGACTAATAAAGTTCTCTGTGCCCGGTGTTAGAGCCATTCCATACTCGTCAATCCTGGCAGGCTCGTAGTAGTTGTGGAACATCACCTGAAGTCATAATTAAGTAATATAGAGCAGGGATGGAATAATCGTCAACATTACAGTCATTGATCTTTAGAGGTTCTCGGATAAAACTGTTAAACGGTCTAAATTGTTACTAATATTGCTCTCATTACTTGATGGTTTCATTATTATTCGTATGATTATTAACCCTGTTCGCTATTTCTTATTAAATTAGAATTTTACCAAAATCCTTTAAAATCTTGGAAATGACAGTACAAGTAAGTATCTTGCCATCGAAAACTGGAAGTCTCAACTGGAACTATCCAACCGGTTTTGAAATTATCTGGTGAACAAAAATCTAAGATAACTTTTTAGGGGGAAATTTTGGTGTCATATCATATCATTTTATCTCGATTTAAACGTTTAGCCAAAATTTTATTAAATTATACATCACTATGTCTGAGGTCCGTTTTATGATATTAAAATAAAATGTACCTTGATACCCGCTGTAGTAACGAAGTTGGGATAGATACTCTGGTTGATATTTAAACCAAATGATAGCCCGAAATCCATCCCTAAAATATCAAAATGAAGAAAATTGAATCGAATATTTGTTTATCAAAGTTATTCGTCGAATTCAAAATATGCTTGAAGACTTAATCGTCAGTATCATATCAGTTGATTGTTGAAATGATAAATCTTGTTAATTGACCTTTGTTGAAATTTGTTAACTAATTATAATTTCGATAGATTTATCAAGTATTCGAAGTAGACCAAAAAACTGACCGGTGCGGTTAACTTTTCTACTGCCATCGACGTTAAAAGTCCAACACCGACCGTGTGTAGTGAACTGCTCTTTGAAGGCTTTTGGGGTGTCCACCTCCTCCTCAAAGAACACTACGTCCTCTGAGAGTTAAATAGAGTAGAATAGGGGACTGTAGATTACAGAGAATCAGAAGACAATCCAAGCTAAATATTGAGAAATCCTGCTTACCTTAGCAGTGTTAGACTGAATTAATAACTGGTTTAACTATAATAAACATGGTCAATTTCTTACATTCAGAACTAATTTTCGACTATTTCAATAAATTCTGGGCCAAGCCGGATAAAGGCTGAGTATTTTTGCAGATTGCACAGTTTTGATCTGTGCTACCAGTTCCGACTATTCTAGTATCTCTTACCTATAAAGTCGTTCAGTTCCTGCCCAGATTGGCGATAGTATCTCTTAACGTTAAAATTTTCGTATTCTTTAGAGGTAACATTGAGCGGTTTAGTGGGCCATGGAACACGCTTATCGTTCGCTAAATATTCCCTGAAGAATTGTAATTTTCATAATTCAAGTAAAATAATCAATTTGCAATATTGAAACCTAAACAATTTGTTGGCGGATTTCAATCATGTAATTAATTCTTTGTCACACTTTGAATAATAAAGATCAATCTATTTGATCACAATAATTGAATAAATCAATCAATCTGTAGATTTGATTAACTAAATAAACAATGAAAATAAACTCACTGCATGGCTTTATTCTCGTCCCTAGCCAGGTATATATTGTTGTGTGGGTTCATGTTACAAATAGTAATTGAAGGGAATCTGAGTAGCCTATTCGGCTCAAAGTACATGTTGTATTTAGTGGACGTTGGCATGGAAAAATAGAGACCGAAACTTCTCCAGCAGCAGAGGAGACTGAAGAAAAATTTAGCAAATAATAGCATATTTGGTGGTTAAAAAAGGGTAGATTTCCGTGATAAAAGTGGATTTCACTGAATTCCTTACATTAAAAAGTAAATAAATCATAGGTATATTCTGTGCTACAGTGAGAACAAAGAGGAAAGAGTGCAATTTGAACAGGATTTGCCACAAACAATGGTTTATGGTAGCTATTTTTACTATTTAACTAATTAATATGGTTCAGGATTATCTGCATTACCTACAAAATTAGAAATCCGTACTAATTACCCCTCTTACCTATAAATGAAAAAACCTAGGAACAATATAGCCCACAGAAGTTTTCTAATCAACTCAGGACTATTCCAGATGAACGAGAGATAGTTCATAGAAACATCAGTTGTGAACTCTGCGAACGATTCCGCGTGATTCTTATCCCTGCTCTGAGTTTGTGATAATATTGAATCATTAGTACCGCTAACTTATAATCTAAGTATTGTGAAAAAGTGCAAAACCCAAATCCAAAGCCAAAACAGAAACAGATACCGAATTGAAAACCAAACCAAAAAATAAAACATACCTGTTGGCTCTCCGCATCCCCGGGATACGCTATGTGTTTCTTATCAACTCCCAACAGTGGATCATGCCACATATTGCTGTTGCCATGGTTACTGTTGTTGTTAGATACGGGACACTTGACTTTGCTGAGACGGCGACTAGCACTCTCTAGGGTCCTATCTTGAGATGTTAAGGTCTGGTCTCGCGTCGAGAGGAGAGGGTACTGGGAAATGGGGATTAGAAACTTAAATAAAAATATTGACAAAAGCAGGTCGGAAACACGGGAAAAAGCGGTTCTTACAAGGGACAGGAAGACAACTAAAACATATTCATTAACAGTGGTTGATACGATTCAGGAAACAGAAACAGATAAACAATAATCTAAGAAAAACAAAAAAAACGTGTGGTCAGCATTAAAATGCAAACTTTGAGAATGAGATTTTTGGGATCTAAAACACAAACTTTAGGAGTGATAACTTTGGGAGTGAGGATGGTGTTGTTCTTGGACCAGGGTGACATGATGGTTCTACTGGAGCTAGAGTCGGAGTGAGACCGTCTGTGTTTGGCTCCCTTCTTGTGAGCCGCAGCTTGCTCCGCTGGTGTCAGGTACTCGTTCTCAGTGGTCTCACTGAGTGAGTGGTGTAAATACTGAGCAACTCAAGTAAACTAACCGACTTAATGAAAGCTAAAACGACATTGAAAATGAAACTGGCTCAGAAAATAAAGCTTTGTTAATCATGTTTTTATTATGATTGAAACTAAATAAATTTAATCTCCAGAATACCTTCCCCCTTTAATTATAAACCCTTGATTCACACAAATAGTGTAAAAAAGCAGAACTTGTATAACTTGTAGAACTTTCCTACCTCAGATAAGGGCAGGAAAGCTCGGGAGGTTCAAGAGGAGCGAATCTAGCAGGATAAGGTCTGAATTCCTGAGCAGGATCCTTCGTACTATTGTGATCCGAGTCTCTAACAAACTCTTTCCTGTTGAAATCTTGTTTACCATTATCCCGACTTCTAGGATCTCGGCCAGGTATAAGGAGAGCTCCGTTGTGACGACTTGATTTGTTGGCCGAGCGTCGTGGGAGATTGTCGTAGTCAGAGTCCTCGTGGCTGTCTAGCGGCCTGGAATTTTAGAAGGCGGATGTTAACTTTGTTCTTAAACTGCTGATTAGAAATTTAGAAACCCAGTCGATCTTTGAAAACGCACTTCACGATGGAAACAAAGCAGTAAGCATTGACAAAAATCAATTATGCTTAATCTTTAACCGTCTCAAACATGGAAGGTAGCGTGAACTTGAAAGTATTTTTTCGACAAGTAATCCGAAGTAAACTATAGTTTCAGTAATCTATTATAATATCTATAATCTATATCTAGTATCTACCTGTTGGAGTAAGGTATCCTGCAAGGAATCTTGTAATACATGTCAGTACCGTCAGACTTGTACACAACTGGGGTAAACTGTTCCTGTCTTCTATCATTGCTCCTGAAATCGGGAGAGACACTATAATTAGTTAATTCGTGGTAATTGTGATTGAGTCGAGTCAGTTTGTGATGAAGTCTGTTTCATAAGATTCAGTTATCTGACTCGTGAACCATGGACCATCGCGACGATCTGAGTAATTTTAATTCCGCCATACTTTAAACTAGTTGTAAGTAGACATTAATTTTACCGGATACTCGAATGAGTATCCGGTAAAATTAAATTTTAATTCCGCCATACTTTAAACTAGTTGTAAGTAGACATTAATTTTACCGGATACTCGAATGAGCCTTATGAGCGGCCTAATCGATAGTATTCCAAATTATGACCAACAGAAATCGGCTGTAATTAGGCATTAAATTCTAATGTGGCCTAGCTGTGGCCGGGAGAGAGAGATAGCGGCGTCCGAAGGTCATCAAACAGTACACCGCCTTGACGGAGAACCTCTAAACGATTGGTTTAACAACATCATTAGTGTTATTACCTAAACTATACCTCAGATCATATGACGTAGCCATCCCATTAGTATACACAAAACAATTGGGGAAGTGTTGTTCTGACAAACGTTTTTAGAGTAAAATGGCAAAACAAAACCGCTTAAACAAACTACAAGTCAGCTTTAAATGCCTGTCAGGCGACAGAAAAGTGCCGGAAAAATGCCAGGAATATAATATCCACTTTGGCTTTCCGTCGTGATTGAAAACACTGACCAACAATTTTCCTCCTTTTTATAATTGCTCTGTGCTATCTATTTAAGGGTTTATAATAAAATCTTTGATTATGTTTGATATGTGATTTCATGTACACAAGTAATGTGAAAATACTTTCTAATTGGTTATTTGGAGTCGCAACCTTATTTCATGCGTAACATCCACAATTTTTAATTGTTTTCCATCCTTCTTTTATTAAATTTAACGGCGGGCAAGTGATTTTGGAGATGCGCTCATTTCACAAAGTCACCAAAATAGAATAAAAACCTATGTTTAAAAGGAGGAGGAAGTCTGAAGGGGTGACTGTTATGAGCGGATTCCTGGTAGTTCTCTGCATCTGAGTCAGAGTATGCTCTAGGTCTGTGCTCTCCACGTGATATCCTCCCGTTACGATATCTGGGGTGGCATGTGAGATTAGATAACAGCGATTGTTACTCTGTCATGAACAATTTTAGTTGAATGGTAATGTAATTTCGGCACTGCAACGAACTAAGTGGTAAAGCCCTTCATGATACGATAAGAAATCTATAAATCAGCATATTGTTCAACCGATAGCATTTGTATAACTTGGGCCACAGGAAATATCAGCAATATTCTGGTTGTGTTTAAAGAGAACCAACCTGCCATCCCCCTCAATTCCTCCCGGGTCCTGGTGCCGGTGTCGTCTCTTCCCACTACTACTACTACTGTTCTGATAGGTTTCCTCTACAGGGGTCTTCACTCGTCCCTCCCGGTGCTTGGTGTCGCTGCTTTCTGGTTCCTGGTCAGTTGAGAGTTCCAATTTTAACATTCACTCATGCTGAATTAAAGTACGAACCAAAATATTGTGGGCCAAAACAAAAATGTTAGCAGACAAAATAGAAAGATAAGCAAACTTGAAAGAGAAGAAACTTCACCCTTCTCCAGAAAAAATTGCCACAATCTCTTCGGAAACCTGATCGGGACGCTTGATGGTTTCTTTGTCAAATAGAAACAGTTCTGTTTCTCTTCTCTCGATAGTTGAAGTTTGCACTTCATCAACAGGGTGCGGCTCTGCGATTTGTACTCTATCAGTCAGAGGCACCTCTGCAAAACATTCTCATTTATAATTCTTTCTGGGAATTATCGCGGGTAGCAGTCAACAGCCATGGTATTATTTTATTATATCACCTTCAGAATGATTTGAATAAAAATGGATGGTGCATTTCTTCTTGATGGCGGAAAGGCCAGACATTTAAAAAGACAAGATTACTAACAACGAGTAGATCGTTTTTTCATGTTAAATAAGGTTTTATGCACCTATGAGGGATGAAATGGGAGCATCTGAGTCAGACACCTGCATTCTATCAGGGAGGGTAGGATAGGGCACTGCTGCTATACTGTCTATAGGTATCGTGGGTAGGTCTGGAGGTGATCTCCTACGTCCTGTTCGACTGTTTCTCTCTGTTAGAGATATTGTTAGACTTTATAATCTTCCATCGCAAGTGAAAGAGCTAGGATGGTGAGTGAAAACTGAACATGATCGTGAGGGTAGATAATATTTTTTACTGAGCAATTTGAAATTTTCTCTGAAGAGAAGTTTGTTATTGATGCAGACCTGAGTAACTGTCAGGACTCCTGGAACGGACTTTTTCAGGAGTTCTACTTTTCGAGCGCCTACTTTTATCCGGAGTTTTTGCTCGATCTCTTCTTTCCGGAGTTTTTGCTCGGTTTTTTCTTTCCGGAGTTTTTGCTCGGTCCCTTCTTTCTGGAGTTTTTTCTCGATCTCTTGTTTCCGGCGTCTTTGCTTGCTCCCTCCTCTGATTTTCTGGTGTTTTTCCGTTCCGATCCCTTTTCTCAGCTCTCTCCGGAGTTTTGTTTCGAGTTCTATCAGGAGTCCGGCTTTTGTCTCTCTTTTCAGTTCGTTCTGGAGTTTTACTCCGGTCTCGGTCTCGGTCTGATCCAATGTATGGAATTGCTTCTACACACGAGTTTGACCTCTGAAATAATATAACAAGACTTAAAGATGGAACACTAGATCCTGACGAACAGTGACCACAATCTATAATCATAGGCATTAAACATGGGCACTAGTGAAGATTGGTACAATTAGCCAACAATAAATAAAAATAACAATAACCTCAGCCTTAGCATTGAGATTCAATGATCTGAGCTCCTGAAGTAATAAAATTGATTTAGATTAACTCTTAAAGCAGGAGAAGTTAAGAAACTAAATAATCAGTACCTGGCCGTTAACAGGAGTCCGACTATTGACAGGAGGACCGGGCATGATGAGATACCCTCCCACAACCTCATAGTCCCTACTTGGCTCCGGAGGTTCTCTAGCAGGTCTCTCTGGCCGGTCCTGGAAACTCTTAGTCCTTATATTTGCGGGAGGCTTCCGAGGGGGCACCGACTGATCAGGGGGACTATGTTGTTTCCGGGGCGGTAAACTAGGGCTGGTGGGGCAGGGCAGTTCGTAGTCATTGAGGAATATCTGACTGTTCTGCTGCATCTCAGGGCCACACTTAGCACACGCAAAACAAGCGGCAGGTTACCTAACAAGCATGATGACTCTAACAAGCCTAATAAAATTATTAAGTGCGAACAAGCGGTCGAGACAGATTTGGTGTGGCACGGTTGAGGCAGATCACCACTCGGACCGAGTTATGTGTTGGCTCCATTTCCGTACCTTGTTCTGGACAGAGCTAAACGGCAATCAGCGGTCACGTGGTCAGTGACGGAGCAGCATCCGGGAGGAGGCGAACTGAGGTTAACTGCACGTGGTCACATGACTAACTCTCACTTTCTTGGAGCACGTGACCAGCTATCTCTTTCTTGGGTTAAACTGTTTGTTAGATTAACGAGTCTAAACCAATGACGATCCTGATGATAAACTCTACTCCAATGAAGCGCTGCTGTTTTGACTTTAGGACGGTGTGAAGCTGCTGGAAGAGTAAACTACACCAGGTGGCACGGCTAGATTTTGATTGGTGGACAAACGAGAGGAATGGCGGTGATTGGGAGACAGTTGTCGGGATGTATTTAGTGTTAAGTCTAACTGTGAACGTGTCCAGTTGTAAGAATAAAACATTTGGCGAATGTGAGAGTTTTTTAGTTAGAAATTTAAGCCCTGATCCAATTTTACCATCTCCCAATCTTCATTAATCTAATTGATCAATTTATCGTGAAAAATACGAACTTTTATAAGTGAGACAAGATCATAAGGAACAAGTGACGGTAATAGTAGTAACAAGGCAGTGGCTGTAAATATGAAGCGTGTCACTCAGTAAATATGAAGCACGTCACTCCCAGTTTATGACGTGATCTGGTAACCTCTAAATGGACTGACTAATATAGCCATGTTGTCAAACTGCAAAACATCACCTCTGCAGAAAGTCGGGGAAATAAAACAGATATGGAATAAGTATCGTACAAATATCTAAAAAGAAGCAGTCGTTGGAACACATTATACAAAACAGCGTTTAGTACATTATTACTATCCGTAATCAGTAATTTACGAATCGGCTCACAAGTGCACGGAACATAATTAATATAAATTTCATATAATTTATTGTTAAAGATAATAAATCGGTCTCAATGAAAATTGAAGTAAATTATTCCGCTCACCTGTGTAGCAGGGAGATGTTTCTTTTTAATTTTATCAACTGAACCAGATCTCGAGGGAGGACCACTTCTGTTGTGTTCATGACCATTTGAAGAGGGAACATGGGACATGTTTGATGAGGGATCATGAGATAAGTTTGATGAAGGAGCATACGAATGATTTGATAAAGGAGCATATGAATAGTTCGACGATGGAGCATACGAGTAGTTTGATCGAGGAGCATGTTTCAGTGTAAAATCAGGGATGGAAGGTCTGGGTTTGAAACCGTTGACTTGGTAAGGATCATAGTGGATAGGAGGCTGTGAGTGGTCCTGGGGTATGAAGCCTTGTTTCTCTAGTTGGGTAGCTGCTTGGTAGGGCCAGGTGGAGGTGGAGACTTGAGCACGCTCGTCTCTGTACCAGTCACCACTTGTTATCATCTCACTTCTACACTTTGTAACGTACTGATCATGTCATGTGACCTGGGATGGAATTTCATTAAAATATTATGACGTTTTTCTAATATTGATTCCAACAAAAAATTGCAAATGGGATCATTCACTAATACTTGAAACAGGATGATTCAAGAAAATGTCGCGAAAAAGACTATTGAGTATTTAATACAACAAGCAAAACACAGAGCTGCAAATAAAAAGCTAAATAATCTCTAGCCGGATCATGTGCTTATACACATATTATAATAGTATAACACTAACCAGTAACCACCTTTTTACGCCAATCTAACATCTAAGAAAAGATGAAACAAAACACACTGACCACATATTATCATGATCAGCTCTTCTAACTCAAGATAACTGACTATTCGCACTGATTAATTTGTCCTCCATGTCCAATATCATGTCTACTTTCTGACGAGTCTCCAGCTCTTCTCCCTTGGCCATTAGAAAATAGGCCGGAAGACTTTGTGTATACCATATCGTAGATGTTCATCAAACTTCCCCTATAGCATGCAACTGGGCCCAATTCATCACACCGTTAAAGTTTCCGCACATCTTGCGTAAGCTAGCTGGTCCTTTATAATATAATATGAACTTCGCACCACGATATTATACAACATGCAATGACTTACATGCTTCCTCTTTAATTTTGTACAACACTCTTTCTGTTAGCCTCTCACCTAGTCCTACCCACCTACCCACCTACCCACCTACCCACCTTACCACCTACCCACCTACCCACCTACCCACCTACCCACCTACCCACCTACCCACCTACCCGCCTACCCACCTACCCACCTACCCACCTACCAACCTACCCACCTACCCACCTACCCACCTACCCACCTACCCACCTATTCACCTACCCACTTACCCACCTACCCACCTACCCACCAACCCACCAACCCACATACCCACCTACCCACCTACCCACCTACCCACCTACCCACCTACCCACCTACCCACCTACCCACCTACCCACCTACCCACCTACCCACCTACCCACCTACCCACCTACCCACCTACCCACCTACCCACCTACCCACCTACCCACCTACCCACCTACCCACCTACCCACCTACCCACCTACCCACCCACCTACCCACCTACCTACCCACCTACCCACCTACCCACCTACCCACCTACCCACCCACCCACACACCCACCCACTCTACCTAGCCGGTAGCCCCACATAATCTGCTTACCTAATGTCCTTTCAATATTCAAATGGATTTAAATTAATTGCATAATGCTACACAGCCTTAAATTTAAAATCAATATAATTTGATAAGTCAATTAAAACAGGAAAGCTTAATAATAATTACAATTTTAAGTTTCTGTAAATTAATGATAAAATAATGGTAAAAAGTGTCGTGATACAATGTACGTGGTGGCGTCCTTCTGCGCCCTTGGTTGATCTTGACAAACAATAGATACTTGTCTGCTCCAGCCTTGATCAGACTATTACAATGAATATCCATACCGTCTGACTATATACATATTCAATGGTAATGAAGTTATTAGTGAATCCAGCCACATACATTAACATTGGACCACTGATCAGTGTTTACAAATAAAAAGAACCAAACACTCATAAAGTGTAACACGTACTCAACAAGACAGAGTCCATACTAGGGCATAACTCAAAGGACAAGGAAATAAAACCTTGTGTTTAAACACAGATAACACTCTCAAGTTGACTGATAAAAACCTTGTATCCATCGGCAGTAAACTAAGAAGGAAACAGCATAATGATAAAGTAATGTGTTGAACAATACTGATGAGGACACATGTTGCTCTGTTGCGTAGTCCTAATAAAAGGTAACGTGGTTTCTAGTATCACTGAAAAGTGAAATAGCTAGAGTATACACTACACAAATAGCTTGAGTTACAAATGATCTGGATGAGCATGATCAATGCTATATTCAGAGATACCTCGTCTTTTGGCACAATCACTACAGAAACAAGTATTGTATATGGTGTGAAGACGGAGAGGAAGACCGAAGGAGAACTATTTAGAGAGGGGCTTTTGAACACTGTTCTAATTCTCATCAGCTAACGGGATACTGAAAGATTAAGTTCATTCTCACAGCTCGTCTTTCAGTGTATAAACTAAAAACTATATGGACATAAAGCTATAAAGCACGGTCAAATTCATTGTCTCATAAAGCACGGGACAAGGTACAAAGCAGTGAAATTTTAAGAAAGGTGCAAAGTTCAGTATCTCGGATAAAACCTATTAATCAGCAGCACAATATGCAACACTTTATAATAGCGAACATTAGATATTGGAGTTATAACCTTTGGTCCTTGAACAATAGTAATGGAGGTTCTTCTTAAAGTGTCACAAGATAACTATAGTCATAGATGGAGATACTGGTGGGGTGGAGAGGCAAATTGTTTTGACACGTGACAGCCATAAACCAATCAGAGTCAGCTATTGACGAGATAAATCACAGAATCAGGAATCGCTATCACGTGTCAAAAATATTTGCTTCCCCTCCCCATCAGTATCCAAATTTATTAACTAACAATGACGTTTATTCAAGAACTGTTAAATATGACAAATTCTATCTAATCATACATTTTCTAAGTATAACCTAGTGTGAACAATTGTTTGACGTATCGACAAGAACCATTGAAATTATCAATGACAGTCATTGACAAGCGAGAAAACCCTCAACGCAGTCTTACTCTTAAGTCGTATTATTAACATATGTCATTTATTACATAGATCATGCTGTGTTTACTGTTTATCGGCGTGGTCGTCTAAAACGAGAATTTAAAATTTAAAAACTGCATTCTATAATATATTTTGCATTTTGTGGTTGCCTGATGCCTCAGATAATATTGACATTAATAAAATGTTAATCATTGCTGCAGCAATTAAAAACTCGATCTTCATCACAAATTTAAACGAAAAACAGAAGAAATTATCACTCAAGCCTAATCGAATAAAACTGACGACCTAAATTCCTGCTATTGTCTAAATCACGTCTATTGTCTAAATCACGTCTATAAGTGGAATCAACAATTTTCAATTTCCACCTTGAAATATAAACCAATTCTTGAATAAGGGACACCACACGGTTGAGCATTTTGAGAAATCGTTATCCAACAAAATAGAACCAGTAGGTACGCGGTCATATAAAATTAAAAACAAGATTATCAAATCTAAAATTTAAAAACTGCATCCAAAAGGTATTGTGTGCTTTCCTAGTAGTAGTAATACATTTAAATTAAGGCATTTCAATCATTTATACATGTGACAATAATTAGAAAAATTATAATTGGTGAATCTTCATCAAAAATGAACAAGTAAGACACTAAGACTATCAGATTCGATGTCAAGCTTCAATGGTCGAGCTTCGATGGTAGATTTCCAATTTTTGTTAATTACCCAATGAAATTTGGCAGCCTTTTGACCCATGAATAAGGTCCACCAAGGTCGAGCAACAACCACTAAACAATTAAAGAACGAATAGTTCCTAAAGGAACCGGTTCCGATTAAACCACCAAATCTGAAGAACCTGATACAATTCCATTAGATTGCAATAATTGATACAGTGTTTTGTTATGATAATATGACATAAGTCATATTATCCTATGTAAATCGACCGATCAATCATGCTTATAGTTATCATTATCAAGACCATCGTGATTAATACAGTAACAACGTCTACGACGCCACGTATAAAATAATAATAAAACGCGCATAAAATTCAGGTAACAATCAGCTATTCATTATAAGTTTGACGCCGTACATATCGGGACCCTTCGCCTTACCGGCGTTCTCAAACGTAATATTGAATACAATGTACTCCTACAACTGCTTGCTGAGATGTGTAACTGCAAGGAACTAATGAATTTATATATATTAGGGATTGTTTAATAGCGATCATGCGTCTTGCGGCATTGTGTATTGTATACGATTATTATACTTTGGGGTAATCATTGTATTTGTGATCCCAAGAATCTGGCTGTATTGGTGGCGGTGTAAACGGTGAATAATGTCATTATATATATAAATACTATATTTTTGTTGTATATACTATATGGTAGAGGGGAGCTTACATGATCACCACAGCTAAAAGGTCATGTGTGGTCAAGTAAATAATGCGGGTTAAGGGGCAGGGTATTACACCTATCACCAGACACGATAGTGGCTTCTTCTCTCAGATGGTAGTTATCATGTCTAGATATGAGCCTTTCAGGCGGGGGTCTGTATATAATCATACTACTGGAGGCGCTGCGTATTACAAGACAGCATCAACTGCTGGACATAACTACATTTGAAGAGTTGGGTTCAGGGATATAAATCACGATGTCAAATATCTTACATGCAAGAAGTATTATAAGACACTGGATAGGCTTAAACAATATTTAACACTTCGACACGCCTATAAACTGCTTGTAAAGCAGTGCGTGAATCCAGTCGCTAGACTAATTATCCGCAACATGACAAAGATAAACCTGAAAGTTACGTAGTGTGAAGCAGACTGTATTATGCGACCAACAAAACGTGTACACGTGTTGTGTTTAAATTATCTGCAGGTAATGGCTTTGAAGGTGCAGATTGCGGAATCACACGAGCTGAAGATTATGTGTCTGTATGGATCTTAACGCTTATATCACATACTTGTACAATGTGTACTTGTCAGATTACATATCCAGGGCTCTTACTGAATGAGTTTAACGTGTGAGTGGTATTAACGCAGTTAAATGATGCATAAACTAGTATTAACTAACCTTTTTAAGGACTAGAAATTTGGACGCAAACAAACTTCCACAAAATAGCTTACCCGGAGAAAGACCCAGTTTGAAAAACCTCCCCTCGTAGATTGGCATCTGTCGACAGGTTTTTGCCCTCAGACTGCAATTGATTACCTGGGATACTTGGCTTAAACGCTCTCAAAGTATACCAAGGTGACACTATTTGAGTTAAGGTTTTAAGCTTGAACTCCTGACCGAAATACTGAGTTAGTACAATTATATCAAACACTTCTGGGAGTCCCTTGGTTGAGATTTACCTATAATTTTTGATAGAAGCTGAGAATTATTTTAGTTTTTCTCCGCCTGCGGTGCAGTAAATTTCTTAATAGATTTTGTGATGACAAGTAATAAAGTCTGCTATTATAACTGATATTTCTGATCGTCTGAACAATAATATTTACATTAATAATAAATATTAAACATGTTAACTGTACATAACAAAATGGGCTGGGAGGTGAGAAATACGGAAAAGCTTTAAAAATTAAAACTATATAAAGTTAACAATAAAATTTGATTTCAAAATATTTTCCGTTGTGTTCAAGTTAACGCTGTGACAACGTATGGTTCGACGAAAGATCAAAAGCGGTCAAGTAGCGGTCATCTGATAACTGGAAAACAAATGTAGATAGAACATAATGCATCATTAGACAACGTAATCCTGCCTAATGTACCGCAACAAACTTGGTATCACTGAGAACCAGTGCTCCAAACAATTCAGCCAAGAAAGTGACCACTCTAACACAGTTACCACCCCAACACCACTCCCACACACTCTAACACACTCTAACATAAGCTGCTAAGACTCCACCACAGACTTCGCATTAACGTTAAAGAGGACAGGGTTACACATCTTCCTCTCCACGGGGATATCAATGTCAATATCATGAGCAGCTTTCTTGTTGTGACGGGTAGGAATAGGTAGTTCCGAGTGGTGTGCTGGTAGAGGTTCTATGAAGAACCACGGGTGTAGGAGTGCCTGGGAGGGTGAGATTAAGAGGGCCGGTTTTTAGAGGGAACTGAGGGGTTTTAGAGGGAATTGAGGGGGTTTAAGAGGGAACTGAGGGCGTTTAGAGGGAACTGAGGGGGTTTAGAGGGAACTGAGGGGTTTAGAGGGAACTGAGGGGGTTTAGAGGGAACTGAGGGGTTTAAGAGGGGACTGAGGGGGTTTAGAGGGAACTGAGGGGTTTAGATGGAACTGAGGGGTTTAAGAGGGAACTGAGGGGGTTTAGAGGGAACTGAGAGGTTTAAGAGGGAACTGAGGGGTTTTAGAGGGAACTGAGGGGGTTTAGAGGGAACTGAGGGGTTTAAGAGGGGACTGAGGGGGTTTAGAGGGAACTGAGGGGTTTAGATGGAACTGAGGGGTTTAAGAGGGAACTGAGGGGTTTAAGAGGGAACTGAGGGGTTTAAGAGGGAACTGAGGGGTTTAAGAGGGGACTGAGGGGTTTTAGAGGCATTAAGTTATTAGCTGGGTTTAAAGTTTTTTAATTCGACCGGTTAATCTGGTGATACTGTGAAGCAATCCAAAAAACCAATGTCAAAATAGCGTTGATTTACAAACTGATTGATTTACAATCTGTAATAAGCTGTTGGGTGATAACGGACAACTTTGGCACTCATGACAAGAGCCCACTAACCTGAGCAGCCGGCAGTCTGTCAGCTGCATTGTACACCAGGAACTGTGATATGAGGTCAACTGCTTCAGAGCTCGCTTCTGGCACCACCTCCACCAAAGGGATCGGGACACAGTGTTCAAATGTGATCTTGTTGTAGTCCGGTAGTGACGTCATGACTGGCCAAATCTGGAGGGGATCCAAGTGTTAAATCATATCTGGAGGGGATCCAAGTGTTAAATCATATCTGGAGGGGATCCAAGTGTTAAATCATATCTGAAGGGGATCCAAGTGTTAAATCACATCTGGAGGGGATCCAAGTGTTAAATCATATCTGGAGGGGATACAAGTGTTAAATCATATCTGGAGGGGATCCAAGTGTTAAATCATATCTGGAGGGGATCCAAGTGTTATAATCATATCTGGAGGCTAGGGGATCCAAGTGTTAAATCATATCTGGAGGGGATCCAAGACCCAAGTGTTCAATCATATCTGGAGAGGATCCAAGTGTTAAATCATATCTGGAGGGGATCCAAGTGTTAAATCATATCTGGAGGGGATCCAAGTGTTAAATCATATCTGGAGGGGATCCAGGTGTTAAATCATATCTGGAGGGGATCCAAGACCCAAGTGTTAAATCATATCTGGAGAGGATCCAAGTGTTAAATCATATCTGGAGGGGATCCAAGTGTTAAATCATATCTGGAGGGGATCCAGGTGTTAAATCATATCTGATCTGAACGAGTAGAGCTATGTTATGATCAGTATAACCTACAGAAGCAACATATAGATTTTAGGTGTTTAGTTAAGCCACAGTGTCCCTGTGTCCCGTGATGAGGTGAACTGCAGTTCTGTAATTTTGACTGTTGTTGCTGAGTGTAGTGTTAAGATTTTTGATGATGTTGACGTGTTTGCAGGTGATCGTTTCACTTGCGATATTGGTGTTTATATATATTCAGTTTGATCAGCTCCAGGAGTTGTGACGGTGAAGTGCCGTCCCAGCATCATGGTTGGTGTTGTTATGTCTCACATTGCTCTAGTGGTATATTGAGATCTGCCATGAATTTTTAATTGATAGTGGTGTGATTTTTGATAGTTCCTTTTCTATGTGGGCGATAGTTTCAAGGGTGAGGCTACCATAAGCTTGCAGCCTGGCCGCACCCTTTGCTGCTTCGCCTTTCAGGAGAAGTATGATGTCTGTCGTGTCAGTGAGGTGATTCAATGCGATAAAGGGTGTGCTTGGCATCGCACCAGACATCATTATGAGCGCCAGTGCCTGGGAGTGGGTGCTGCGACGTATCTTTCATCTATTCCTCTCCACAAAAAGTATATATATTATATATATGTGAGCAATGAAAGTGATTTGTGGCCGCCCCTGTCAGTTAAATAGGCCGAAGCCATACCTCAAAACATGTTTCGTTCAATTTCAACCAATAGTATTATTGCATAACACAGAAATAGTATTCTACCAGTATAATGTTTCTCTAAGTTTATGACTCTATATCTCTATATGATCTAAAGCTCACAAGACAGTATTTCAAGATTGATTGGGCGCAACTGCGTATCTGATCAAGCAGTTTTTTAATTGGTTTTGATTCATCATCTTCCCATGGTAGCTTAAAGTTGACCTAGATTGGGCGCAACTGTCCGGCAGCCGAAAATTTACTAAAATTTGAAATTTTGTAAAAATTGTTGTACAATCAAAACTTCTTATAGTTATTAGTATTCAAATAGTTCTTTTATTCAAATTTCTGATTGTTTCTGAATAGACTCAGTGAAGACAGATTCTAATTCAATTTAAGGGGGCAAACACCAAATCTGTCCAGACCAAATGACCTCATAGGCAGTTCAGTGACCTTCTAGCGCACCGTTTCCACATCAAAAAAAATCATTTTGAGAATACCCATTTTTGTAATCGACCATTTCCTGGTTAAGAGTGCAATTTTCGGAAATATAATTTTTTGGTTGAGACGCTATAATTTAGCTAATTATTGAGATAGCGAGCTAAAATTTTTCAAAAAATATGTTTTTGTACTGTTCTACATGGTTGTAAAATTTCATTACCGTATCTCAAAAGGCTGATGTGTTATAACCATTTAAAGTCAAAAAAGCTGAAATCGTCCTTTCAGGCTCATTTTGATCATAAGTCAGTCAGGGAACAAGGTCGTTTTTTATGCTTGACATGAAATTGTTCTCTGAACTCTGGCGCAGTTTTTGATGACCTCAAAAATGTGTTTACTCATTTGTAGTCAGATCTATTGGACCTCAAAGTTACAAGAAAAAAGTTATGATATTTTTATTTTTGTCAAAAAAATTATTCTGAAACCACAGAAACGAAGCTTGGACTCCAATTTTAGGTGAAAATGGTCCGCTTCAATGTGCTCTAAGACCCTGTATTGGTTAGGAAATCATTCTGGCGAACAAAAATCGTGCATTTTTTCCCCTGGGTGATTGTAAGATATTTGGTGTGTTTGCCTCAAACGTCCAAAGTTACTCGATTTGGGGCTAATATATTATGCTGGAGTTGTTAACAGATAAGACATGCTTTTAAATTTCTGGACATCAATTTGTAGTCGACATCGAGAGAGAAACTAAGCTTTGTGCTTTGATTATAAATTATTAAAAATATCAGAACTATAATTGAAATTAAAACTGTACATCATTTTACAGTTACAGCTAATTGCTTGAAGTCATATAATGGCTACGTTTATTTAAGCAAATTTTTATGGACGCTTGACGAACCCCCAGAGCTAAAAACATTTTGGTCACTTCCTCGTCAGTCATACTGAGATACTTTTCACATGACAATTGTTCTGTCATTTTTAATGCGACAGTATCAGTAATGAGACCCGCTTTTAGCATGGGATTTGTACAACGCTGAATAACGCTCTCTAAAGAGCGGCAGCTAGAGCTCATAATTTCTAAAGTCACTTTCAAAGTGCTCATTGTCTTTGCCAAAGCCTTGCAATCATGAAGAGCATCATGGAGCTGGCTGGTTTCTTCTACCGAACCCCCACAGGCCACAAAGTTTTTCTCCAAGGTACCGTTCAGTTTTAGCATTCTTAGTATGTCAACTGTGAACAACTTCCGCCGCACTATGATGAAAAGTTCTGGGTGGCAACAAGTCGTTGCAGAGGAAGAGCTTCTCTGATGTAGAAACAAATCCTCCCACGGCATCTACAGAGGAAAGATATCTTGCTAGAGTGGCTTGAGGATTTTCCACAGTAGTCAAATGACAGTTGATGTAGCACTTGGTGCACTCTATTTCTAGTGAACCCCACAAGTTGTTGACACTGAATGATCTGACATTTTTAATCTCTAACCAATCTCCACACTTGTGGCATTTGAAACTGTCAAAAAAGCTTTTATCTAGGAAACATGTGTTATTCTCCAAAGTCATAGTTTCTGCTTCATTATTAAATTCACTTGCAGCAACTTCAACAGCAGGCTCTATGCCAGGTTGTTGTTGACGTGTTTTACAGGGCGTTCGGAGATGCCCGTATTTGAAGCTAATGTCTGAATAGAAGTCGCTGGAAAATGAGTTTAATGTGCACTGTTTGCTCATTTTTGTGCCGTCTAATTTGCAACACCATAAGTCATATTCCAATGAGAGACCCTCCAGGACTGACAACGGGAGAGAGATTTCTAACTTACTGAACAGTTCCGAGAAATTGTCAATCGTAAATTTAACCAGATGTGCAAAATTACGGATTGTGTCACATTTTGTGCATGCCCTTGGCCTCAGACGATGCTTCTCTTTGAACGTAAATTGCGCTTCTAGATCGCTCAATAGGGCTCTGATTTCCTTCATGACAATGTCGGTGCTATTTTCACATTAGATTCCTGATGTAGTAAAGATATAATATATTTCAATAATGAAATGTATGGTTTTTAATTTTAATTCTACAAGGTAAATCTACCACAGATGTATTACTAAAACTAATAGGTTTCCATTATTATTCCAGTATCAGTTTTGTTACATTTTTCTTCAAATTTCTTTATATAGGCAAAATTCCTACAAGACTGCACAAATTGATAATTTGGGCAGCGCTCCCGCAGGGGGAGATCACCCCCTACTTCCATGCTGGGTCCCCAGTCCAGTTTACGGGTCATCCTTTTTATGACCTAGACATGCAAAAACCACCATGTCTTGGTTGAGGTCTGGATGGAAATAACGGTATAAACTCACGCATTCCTGAACCCTCTATCTATACCGGAAACTGTTTGTTTACTCAGTTACACTACCAGCCTTGCTAATACTAGAATTGAAAGTGTGGAGGTACACTTCAATTACACGTTAATGAGTTAACTTATGTAATTGTTAGTTAATATGTTCATGTATCTATAAATATGTCCAAACAAAACAAACAAAACTGTTGAACGCTATGCTTAGGTTGTAAATATGTAGAAGTGATCGTATCATGTTTAACTATTATTGTTTGTAAAACAATTTAACATTGGTTTTTATACTTTAAGTTATAACATCTCTTTTCAACAAGTATTTGTTGCCAAATCATGTTTCAAAGCCTTCTGTTTACTGTTACCAACTCCGGCATAATATATTAGCCCCAAATCGAGTAACTTTGGACGTTTGAGGCAAACACACCAAATATCTTACAATCACCCAGGGGAAAAAATGCACGATTTTTGTTCGCCAGAATGATTTCCTAACCAATACAGGGTCTTAGAGCACATTGAAGCGGACCATTTTCACCTAAAATTGGAGTCCAAGCTTCGTTTCTGTGGTTTCAGAATAATTTTTTTGGCAAAAATAAAAATATCATAACTTTTTTCTTGTAACTTTGAGGTCCAATAGATCTGACTACAAATGAGTAAACACATTTTTGAGGTCATCAAAAACTGCGCCAGAGTTCAGAGAACAATTTCATGTCAAGCATAAAAAACGACCTTGTTCCCTGACTGACTTATGATCAAAATGAGCCTGAAAGGACGATTTCAGCTTTTTTGACTTTAAATGGTTATAACACATCAGCCTTTTGAGATACGGTAATGAAATTTTACACCCATGTAGAACAGTACAAAAACATATTTTTTGAAAAATTTTAGCTCGCTATCTCAATAATTAGCTAAATTATAGCGTCTCAACCAAAAAATTATATTTCCGAAAATTGCACTCTTAACCAGGAAATGGTCGATTACAAAAATGGGTATTCTCAAAATGATTTTTT